TGCGTTATGTTGCGTTATGCCTGCCAACTAAAACATTCTCCTATCCATCTATCACTAGCTAGCGAAAGCGCACTTATATTACATTGCTTTTGGAGCAGCTATTATATGTTACAACCCATGGTAGTGCCAAGATTTATTCAATTCATCGAAAAATGGGCACTTAGGACTACTTCCTTCATCTTCAGGATTTTGCATCCTCCTCACCATCATCATCACTACTACTATCATCCAGAGAATCATCATCTTTTGGTTTTCGAAATAACGAGCTAATTGGAATAAACTCCGGTCGATAGAATCCAACTCCTTTGGGGTCAGGATTTGTTTGATCATGAGGATCTACTTTGGAAATCCAAATGACTATTCGTTGTGGCAACTTGACAGGACACGGGAATCGGAGTTGAGCAATCGCCGCATCGGAATTCTTGGTGCCTTTCTTTGTACTACTATCGCCATTCAAAGAGGATGATTCATTCGGAAGTGACGATGACGATGATTCGGGAAAGAGCAAGGTGCGTTGGTCATAGGCCTGACCACTCTTGGAATTGAGAGGCTGCAATCGATAGGCCATTTGAATCGTGGACCCAAACGCGTAGGATATCTCTTTGGCAAGCTTTTCTTGAGTTCGTTGTTGTTTCAGTTCGGCTTGTTGCTGTTGACTTTCGGTTTTCGAGATTTTCTTTTTCCGGCCTTTGCGATTATTCCTGCCTTTCTGATTAGCAATCGCCATGTTGAGAGATTTGGTATTCTTGCTTCCCACTTGGTCTTCGGGTAGTGGCATCAATTCAGGTGACAACTGATTGTGATATTCTTCCAATTCGACATCAAACATTCGAGGAATGATAGACTCTTGCAAGAGTTCCAAGAATTCTTCATTGATTTCTTCTTCGTTTGCGAGGTACCAAGGATAGTCCTCTCGTCGTAAATGCAACAATGTTTCTACTATGTGAGAGCTTCCCACTCGGATGTCGATTTGACTCCGGGGTCGATTGCGATTACGGAATAACCGGACCCTTGGAATGGTAGAAGAGGTCGAGGGGGAGGACATTATGAGGACAGCACAGCCATGTTATTGACTCAAGGGGTGAAGTTTTGCCTCCAGATTGAATTTGATCATCATCCAACACAACGGACGACAGAAGGACGGCCCAGACTTTCATTCCACCAATTTTGATTTCAAATCCAACACCCGTCTCTGTGAATTGCGTTTGAGTGTATTGACACATTGACCAGCATGGAACCTACCATCCAGGGCACCTCCTCCAGTCTTATTCGTCCGTTTGAATGGTTGACGAATGCGGCATCGTTGAAATTCCTCATCACACAAGCTGTGGAGCAACAATACTCGTCCAGTCGTCAGGAAGAAAAGCAAGGGGAGTCCTCGTCCCACGAACAAGCACCAAAGGAACTTTCCGCTTTGCATGTGGGTGCTGGAAGTTCCGTAGTGGGAGAATATATGGTGGAAGCACTGGGATTCGATTTGGTGGTGAATTTGGACAAGGACGAAGAGACTCTGGAACAAATGAAAGATCGATGGTTGCAGCGATGCCGAAACAAGTCCGAGAATAACCCAGAGCTCCCCCCTGTTAGTTCCGAGCGACTAGCCTTTTGCCCAAATGACTTTGCTGAAAAACCTTTTCCATATCCAAGCAATCGATTCGATCTCATTCTAGACAAGTCAACCTTGGACTGTACTCTCTGCAGTGACAAGGCAGCGGCTTGTTTATTGGTCCAGGTCTATCGATGCTTAAAAGTTGGTGGATGTTACCTTTTGATTTCTTTTCATGAATATGATTTTCTAGCACCGCTGTTGGAAAATCTACCGGGGGCAAACTGGGACGTCCAGCACTCGACCATGGAACGGCAGGTGGAAGACCTCGGTATTATCAATCAACTGAATGCGGATCACGAAAGCGACAGACAGAACAACACAAAGGAGGAGGAGGGAGAACCAGCAACGGAATTAAATCCAAGTGCAAATGAAAAGCCACCGCTGAATGTGTTCATCATCCGAAAACTGCCATCGCCGAACAGTAGTGAGGATGAAGATGATGATCCCCACACCCTCGATTGGGACCGAGTCAGTGCCCATGTGCACAAATGCAACGATGCTTGGTTTCAACAACACCAGCCCCTGCTAACCAGGCAACGGACTCAAGCACTGAAAGAGGCATTTGAGCACCCACTGGTCTTGCAACAAGCCTACTTGGAACTCTTTACCGATGCGGAGAGAGAGCACTTGACCTATGAACATTTTTTGGAAGATTGGGCAGCCTATTTGGAACAACGGAAGGGAACGATTCCAAAAAAGCAGATCTCCTACGACGATGCATTTCTTTTTCTGCAAGAGATGCAATGATGAAGTCTAGTATAGTTTCTAGCTCAATGTTTCGATTTGTTTTGTAGATGTTGCAAGAAAGGAACTGTCATGAGAGGATGATTCACTCTCTCTAATATAGTCATCGGTCTGTCAAAATCAGCATCTTATGGAGAAGAACGAACACAGTCGTTCGCTTGGACCTTAGAAAAGTGCAAACCGCCAAATCAAGTCAAGTTTTGTACATAATCTGGGTAACCTTTTCTAGATGATTACAAAATTGCTACCAGCTCATCAGTATTATTGTTTGTCAGTGGACTTCGTCCGCCGGCCTGAAGAACTTGATCGCTTCTTTCGCTTGTGCTCCTTTCTATCACTCGAAGATTTCTTGCTGCTCTTTTCCCTTCTCTCCACGCTCTTTTCCCTTTTCTTGGGCTTTGCTGAAGATTTCGGAATGTTTTCCATATTGAAATGAAGCGGCTCGCCATCAGGTATGTCTGGGATCTCACCCGTGTCCACTGCAGCTGCAATCTTCCTCAGATCATCGTCGGCTCTCTGAAGACGCAACTCGAAATCGGTCTTCTTGTAAGCATCTTCAATGGTGTCGTTTCCTGCACCCCAGCTCTTGCGGGCTTCAGCCAGTTCATCCCTTGCATCTTGTAATCTCCCTTGAGCGAAGTAAACCTCGACCTTGACTGTCCATGCGGTCACATTGTCTTGCTTCAAGTCGATTGCTTCTGCGCAGTCCTCCAATGCATCCTCGTAATCATGGTTTAATAGACTTGCCTCAGCGCGTTCAGTCAACATAAGGCTGTACAATGGCGCGTCAATCGGAATTGTATCCGAACTTTCTAATGCCGTGGTGAAGAGATCGACAGCTTCTCTGTAACGACCACGCTTCACACGAGCTTGACCCTTGCTAAAGTTGGAGTAAATCTTCTGACAATTTTGTAGCAAAGTAGAAACTTCAGTATTGTCAATATCAACTTCAAGAGATTCCTTGAGAATTGACATTCCTTGCTCCATTTCACCAGATAGGAACAGGGCATAACCGCGAACCTGCAAACCTTCCAAATGATTTGGATTGAACATGAGTACTTTGTTCACACGTTCCATAGCCGAATCTGTGATACCCAGATAGGCATCAGCTCTAGCCGCTGCCAGCCATAGACTAACGTTGTCAGTACTATTGACAATAGGAAGCATAGCTTCTCTGGCCCCTTCGTAGTCTCCATTTTCAATGAGCTCGTTCGCGTTATTGAGTAGATCTCTTTGCTCGGTTGCTGCTTCGAGTTCCTCTTCGAGTCGTTTCGAACCAGGAATCGCAACGAGAGCGTCTTCCAAGCACTTGAATGCATCGTGGAAACTTCCCAGTGCCATGAGAGCTCTCCACTTTCGAATGTATGACTTTTCGTGCTTTCCGTCCAATTCCAGCGACTTATCGCAATCTAGGACGGTCGCAGCGAATTTCTTTTCACGGAAGAACGTGACGGCTCTGTTGGCATACAGACTCGCGGCCAACTCGCGTGTATCACGGTTATCAGGGTTCTTTGGCAAGTATTCCAATCCTTGGCCATACAATTGGCGAGCACCTGCAACATCCCCCTTGTTAAGTTTAGCATTCGCTTGTTTCTTGAGCTTCTCGGCTCGCTCAACGTCTTCGTCCCCACTGAATGGAACTTCCAATGTTGATCCTTCTGCCACACTTCCCAAGACTGATCTAGCATCCTTTGGAGTGAGCAAAAATCCAGTGGTGTTGTTCCCCATCGAACTTACTGACATATAGTCGATGCCACTTGTGACTGACAGCTCCATCCTGGATTCGTGAGCCCCGTCACCATTCTCTACACATTTCGACAATTCCTCTCTCAATCTTGTCGATGCAGGTAGGACCTCGAGACCCTTTTCGAGGCAGTCAATTGCATCGTCATACCGTGAAAGCGCGGCGAGAGCTCGAGATTTTCGAATGTAGGACTTCTCAGATTTCGGATCAAGTTCAATCGCCTTGTCACAATCCCAAGTACTGGGTCCAAATTCCTTTTCTCGAAAGAATGTGACTGCTCTGTTGGCGTACAGTGCTGCCAAGGTTGATCGCACCTTTTCATTGGCAGTGTCATCTGGAAGGCAGCCCAGCGCTTCAGTATAAAGCAAACGAGCGCCAGTTATATCGCCTCTATTGAACTTTGCATTAGCGTTCCTCTTCAATTTGTCAGAAAGCTCCAATTCGTACGAGAAGTCCTCGTCGGCACCACCTTTTTTTATCTTCTGTGCTGCTGTCTTTGATGTGCCAGGTGAGACGAAATAGTTGAAGCTTCCGGCCGAACTATCGAGTTCACCTTGTGAAGTGGGGCGGTCGTAATCATTCGAAAAACGCTTCTGCGCAGGCATCGGCTTTGGTTCGGGAGCACTTGGAGTCATACCATCGAACTCGCTCTTGCGCAACTCTTCGGCAATCTTCTTCGAATTTGGAAGCTTCGTGCTACCGTCTTGCAAAGAGTCAAATGCTTCTTGCATTCGTTCAAGTCCAATCAGAGCACGAGCCTTGCGGATGTAGCCCTTTTCAGCAGTAGGATCAAAGTCAATCGCCTTTTCGCAGTCGGACAGCGATTCTGAGTACATCTTGTCGCGGAAGAAGGTAACAGCACGATTTGAGTACAGCATTGAAAGCGATGTCTTGACTTCGTGGCTGTATTTGCCACCAGGAGGTATGCATCCAATTGCATCTGAGTAGAGTTGACGCGCTGATTCGATTTCGCCCTTGTTAAATTTCGCGTTCGCTTGCTTCTTCAACCTGTCCGATCTTTCAATTGCAGCTGGACTTGGCTCTCCTCCGCCGAGATTTGGCAGATCGTATCCACCAACTGGGGTAGTCATCTTTGTCATTTCAGAAACTGAGAAATCATCATTGTTTTTATGGTCCATTTTGGACATTGAGGACCCTGGTGCCATTGCCTTGCGAAGCTCGTCTTGAAGCTTATGAGAGTCAGGAAGCCTCTCAATACCAGCATGCAAACAAGCAATGCCCTCATCTCTTTCTTCCATTGCAGAAAGAGTTCGCCACTTTCTTATGTAAGTTTTCTCAGCATTTCTGTCAAGCTCTAGACTCTTGTTGCAATCTTCCAGACTTTGAGGCAATATCCTCTCTCGAAAGAAGGTTACCGCGCGATTGGAATACAAGGATGCCATCATCATGCGAACGGTATCGTTCGAAACCGGGAGGACTGAAATAAGAGCCAGCCCTTCGCTGTACAACATACGAGCCCCTTCGATATCGCCACGGTTGAACTTGGCATTTGCTTGTTTCTTAAGCTTATCACATCGCGACATAGCGCGTTCAATGTCAGGTAGGTTGACAGAACCAGCGTCTGCATGCTGAGGCATAGATCGCAAGTGATGTGCTGCGGTAGGTTCTCCTCGAACTGTGGTTCCAGTTTTTGACATGTCGTCCTCGTAGACGCTGGGTCTCTCCACGGAAGTACCTCTGGCTGGCTGTTGTTTGGGCGCGGATGGAGCAGGTGAAGGGTCGAGGATACCATTCAGTTGCTTATGATAATCCTTGTAGTCTCCAATCCACTCTTGTTTCGATCCCTTTGGTGTGCCTTTCACTTGTACATTCATCAGCAGGATGTACGCGAGAGACTGAGAAATTTTCAAACTTTTGGCACGTATTGGGATATTTTCCACAACCATAATTGTGTCGTTCTCGTCTGCTTCCTTAAGATCCTCTTTGGATACTGGATCTAAGGCTCTGCCATCCTGCGAGATTGTCTTTTGCAAATAATTCTTCAGACAATCGCGGCAGTACAAGCTATCAGTGGGGGTGATAACCACATCAAGAGAGCACAATCCTTTGCAAATACCACACACAAAGGGGCCGTAGTGCTTTTCATCTGAAACCACATAATCCAGGCTGAGACTTGTGAGCACCATTTTTAAGGATGCCTCAGCGATTGAAATTATATAGGACCGAGGCTAACTTTTGAATATGTATCTCCTCTTATTTCCCTCTCAATAATAAACGTTGTTGGTTTGTGTTTATTATTCTTTCCTTTTTACAAATAGCTCAAGAAGGACATCCCATTGCCGCAATTAGCGGGAAATTTCACAGCAAACTACAGCAGTACCGAATTTTTTACCAGTCATGTCGTGCAATACTACAAGAGGAGACTACCGTAGGAATCCTACTATGTCCATTATGTCCGGACGGTCCGGACGGCTCGGGAGCGAAATTTTGGTTGAGTGACATGGAGAATGCGAGGGAGTGGCAGTAGAATACCTTGGTACCCTACCGGTACCGGTATACGGTACCGGTACCAGGCACCTACCAGTGCTAGCTAGATACCACAGAGAAGTTATAATATTATTTTACCACTTTATTAATTTTTAAAGTATTGACAAGCCCTCAGTAAGAGAGTCATTATTAAAATTGAAATGGTCACAATGCTATTTTCAGCATCCCTTGGATACAGCACTGCTACCTCATCACAACATCTCCATCCCGATCTCGAGAAGAATCTTGAGGCGTCGGTGTGCCTTGATTTGACGTTGGTGCGCTCCCCTTGGTACTATATTTTGCCTTGAATTGCATCAAAATTGGGTAGAATTTCGTGTAAGCATTCTTCAGGTCAGTACGCTTTCTGGACCCAGTTAGGACAATTTTACCAGATGAAAAGACAAGGATGACAACTTCAGTACGGTCCATTCGGTAGACGAGGCCTGGGAATACTTCTGGCTCATAACTGGTATAATCGGAATGAGCGTAAGATAATTCCTCCAGTTTTATTGGGAATCCAACATTGGCAGTTCCCATTACATTCTTTATCTTGAAATCCATTGCACCAAACTCCTTTGGTTTAAATCCAATCTTTTCGATCACCAATCGAAATTCCTTACAGGCACTCTCGGCCTTGGCTATGGAATCCGCTTCGGTAATTATCAGTTTGCCGCTTGCGAACATTACACCGACCGTTTGAAGTTGTGTTAAGCGCATCGTCAACGCCCCATGCCTTCGAGGGTTGAAATCAGCATACCGACACTTGAAGGCAATCAATTTCAAATCGAGGGGACAGCCAAAGTGAGCGGTGGCAGTCATCTTCTGAATTTGAATATTTTGGACTCCTCCAAGACCATCTGGAACTTCGATCGTGGAAGAATCGGGATTGTATTTATTGACCGAGGGTGGTGGAATGGAAGCATCTCCGATTGCAGCCATTCTGAACGATGAGTATAACAAGCGCAACAAAAAAAATTGTGATCTGAAGAGGGGTTGCTTCGCATTGTGAGTTGCATATTATGGGGTCTGTGGAACACGTTTCCCCCTATATTCGACGAACGAAAAACATGGCGATGACGAATAACGACTATTAGCATTTTAGATGGAACTTCTCATACTGAACCTCTTCTAATAGTATGGCGACGCGAAGAAGGCCACAAAATACAATACGGCTCATCTGTGTCTTGCCACTCACCATAGTGGGTAACAATAGAGGTGTACTTGCCTTGGCCCCCATGGATTCATCCAGAACAAGACGAAGCCTATCTAGTCATCATGCTCCTAGTGCATCGTTCAATCGACAACAACCTGTGTGCAACCTATTCTTCCGTTCAGGTACCGCTCCTCCAAAATCATCAGAAAGAAGGCAGATCGACCCAGCAATATTGGGACAACTTGAATCGCCAACGTTGCGTCTCCCATTTGAGTTTTCTTTGACTCGGGGTGAAGAGCAGGACGACGACGAGAACTTAATCATTCGTCACATGGGAATGGACGATTTGGATGAGGTTGTAAAAATGTGCATGGCTGAATTTGGTCCTGCGGCTGATAAGGATCCGCAATCACTGCCTGATTGGCTGGATAAGATCTACTTTGAGCCATCAATACGATTAGCTCTTCAGGCAAAGATGAGGGAGAACAGAATATCGAATGAAAACATGTCCAAAGACCCAGCCATAATGGTCTTGTGCCGACAAGTAGAAAAGTCTAAAGTTGTCGGCTTGGTGGAAATCAGTCTACAACCAGCAGATGCGAACAAGAATCCTCCAAAGTTTCCACAACCTTTGGCCATCAAGAATCTTTACAGCAAATTCAAAGGGGTCAAGATTGAGGGTTGGGTCACCAATTTACTAATCGATCCAGACTATCGTGGTCTAGGGTATTCCAAACTCTTGATGGCGGCAACAGAGGGTATCGCGAGATCATGGGATTGCAGCTACATATTCCTTCATGCGGATGCCAGCGTGCGAAGTGGAAAAGTATCTCAAACATTATACGAATCCATGGGATATGAAGTTGTCACAGACAGCGATCCTGATTACGCATGGATGCCCAAGAATACCTTCTCGTCAGTGCGTATGATTGACGGAGTTGCACTCTTGTGCTTTCGGAAACCTCTTTGATGGGCAAACGTGCTGAGTCGCATGCATTCAGCACTTTCCATCCACCAACAACACTCGCATGGAATAGATTGCCACCAAACGGATTGATTCGCGTTACATACCTTTTTTACTCACTCTCTGTGTGCGAAAGACATAATTGACATGTACTTGACTGAAAAGTAGTATGCCATGCTTTTAGGATCTGAAATACTGTCGCCATGAAAGAACTTTGAACAATCTGCAGGAAAGTCGAACAGGAAGTAGAGTTTTCAAAAAATTAGACTCCTGTTTGAGTGGCTGATTTTTTATTTTAAAAAGTGTAGGGAGGTTAACGGCATCGTTGGATTCAATGTCATCGTAGGCAGTGTTGAAGACTGGTAATTGGAGGTAGATAGCTTTTTGGTCAAATAGGCCCTACAGTTGCAATTTATATTGCGATAGCTTCTTGTTTATGAAAGACAAAAATTTCATCTGAAGCTCAACAGCATAACTTGACAGCTTGGTTTGCGCGCTCTCAAGCAATCTCTTGAGGGACAATAAACGCATCACCATAGATTTCTAGTGGTAAGTTGTTGGATGGAAGGGTATTTCATCACTCTAGTCTTCTTAGGAGAAATCGGATAATTCTCGATGAATCATGATGGCAGTATTTCAAGACTCCCCATACGTCTTCACATTATCATGGAACGTACACTACTACATTAGATGGAAAGAGCCGATGAGAGTCTTCGCAATAACCTGAAACCAGAAGTGGCGCTCTTCAATCGCATGAAATTGATTACCACCAAATCGATTGATTCACGTCACTTACTGCTCACTCTCTGCGAAAGAGAACAATAGGAATGTACTTGACTGAAAAGTGGTGTGAAATGTAAGAAGCTTTCAGGATCCGAATAATCGTCGTCATTTAACAACTCTGAACTATCCGGCCGGAAGAAGTAGATTGGAGCTAAAAGTTCAGACTCATTTCTGAATGGCTGATTTTTATTTTAAAAAAATAAAATGTTGTAGCGAGGTTAACGGCATCGTTGAGTTCAATATCACAGAAGACATTTTGAAAACTGGTGACTGGAGGTAGATTGTTGTTTGGTCAAATAGGCCCTACAGTTGCTATTTAGATTTCGAGAGCTTGTTGTTTATGAAAGACAAGGATTTCATCTGAAGCCCAGCAGCGTAGCTTAACAGCTTGGTTCGTGCGCTCTCAAGCAATCTCTTGAGGGGCAACAAATAGAGCATCATAGATTCTGGTGGTCAGTTGTCGGATGGTGGAAGGGTATTTCATCACCAGTCTTCTTCTGAGAAATCAAATTATTCTCGACAGAACATGAGGAGTATTTTTAGATGCCTCATACGTCTTCACATTCTCATGGTAACTACACTATAGTAGTTGGAAAGAGCTGATGAGAGTCTTCGCAATAATCTGAAACAGAAGTTGTCGATATTCTTTCAACCTTCCGAGTGCTTGAAGAGGTCGATGATGAAAAAATGAGGACGCTGAGATTCCCGCTAACATGGTACATTTTTCCACGTCTTTTTGCGTAGAAAAACGATGAATCTCGGGCCGAAATAATGAATCTTGCTCGACCTCGGCTGTTGATTCATTCTGTCGCTGCTCACCCCTCTCGAGATTCTTCTTTTTATCCACTCGTAGATCGGACGTTGTAGTTTGGCATCCTCAGTAGTTGCGTTGGCAATTTGGATTGTCATTGCTAGGCATCAGCACTTCAGCACTGAAAGGATTGTGGACGCCGATTACTTTGTCACATCGAGATCGAAACAGCTGCAAGGAGGTCGACATAGGAAGTAAGAGCTGACTTGTAAGTTTCAATCATTCCCACTCCCAACTCTTGCAATCGGACCTGGTATCAACTGTATGGTGTTCTGGACACTCTGGATCCCAATCCAAGGCAGCTAATGGCATCAACACCATCAAATTCCGATTCTAATTGGTGGCTATGTGTCGTGCTACAGGACTAGTCCGACTTCGATTGATTTGCTGCGTGTTTAGGTTTCAGCAGGACGCTGTATTTTCATTTTGAATTCAATATCTGTTATCTCATCCCATCTATTTCATCACTTCCTTGATTATATTATGACCGTAACAGTACAAGAGAATCGACATAAAAAGGAAACTGCTGGCCTTGACCTTTGTGCTCTTAGAATTCGACACCCAGAGATTGGAACAAAGAGAGTTTTTCGGAAATCGAAGCGATCGCGTAGCATGAGTGATTTGGCAATGTCTCATCATAGCGAACCGCATCAACCTCAGGCAGCGGTATCATCTAACGCTGTTTTCAATCCCTTAACAGTAGGAGAAGAACAAATTGCCGGAGTGGGAGGGAGTGTGGTGGATGATCTCATGAGTGTTTATGAGAGTATGACTCAATCAAAGACGCCTCACCCAAACCATCATCAACAATCAAAGCCAATGGTGCAGCACGGGCAATATGACCAGTATGGGAGTCCGGATCAAGATCACCAGATGCAAGCACCGCAACCCCACATACCACAGCAGCAATCACCGATGGTTCAGCAATACAATATACCGGACCATGTCTATCCCCAACATGTCCCAGCTCCGCAAATGCAATACCAGCAGCCACCGCAGCAAGTTTATGGTGGCTATCAAAATTACCAACAGCATTTTGCGCCACCAGTTCAAAACTATGCACCCCTGGACCAACAAAACCAACAGCATCAGCAACAAATGCCTAAACCTGAAGAAGAAGATGATTCGGATGAAATGGAAGAGCAACCTCGCAAGAAGCGAAAAGGATCTTCCAAGGCCAAGGGACGCAAGAAGGGGAAGAACTCTGATGGACGATGGTCAAAGAGGTTTACTTGGCCTGATGATTTGCATCGTGATTTTGTCTCGGCAATCTTCGACGTGGGTCTTAAGCACTCATCACCATCAACGATTATGGAACACATGCCCAAGAATCCAGACATTACAACTGAACGGATTAAGAGTCATTTGCAGAAATATCGTCTTCATCGTCAAAAGTCGAAGGAAGACTTCATGTCTTCCTACGAGGCATCGCTGAACAAGTTTCAAGAGAAGGGATTGTCAAATGTCAAGTCTTTGACAAATGCGGACGCAGCTGCACATCTGACGTATTCTGCCACCATGGATCCTACCAAGGTTGCCGTCCCACCTACCCTTGCTCCCCTTCCAAGCCAAGAAGTGGCCGCTCGCCCTGCACAGCCAATCGTATATTCGCCAAATGTCAACGAGGCGCTTATGCTTCCTCAGCTGACTGAAGCGGAGAAAAAGAGTCCGATTGGTGCTTCAATGGGATATTTGATGGGTCTGTTTTTCTCATTGAAACAGCAACTGGCAGCACAACGTAGTCTTTCCAACACCGACAAGATGAATAATCATTCCGCTTTGCATACTACTACTGTGGTTCAAAAGGTTGCAGATGCTGAAGAAGTCACCCGTGAGTCACCCTCTCACATGCACTCAGGCAACAGTATAGCTTCTACTGCCTGCACGGAAGAAACAACATCCTCTACACATCCTGCAACTCGCAACATTGAAGTCAATAGCCACATGAAACGTGACATGCAGAATCAAATGGCATTCCAGAACAAGATGCGTGCCCTGAAGCTACAAGAATTGAATAAGATTAAAAAAGTGGGAGACGGGAAGGATCTACCTGCTGCTGCTGCTGCTGCTGCTGGACACCCACCGCAACACGGAGATGACGAAGCTGATGAAGGCCAAGTTGCTGGAGAAAACGGTGGACACGATGGAGCAGATGGGGCACAAGGGGGTGCTATGAGAAGCAGAGGAATTTCAATAGCAGCGTCCGATGACTTTTGGAATAGCGACGTTGTCGACGAGCAGCTGTTTGAATTTCTTATGAATCATTAAAAAACTCTTTGGCTTCTCGCGAAATACTGGCATGTAAATACTGTATCATTCTAACATTTTATTTGTTAAAATAACATCCATGAATATTAATACACCTAAATCCTATCAACTTTCTCCATGAAACAAAATACGTTTGGGATCACAATCTCTGCTCCCGATTTGATACGGCAGCTTAACCTATACTCGTTGGCCGGAACCAACCAGGCCGCTCTCTCCCCTTCCGAAATTTGTACTTTCCAGAGGGCTTCTTCCAGCATCGAAAGGGCTTCCATCTGAAGGTACTTGAAAAGCATGTTATGGATACGGTCAACTTGAACTCGTCGGCTTGTCTTGTCAGATAGCTCCTCAATGAGCCGCAAGATCGTAATTTTCCATTTTGCAGACCTGAGACTCTTCAGGGGCGCTCCAGTACTTGCATAGATGCAATGAGTGAGAAGAGGGAGAGAGCTTGGCGTCATATTTTCCACCAAGTAGTCAATGGGTCTACTTCCCCATTTGTCGCCAAGTTCAAGGCATCGTGGGAACCTCCTTTGCAGCTCGATCCAAAGATTAGCCCGCGGTTTGCAGGAAAGAGCCAAAATGTGCAGCGGCGTCATTTCAAGACCATCTTGGAAATTGTCAAAGGCTTCACTCGCCAAGCTCTGGCGAATTTCTTCAAGGACTGTATTTTCTTCCTTGTATTTTTGAAAGTAGCAGATGCGGTGTACCGGCAAACCATCGAATCTGTGTTTCAGAACGTGAAACAGCTGATCTTCTTCGAAAACCTGCAGGAGGTCCTCGCAGCCGGCAAACGGTTCTCCTATCCGCGAAATATTGTTAGGCAGATACACATTTCTCAGTGATGCGCAGCTTATAAGTGATCCGTCTCGAATGCTGCTCATCGTCTCTGGAAGCTCCAATGACATTAGGCTCCAGCAACGCGAAAACGCATATGGTTCGATTGTGGTAGTCTTGGACGACAGGGAAACATGTCGCAAAGATCCACAACGCAGAAACCAACCATTGACATATTCAATAAAATCTGGTAGTGCAGCCGACTCAAGACTGCTGCAATCTGCAAATGCCGAAGTAGCAATCATTTGGACAGTGGACGGAACCTCAATTGCTCGCAACGATCGGCAGGATCGAAAGGCAGCAATACCAATGGTCTGAAGTCCTTCTGGAAGTACAACCGGGTTAAGCTCATAGCAACCCTCGAACGCGTTGTTGCCAATATCAGTCAAACTGCCTGGAAAGATGACTCGCTGCAACACAAAACAGCAATAAAAGGCATTGTCACCAATTACCTTAAGCTGATCTGGGAATTCCAGCCATACCAAGTTTTCCAATGAATGCAATCTCCAATTTGGGATTCTTTCGATATCAGTGTCCACGGTTATATATTTGGCATCCCGTCGAATCGCTCCACGGCTCTGGCCAGTGTAGAGAAAGCCAGCGTCATGGTCCATGCCTTCCCAACTGTGACGTTTTCGTTCCATTTTTGTCATTCACTCATTCTTCGCATAATGTTCGTTTCGTAGAAATTTCTGATGACGTCCGTCCTGCAACCGTCTCACGCCATCATCTTCAATCTCCACCCAACTTCGAACTTTTGGAAGAAAACCAAAAACAGGAATCCAACCACAACTACTATTGCTCAGAAAGGATTATCGCACAACAACTTAAGATGGGCGACAACCGAGACGATCCAGGAGATTATGCTCGCCCGAGGCGGCCAGATACAGATACAATTTCTTACTTGAGGGGCTTGCCATTGGACGTGGATCAAGCCAAACAAGAAATTTCTTCCTACCTAGAACATGGAGGTGAATTTCCGCAAACCCTTGTGGCTACCTTTTCGGCGATTGATGAAATCTGCATGGAAATTGCCTCTCTTGCAGGTGATGAATTTGGTTCACAGGGAGTCGAGCTGCTGGCTCATATTTCTGCTCCTCATTCCGAATTGGCTTCAAGGATACTGTTGAATGCTTGTTCTGGATACCATTTGCATTTGGCCACACATCGATACGGCTCTCACGTGGTTCAGACAATTCTTCAACTTGCATTTTCATCGGCCAGTGAAAAAGATTTGGCGTCTGATCCAGAGTCCCCTTCCTTTGATAACTCCTCGACCGACGACCTCCCGTCTCTCGCTGAGTTGGTCCAAGGCATGGTAGAAGAGTTATCACCACACACATCCAGCTTGGCAGTTCACGTATGTGGCTCTCACGTCCTCCGAACACTACTGTGCGTCCTGGGCGGAGTCGACCTAGTAACTTCTGGAAATGGCAGTGACAATCGATTCGACAGTGGCGCCATTTTGCGTGGTCGAAAGAAAAACAAGAAAAAGAAAAAGAAGAAACCCGATGCCGATTCATCAGCTGGAATCCCTCATGCTGGAACTATGAGCGTCATTTACCGTTCACATTCTAGGGTAAATCCAAACGAATTCACATCTTCCTTGGAAGCCATGACGAATGCAGTGATTGGAGAACACGGAATGAAGGAACCTGGCGAACTCCAGCAACTTGCTAGCCATCCTAGCGCTGGACCACTTTTGATTGTTCTGTTTCGAGTGCTAACATATTCTACTGAGGACGGAAAGAAACAGTGGGAGGCCCTAGAAGCAGAAAAGGGGGACTCGATTGCCGATTTCCGCTTGGGCATTGCTCGTCAGGAACCAACCTTTGCTACTGGGACACTCGCACATAGAATGGCCTGCCAGATCCTCTGCTGGGATGAGGATGTGGAGGAACAGCCACATGCGGGGGATATTATCTTTGGGTTGTCTGGGGAGCCCCGAGGTTCCCATTTACTGGAAACTCTGTTGCGACTGGCGCCAGATGAAATGCACAATAATATCCTTCAATGTGGAGGCTTCTTTAATCCAACTGCCATGCAAGAATATTGTGAACACCAAGTATCCAACTTCGTTGTCCAGACACTTTTGACAACGATCCGAACCAAAGAACAAGCAGAAACAATGCTCAAGGTTGTCGAGAAGGTCATATCGAGTGGTTTGGCAGTCGATGGCACAAAGAAGAGACGAGGGATCCTGTGGAGAACGGTCGAGCTAGCTTCCAAGTTTCGAGTGGGCCAAGATGGAATCCTCAAGGCGGTTCGATTGGGATTCGCTGCCATTAGCAAGTCTACTACTGCTACTGAAGAATCCGCAGAGACGGAACAAGCAGCAAATGACCAAGACCAAGGAGAGGAGGAGGGCAAGAACAAGAAAAAGAAACAACGAAAGAAGGCAACTTCAGTGGAAGTCAAGGATTGTGTCAAGAGTCTTCTTGGCGTTCAATTGCCCGAAAAAGAAGGCGACCGACTCACATTGGACGCCACTGGCGCCCGGGCAGTCTATCACATGCTTCGCTTCACGCCGCGTTTGTGCGAAGACGTGTTGAAGGGTTGCATTGACGAACATTCTGTCGATGAATTGGTGGCCATGGCCAAGGACGGATTGGGAAGTCGCTGCGTCATGGACGGCATATTAAGTGGGCCCACCAAGACTCCAATTTTTGCCGCCGCCTCCAAAAACTTGTACAAGAAATTGACCGACCATTGGGTCTCCTTGTCCATTGACCGAGTGGGCCATCACATTGTTAAGAAGCTATTCGAAGCTTTATTAAAGATTGATGACAAGAGTATGCTGGTCGAAGAGTTGGTGAATGGAGGCAGACGACTGACTGCCAACAAGATGGGCCACAGCGTTTCCGAAGCCTGTATGGTGGACATCTACCGTGAGAATCCAAAGCAATGGCGCAAGAAAATTGTCAGCACTCAAGACAAGTCGGAAGACACGTTTTTGAAGGAAATGACTTCTGCTAGTGGCGAAGGCGGCCAAGCATCGACCAAGCCCAAGCGCAAACGCAAACGAAAAAAGAAGGAGACGTCCACCGAAGAGGAATCGGCCACCAAAAAGACTTCCTTTCCATCCTCGAGTGTGGATTCCATCATCAATGCCATTACCGCTAGTTAGTATTTACAATATATAAAATACAGACAGTAAGTCTTGTGGTGGTCAAAAATTGTATTTTACTCTTTTCTTAAAACTGTGAATATAAATACGATCAAAATTGCAAACAAAACTTGCAAGAAAAAATGGTAGGTTGCACGAGATGAAAGACTAATCTCTATACCCGCAAGGCAAGCTTGGTGGTGGGTGCTGTGAGAGTTTTGCCCAGCAATTTGGCACCCTGGTAGTTTTGTAATTTGTACAATTCCTGTTGGAGGTTGTCATGGACCGTCGACATGTCCAATCGTTCGGAAATATCCGTGCACCATGCTTGTTTCAAGAGTTGCTTAATACCCTTGGGCCATGACATTGGAATCTTGGGCCGGAGACCATGTTGCATGACTTTTCTCTTGACTTCAAACATGTTCAAATCGCAATAGGGGACTACCAAACTCAAGATTTGGTGTAGCAGAATGGCAAAACTGTAGACATCCGTCTTGAGATTGTACTTTTCGCCTAGGCCACATTCTGGACTCATGTAGCGTTTGGTGCCCGTCTTGGTCAATTTGAAGACTTGATTGGCATATTCTTCTTCAGGGATGATTCTAGAAACATCAAAATCAAAGAGTTTGATCATTCCACCAGCATCAAAACCAATATTGTTTGGTTTAATGTCGCGGTGCACAATGGATTTTTGGTGCAAATAGGTAATCGCTGAGGCCAATTGTTGGGCCACATTCAATCTCTCACAAAAGAACTCGCGGTTCTTTTTGGATCGTTTTCGATCAAACATGCTGACTTGGAATTTAGTCCAAGTGTCCATGCGAGTGCTTAATATTTCTTGCAGTTTGTCCAAGACAAGAAAGCAAGCATCATTTCTACCGGTAGCGTATCCAGAAGGTCCCACCTGAGAAAAGGCTTGAACCCCAATGATATGCTCATGTTGCAGAGATGCTAGGATAGAGCCTTCCCGCAAAAGTCCAACCGCACAGGCGGTGAAGAGTTTGGTTCGGTCGAGGACATGCTTTCGGAGGACCTTGACCACGCATGTGTTTGGGTCAATCTCGTTCGTGAGGCTCGTTTTGATTTCAAAGACGTTGGAAAAGGCGCCTCCCCCCAACAAATTGCCCAATTCAATCTGCGAATGATTCACGCGCGTCACAGGTTCATTCTTTTTGAGACCTTCTTTGGATTCCCTCAGCTTGCAAAAGGTTTCCGAAGCCAAGATGGTCTTCATCCTATCCTTGATGTAACAGCCAGCCTTGGCGTACTTTTCTTCGTCGCTTTGGGAGCGTTCGCTGGCACTCAACTCCTCGGAAACCTCGCTGCTGTCTCCCAGGAAACAATCGAGAGGATCATGAGAGGAATGAGCGGTGGATTCCTCCCACAGGAAGGTTCGCGTGGTGTCTTCTTTGCTCATCATTATTCTTGACTTCTTAACTTTTTATGAATTATAATGAGAAAGAGACTGATGTGTGTGTTTGGAGCTAATCGTGTTGTGTTGTGAGCCTTGAGCCTTGAAAGAGTTTGAGATTTTAGCTTTTGTCAACGAGTTCTGTTTCTCCTTGGTTTCGTATTCCACCACGATGCGAGACTGAAGATTGAAGGTTCTTTTTTTATCGATGTAATAAGTTGACGTTTCAGAATACTGTCCAAACGCTCGCGTTCTCTGATCATGGAGTATAAATAAGGGGACTTATGGAATCAAATAGCTGTGAGGTATGAGGATGGCGTATGATTAAGGGCAACTGTGAATTATAGGATTACTTAGTGTTAGTAATATGTAGTGTCAGAAACCGACGAATTTCAAAACCCATTCATCACATAGAGAAGAGCGAATGTTTGCAACCAACGGGCCGTATCGAATAAATGATGCTTGTACTTGCAAATTTCGATGTCAACTTCGTTTCGCGAGAGCTGACATCAATCGAATCCCATTGGTCATACGGGTGATTACCACTTTCGTTAGTTGGTTTCGCATGCAATCGCATTGGTCAGGGGGTGATTGATTCATCCATAGTTAGCGCAAAAAAGGCAGTCACAGACTACAGTATCAAAAGGTCCCATCAGCATGCGTCATGCACTCGGCATCAAGATGGTTCCTAACGCTCTTCTTTTGGTTGTTGATATCCTCCACTTGGGGATGGGTATCTTGTCGTGATGGAACAATCGAAAACGGCTTGAAGAATAATCATCGAGCTTTTGTTCTGCCGGCCAAAGCACCATCCAAAGCATCCATCAATGACAGCAATGACAGTGACGTCAGTGATGATAATGTGGAGTATGGGGGTTGCACCTCGGAAGTAGTGGGCGCCTTTGGACGAATGGGGTCCTTTTGGCTCTGTCATCCCTCTCCCACAACTTCCTATGCGGCTGCCATTCCTCGAGGCTTGTCCCCCGGATGTTTGTCTCCACCAGGATGTCCCATTCTAATCAATACACCCAGCAGTGCCTGGGAATCCATTTTTAGTCAAACCCCTGCGGCGAGAAAACAAGATTTAGTCTTTGTCGGCAATGGAATTCCATCGCCGAAATTCCAAGATTGTACCGTGGTGGTTCCACATTATTCCATTCTGCAAATTTGTCAAAAGTCTACTGCCCATAGTCCCATTGGCACTAATCCATTGTCGCCCAGTACCTTTGTGTATGGCAAACATGCTGCCTACACGGCTCGCATCTTGCAAGAACATGGAGTCCAGACGGAACTGGTGGATTCATTTGCATCCATTCAAAGCAAAGCCGCGCTCAAATTGTTTTGGGCATCCTGCATGTGGTTGATTTGCCATTCTTCCACAATAACAAATGACAATGATGGAGGACCAGCATACACCTTTGAAGAAGTGATACAAAATCACCAAGCCAAACTTGATCGACTCGTGGACGACTTATTAACATCTTTGAAAGAACATTTGGGGCACCCAGTATCCAGGTCGGAAGTGCAGGACTACATGAGATCGTATTCTCTATCCATTCCAAAAGCGATTCCAAGCAAGGAACTTGCTATCAAGGAATTGGAAGATCGGAATGGTTTCTGGTTGAAGCTACGGACAGAAAATAATCCACAATTATTTCATCAAGAATTGATTGAATCTGTCCTTGGCAAAGAGAAACTGAAACAACTGCTATTGCGGTCCGGCAGCAGTTTGGGTGCAAACGAGGATGATAGTCTTGTTCCAGGAGGAGGCAAGGAAGAGGAAGAGCTCGTCGTCAATCTAGACGAAATTGGATTGCAGCTTTCTGGTAAAGCTTCGTCAGTGGTCTCGAATAGTACTGATGATGCACCACCACCGCCACCAATCCAACGCATAGTCGTGGTGGGAGCAGGAATTCTCGGATCTTCGACTGCCTACTTTTTGAAACTGCAAAATCCAAACTTAGATATTCATGTTATCGATCTTCTCGGGGCCAAGGATCTGGGCAAGACTACACCGGCATCTTGGGCCTGGCTGAATGCCAATGGCAAGGAACCAAAGGAGTATCAAATACTCAATCAACTTGGTCTACATGCCTGGAAGCACTGCAAGACTGTTTGTCACCTTCCTTCCTGGTCTGGAAGTCTGGTGCGATTTGCAGCACCCCCAACGTTTGTCAATGAAGGCGGATACCCTTGCGAGGGACCCATCACAATGGAGCGAGTCCTGGATCTCGAACCTTTTGCCAATTGGCAAGTGTCTAAGAACGACAGCCGTGATGACGACTCAAGTGAACAAGGCGTAACCTATTATTTTCCTGGGGAAGGCTTTGTTGATCCTGCTCAAGTGGTCAAGACCTTTCGAGATGAGGCGGCGCGTTTGGGTGTCACCTTTGATTCGAATCAAAACGTGACAGCCATCGTGAGAAACGAGGATGGATCTGTCTGTGGAGTAGAATGTACCAATTCGTCAGCATTTGAAGATGGCAGCACTGCCACCACTTCCTTTCGACCCGCAGATTTGGTAGTCGTTGCAGCCGGTATTGGTGCAGCAGCGAAGGCCCTGGGGAACCTGCCGCTGAAATACGAGCCAGGCACCATTGTGCACGCCAAGACGACCTCCACGGAACCCTCGCCACCCCGATTGTCACGAATATTGGTCGACACCATGAGATCCAGTCATGTATTGCAACGATCGGATGGATCCATTGTGGCGGGAGGTGGCGCGTTGGCAGTCGGAGGTTCGACGGGAATGGTCCAATCGTCTTTGGTGAAAAATAACAAAGAATCACTCTCCATGTTTGAAGCCGCCAAGCAGCTTTCTCCCATAGTGGTTGGGAATAGTGAACCAATGCATTTTGCCGAAGCCGTTCGCCCCATGCCAAAGGATGGCCTACCTGCAGTAGGATTTCTCCAGGAGGGTATCTACACGGTAGTCACGCACTCGGGCATGACACTTGGACCACTTTTGGCTTCCATGGCAGCAGCCGAGATCACAAAGAAGGTATCTATTCATCTTTTGGAACCCTTTCGTCCTACTAGATTCTTTGTGAACGACGAAAGGTCGGAATGAATACAAGGAGCTACGTTAATTAATAGGACTAATAGATATAAAAGTGAAGGAATAAATAGATACGAGATACAAAAGAGTTCCATACTGTATGAGGGAGAGAGAGAGAGAGTAGAAATGTTGATGATTCGATTAGTTCGAGTGCTGGTTTCTCTGCCCTTCCAAAAGCTTCCTTTGATTCCTTCGATCAAACAAGAACAATTTTTTTTGCATCATCCCGCCTAACAAAACCAACGTTGAATTCAACCATGGTGGACGCAATGGAAATAGAAGAATCGTCGCATGCTGCTGAAGAGGAAGATAAACACGATGCTGATGTAATTGAAGACGATGAAGATGAAGATGTCGAGGACTTGCTCGAGTGGATGGAAAGCGCCAAGGCTGGAAACACTGTGAAATTGCTTCAAGATGTCATGGAATCCCCAAAGACTGGACCAAAGGCTACCCAAATCAAAGAGAAGGCTGTCTATGAATTGACACGTGCCTATTGCGCTCAAAAGCAGTACTCCGCAATTGTTGGATTCCTCGAGAGTTCTACCTTTTTCCGAAAGGTAACCAAAGCCAAGTGTGCCAAGGTGGTTCGTCAAGTTTTAGATATCGTCGTCGGCTTGGCGCCTCTTGCTTATGATATGCAAAGAGAAATCTGCGAAAAGATTATTGCATGGTGCCAGCGAGAAAAGCGAACCTTCCTCCGACAAAGAGTGGAAGCCAAGTTGGCTGCTATTCTGTTCCACGAAAACAAGTATGGTGATGCTTTGGAACTCATTGATCGATTGCTATCCGAACTCAAAAAGATTGACGACAAGCAACTTCTTGTCGAAACTCATCTTATGGAATCCAAGATTCATTTTGGTTTGAGAAATGTACCAAAGGCCAAGGCTGCATTGACTGCTTCCAGAACCTGTGCGAATGCCATCTATGTCGCACCCAGTCTGCAAGCCTCGATTGATTCTATGAGTGGAACCATCCATACTGAGGAAAGTGACTACAACACAGCACACTCTTATTTCTTGGAGGCTTATGAACAGCTCGACCAAATGAACGAAAGGGCCCAAGCGGTTCCTTGCTTGAAATACATGATGTTGTGCCGAATTCTAGACTCGCTTGTCAAGGCATTGAAGTTGAGTGCCAAGGGAGCCATTGGGGCTGGTAAAAACGCGACTCTAGATGCTTCTACATTGCTCACTTCCAAGCAGGCTGTCAAGTACGCTGGGAGGGATTTGGAAGCCATGACTGCTGTTGCCAAGGCTGCCACCACCAGATCATTGAATGAATTCGAAAAAGTCTTGAAAGCTTACCCCGAAGAACTCCAGAAGGATCTTCTTATCAAGCACCACTTGCACATTCTTCAAGAGCAAATGCTTGAGAGCAATCTTATCCGAATTATTGAACCATATTCGTGTGTGGAACTTCAACATATTGCCGATCTGATGGAATTGGATCTTCTCGTTGTGGAAAAGAAGCTTAGCCAAATGATTCTAGATGGCAAGTTCCAAGGTATCTTGGATCAAGGAAAGGGTCAATTGGTTGTATACGAAGAAGGAGAAAAGGATGGGGCTATGGACAAGGGACTAGAGGTATTGGAGAACATGGACGAAGTCGTCACTACTCTTTTTGAAAGAAGTAAAGCATTGAGAACGCTCATGTTGTAAACTACACAATATTACCACGCAATACTGTAGAACCTCCTTACTTTTATATCTATTTGATTAGACTTGTCGGAGCTACTGTAAGATGATAGCGGCTGATTTTTCGAGACGATTTCTAATGGGCCAGATACTATTTCTAACTGAAATTCTCCCTTTTTGTTGGGAATTAATCATACACCAGTAGTCACATGAAAACATGGAAATCCTCGAATAGGCATCCAAAGCAATCGTTTGTTTTTTCTATTATTCTTTTGGAAGATACCAAAGTGAGAAAGATGAAAGATGAAAGCTGCTTTCAAATAGATACCCTGTGGTTGCCTATATGAAATGCATACTTTTAGACTGAGAGTCTCCCCTTCCTCTCACAGACGACTATGCGAGGGACTGGCAGCTGTCCCCATGGTCAATGCCCTGTAAGCATCCGTGTATAGCTCAATTTTTATTTGAGAAAAGGTACCAGGATTGAAATTTGCGAGCCTCAAATTCTCTGCAAGACCACCCTTGGCCATGATTTCGGCACTCATTTGCAGCTCTTCCAGTGGACATTCTTCATCGACAAGACCAGCGGCAATGGCATCGGTACTTCCATAACGCTTTGCAGTAAGTACGCCCTCGCGTAGTGTCGTTATTGTGCATTTTGCTTTGGCAAGCTCTGAGAATCCCTACTTGCATGAACGGAATTGAATGGAATCGAGGTTAGAGATAGTGGTATCGTATCCGTCATCAAAACAGGGAAACACAATATACAGCTCCCTCTTCGTACCGTACCTTTGCCAGTCGCATCCCCAGGTTGACTTCTGGAAAGTTGACAAATCCTCTCTTGGTTCTCATGATCCGGTAATCGCAGGCCAACGCCATAAACAAACCAGCTCCAAATGCGTGTCCATTGATTGCCGCCACTGTTCGACAGTCCATGATCAGTATGCGACCCAATAGTTTCCAAACTCCTTCAATCATGGACGGCGTTTTCTCTGGAAATTTTCCCATCCAGTTGATATCGAGTCCATTGGAAAAGAATTTTCCTTCGCCTGTAATGATCAGTGCCTTGGGATGATCTGCTTCTTCGACCACTTTCAGAGCTTGGCCAACATCTTTCACAAGAGAAGGGTTGAATCGATTTTCTTTACGATCCATGTAAATAGTGAAGACACCACTAAGGGTTTCTCTTTCGAGGTGAATGCCGTCTTTGCTGAAACTATCTGTGCTCATGGTTATAGATGGAGTGGCAAGGTCGGATTTGGATTGACAGCTCGTTACAGCAGGACTGTGGAGAATGGAGAACGGTTGTCAAAGAGCAGTCGATCCAGTCGATCCTTTCATGGTTCATAATGGGCTGGGCTGGCGCCTGCTGTTACAGCAGTTCACTGATAATAAAAGTGGAAAAATGAGTAAATTTTGCCGAAATGATGAGGAAGCTGAAGATCCTCAAAAATCAGCAATACGACCAGAATGTCCTTCCATTACTCTAGGCTTAACGTCCACACTTTGACGAATTATCTCTGTTAAATAAGTGTCAGCTTGAGATTTAAGATTAAGCCAAAATTTCACCCTGGACATTAAATGTCTTATTCAGGTTCTTAGAAGAACTCGAAAACCGGACGCTCTGTATTACTTATAGAAAACCAACAAGTTCAAATATGAATCCTCGTGGCGAAGTAAAATTGTCTGCAATCACAACGGCAGTTTGACCTATTCAATTCATCATTCACCCCGCCAACTACCGTTTTCTTATCCTACAGCATAATTGATTGAAAGACAAAGACACCACAGTAACCATGGTTGCGGAGTCCGACGAAGCCTCTGATATTAACAGTCACGACGACGGGCACGATATTACTTTGCAGTTGTCTCCTGAGGACATGCTTTCACCACTTTCACAACATACTGGAACTGGGAACCAGAAGCAGGCTCTCATGAAGATGATTGCTCAAGAGATGGTTCAAGCGTTTGTGGACCCCAATCAAGAAGGAGAAAACGATGAAGCACTACAAAGAAAATTCGATAATACCATCAAGCAACAGAGAAATTTGAGAAAGGCGAAACGTGAGGAAAAACCAAACAGTCAACACAGTGAATCTCGACCAGGAATTCCTTCTGGAAGTGGGTACGACCTGGCCCTGGAGGACGTCGACTTTGCGAACGAGACTACCGAAAATCGACGAAATAGGCTAAAGGCGCAGCGCTGGGCAAGCCTTGAAGGCTCAGAATGTCTTCCCGAGCCAGAGCTGAGAAAGGTAACGGACTCTCCAGTCAAACCGATGCGAGAAAAGAGTACCTCGCGACGAGGTAGCGACTTTGCCGATTCCGTAAGGGCAGATTCAACAAATACAACAAGCGTCGTCGAGGATGAACTATCAATTGAAGAAATTCGTAGATTTGTGCTTGAGAACATCCCTCGTACAGTGCGAGACCAAATCCCTGAAGAAGCTTGGGGCAAAATTTTTGGTGGAGTTTCCTCCAGATCGAGTGGAGTATCAAGACGAAGTCTAGAACAAGCATCAGCTTCGGCTTCCGAGAGCGAGAAAAATCAACAGGATTCCCTCGAACTGGAAATTGGTCCCCAGGACGACATTTCCATGATTTCCGGTTTGACCTCAGCTTTCCCGGATGGCAAGAGTCTCGAGTCCAAGATGATGTCCTTATGTTCACTGGACATGGATCGTGAGGATAAGATAGAAGAAACCTCAGAATCATTCACGGTCGAGGAGCCGGAGGACAGTTCTAATCACTCCTTGGAGCGCAGCTCTAGGATCAATATTGCGGAGTCGAAAGAGAGGACGAGCAAGGGAGTCGCCTTTGGCACTGTTGAGGTGCGGTACTACGAACGCACCGGTGCAGACAATCCCGCTGTCACCAGTGGGGCGGCCGTGGGAATTGGTTGGAAATACAAGCGTGGGGCACGCCGAACGCTGGATCAGTGGGAATCCCAAAGGGGGACGCCATTGAAATCATTTGAATTGGTCATGGACCGTGCCGAACGGGAACATATCTTGAAGAAGGCGGGTTACACCCAAAAAGAGATTGCCCAAGTTGTCCGAACTTGTCTCAAGGGAAGGAACCAGAGGCAACAGACTGTTAGTAACTTGCAGCATGCCGGAATGGAAGAAGCTGTGGAAGCTGCACAATCGAGAATAGCAAAGATTATGCGATTTGGGAAGAAAAAGTCACTGATTAAATGAAAGAGTGCACATGGGGTAGTCGTTGTTTTATTTTAAATTACATTTTAAATTGCAGAACAAGACTTCAGTACTACTATAGGCTATAGGGAGGTAGGATGATAGAATTGAGATGAAAACAGAAAATATTGGAACACGAAGGCTGCACTGCGTCGAAGGGAATGGGAATATATGGAATGAAACAACAAAGACGCACTACAATAGAAATTGAAACAGAGGAAACGTGAGTTACATGGTCACTTTTTGTCTATTGCTTTTAACATTGAATTCTATCCACAAGGCAACTATTATGGAATCAAGTACTTTTGATTTGTTTCAGGGCTCTTCATGAGGAATGTACCACTTGTATCCCCGGTCTTTTTCCTTGAAGAAGTATACTTGAGTATGGTATTGTAAAGTCTTGCGTTTTCTTTGGTTCGAGTCATTTCAAGACTTCCTGCAATGTTCGTCGTTTCCCCGTTCAGTACCGGGATTCCGGATTGAAAGTAGAATACTTGTTGTCCCCAGTGAGTGTATCCATTTTCAGGTCCAGTCGACAGGAACGAGGGGTTTGAGAGCTTGGGAGCGTCCAAACCTCCTGCATCTGTTCTGGTCTTGAAATCGGATGTGAACCATCCGGCGATACCAGAAATAGGCCCACGTGTAGTTACTCCGTCAATAGCAAAGTCGAATGTACTCATTGCATCGCCTGGCATGACACCCTTGGACTCTTCCAATGTGCATGTCATCATATCGAGCGTCTTGACGACCTGTGGTTCTGCCAAGACAGCCTCTGGCGGAAGCTCTCGCCAACGGCTGCTCCAGAGGTAGTACTCCTTTTGCTCCTTTTCAAAGTCTTTTTGGAGGATGCTCATGTTGACCCCGTACACTTGCATTGTAGTCTCTTGGAAATCAGTCCAGTCTGACATGGACGCGGCAAATTCACTGTTGTTAGCCCTTCGCTCCTCTTCATCTTGAACAGGAGCAACATACATGGTACAATGTGATGGGAACATGAGACCAGTGGCGGGTTTGAGGAATTTGTCACGTGCTCGAAGCAATGAATCCAACATGGATTCACGAAGCAAGAAGTAACCCATCCATTCACTGATAAAGATATCAACCACTCTCTCAGGGTGTTCTGGATCATCTGATTCTAGACCGTCTTCTTCAATTGGAAGCGTGATGTCCTCAACAGCCCCTTGAATCACAGTGACAATGTTGTCAACGCCGTTGGCAGCCATCACTTGTCGAGCATGCTTTGCCATGTCAGTATATTCGACTGTCGAGTGAAATGCAAGTTAATAACTCATCCAGCGCAGGTCACCATAGAGCGACTCTTTCATAAGAAAGTAAAACTTACTGGCATACACCTTTCTGGCACCAGCTTGTGCGGCCCAACAGGCCAAGATTCCAGACCCTGTACCAATATCCATGACAACCTTATCCTTGAAAACTTCAGAGTTTCCCAAGATCGCCGAATGGTATGCTGCCATACGGTTGTGATCAGCAAGCATCTGCTTCTGGTGATAAAGCTGAGCATAGGAGCAGAAGTAATTTGCAAAATCACTGGCCTTGGCCTTCTCATCGCCCTGAAAAGATGGGATCTCTCCGTTCCCCGATGTGTTGGGAAACGGGTTAATGCCTTCGACTGAGTCAGAAGCCATTTTCAGACTGGATGAGTGGTATTGGTGGGCTTGGTTTGATTGGGTTGAGACTGATCGAAAAATGATCTTCGAACAATGAGATCTGGATAATTTCGGGTGGTGAGGTGAGAAGACTTGGAGAAGCCCGGCGGCGGGTGAGGACAGACAATGTTCGCCGATCTGAAATGCAGAACCTGAAACGATAGATGAAGCAAAGATATATGCACGTATTTTCATCATCCAGAGGTCAGCAAGTTACAGAAAAGCAACGAAACTAGCGAAAGTTTCACGGTGTTATGTTCGCGACGTCGGGGTTGCTGCAAGTTCTATTTTTATGAACTTTTGCGAATGACGGATTGACGTTCTTCGACGAAAAAAAACCAGGCGAACAAGCCATCTGCGATGGCTGAAACTGTAAATTGGATGAAAGTTTATCTTTCTATACTGATACTCTAGTATCTTCCCTATTTATTCACCTTTTGTGTTAGAGCTATGAATCATTTGTCCTGCGGCGCTCTCCTTCCTTTTCTCAGCACGATTTTGGAGTATCCTACACTTTGGATGAGATGCTGGACACCCGGTAGGCAATAAATATGATGAGATCCCATTATTGTTACCGCTTCATCGTCTGCCCCTCTTCTTCTTCTTCGTTGATGACGTAGGTATTTCTTCCATTTTTCGCTTGGCGGGTTCCTCCTCCTCCACTTCCAACAGGTTTTCGAGCACCTCATACTCCTCGAGATCTTGAGAGGTCAACAAGTGAGAAGAGTATGGATGGTTCTTGTCTTCTGGAAAGACAACATGAAATAAATCGGCAGGCTCGCCAGTCGCTTCACTGATAAAACCAGGGCTCCCTTCTTTATCAACGTCCGTCTTCTTGATGTATCCTGTAATCCTCCCTTCTTGTTCCACATCCACCGTCCGACGAGACGAGATTTTGTGGGAAGAAGTCCATTTGACACTTCTTCCAATCCATTCGTGGCCTTCGATTCTCCATGGTGGATCACCGACATCTTGTTCTTCTGCCATTTGGGGACCTATTTCATTGAAGAAAACCATGGCCGCCTTCTTTGTTGTGAACCGTTCTCCAGTTGGTGCAGTCAAAATGTATCGAGATCCTTTGCGAGAAGCCTTCCAATCTGCTGTAAATCCCAATTCTACAGCCAAAGTACTTGGATCTTCCCCTGGACGAATGTCTTCTTCTCCCACTTCATCCTGGGTAGCACTATCTTGGTGATACTATTTTTAAAAAAAAAGAGCAAAATCAAGTTAAAAAATCTTGTCTGAATGTATATATATTGACATGTCGAGCACTGATTCAATACAAAAACTTACGACAACGGAATAAAAGAACGAATCTGCTTGCTTTTTTCGCTTTGTAATGCTAGCGGAATACCATTTGCCTTCCCAAAAGACTTCCACTACATCCCCTTTGGTATACAATGGGAGTGCTGGAAGCAAATGCGATCCGCTCATGGTTCCTTCTTTTTCTAATTCGCGTGCCGCCTTTTGAGCAGCCTCATGATTAAACCAAGTGTAATTGCATTGTTGTTTGCTGGTCTTTCCAAATCGTGTGTGAATGGTATCGCGAATGACATGCTTGCCATCCTTGCGAACCACGGTTCGTACCACTCTCCAATGGGATGGATAACCCAGTGCATAAGCTAATTGCCTTTCAGTCTTGAGAGACTTGGTGGGTTTGGGATCCCATAGAGCTCTTGCGTAAAGCTCCGCTGGAGACGGAGGAAAGCGAGGATTGGACAAGATGCCCATTGCGTTGGTAATGGCAATACTACAGTGTACACAAGCAGAGCGCGACGGTTTTAATACAAATTTGATGTCGCCCAAACGGCAACCAAAATCCCCCTTTTCACCGTTTCACTGCCAATCAAAGCATGTAATCGTGCGAGTCCACACCAGTGATTCAGACAGCAAAATTTTTCCAAACGGAAACAAGGCGTGTCACACACCCATGCACGATAGTCACAAAATGTGTGGCACGCTCACTTTTGTCTACGTCCTAGCACTACTAAATATCTCGTACGGCAAATTGTGTAGGTTTTAACGACAATCTTCCGTCTTTAGCCCGTTTGCCGCGCAAAATCCCGAGGATGCTGGCCTTCCTTGGAGGGAGAGCATTCTTAAACCAACTGAGAGATAGAGGGACCTTCATCTACAAAAACTATTGCCCTTGACGTTGCAGTGCTTGACAGTTGAAAGTCCAAATGCAACAATCCTTATAGAAACTAGTTCATTCACAAAGTTCCATGTCATCGAGAAAGGATCCGCCGAGGTCGCGGCCTGGAAGCGGTGAAGGATCGGATTCTGGGCAATACCATCATCCGCCAGAGTCACAATACTATCAACAATATCAATCTGCACCAGCACAACAGCACATGCATCCGCATTCATATCCTCCTGGTTATCCTATGAGACCGCCCCATGGTTATCCATATCCTGGCCACTATGGCCAACCGGGAATGATGGGTCAAGATCATACAACATCACCTCCACAACAGGGTTTTCATCCGCCTTTGCATCGTTATCCTGGGCCTGTTGGACGAAATATGACAGCGGTAACGCCAGATTCCGGACAAATAATGCCTGCAGAATTCATGTCACCGCCATCCAATATGAAAAGAAGGACAATGACGCCAGGAAGTTCATTGTCGCCTTCCAAAAGAGCTCGATCAGGTGCGTTTTCCCTTCCCTTGTACCCCTGCCAGAGGTGATCATTTTTCCCGTTGAGAGCCGCGGTGATCCTCCGTTGCCCAGATTTTCGCGCAGGCACCTAAGTATCCAAATTTTTCGTCGACCGGCCGTCTAAGTGACGTAGCTCGACTTAGATTCTTTTGGCCGACCGGTGCGCGCCGGACATCTTGGCGCCTAACTTGGGCAACGTTCCTCAGCCAGCCTGATTTTTCAACGGATACCCTTGGCACTGGTTCCGTCAGTTTTGTGGGTCAACTGATGCCAAGGAGGAACTGTTTCTGCTGAAGGAAGGATCTTCACTGCGGCCTCGATTGCTGGCGTTTCAATGTATGCCTACGAACTTGCTTTTGATTTGTTGGCTCACGCTGTCTCTTGCTCCTTTTTCTGTATCACTCCCATTCTTCCCATCATGGGTATTGTCTCATGATCACTGACACTGATTGCTTGGCTCGATTATCATTTCGTCGGCAATCGCGGCTGAAACAAATATGCAAATGTTTCATCTTGACGCCGTCGTCGTACTATTTCAATCCTAACTTTCCATCTCTATTCGACGCTGACAAACCAAATGAAACAACTATGATTTCGCCCACGAAAACTCGTGATTCGTGGTCCAACGAACTCTTTTCTCCAACGAACGTGACAATCTCTTCCGATCGATCATCTTGCCTATCTCCCAAATCTGTGGAACTCTCACCTGTGAACTTATTCTCGGACCACTTGTTGCCCACTCCTCCTCGATCCTTAGATGACAAATCAGCTGCATCGATACCTTACGCATCCCATCCGAGAGGCAGTCCAGTTTCCGCTCGTGTAGGAACACCGTCTTCGTTATCGCAACAATCGCGGTTCGATTCATCTCTGGGGTTGTTGACAAAGAGATTTGTTGACATTTTGAAAGAGACACCAGACAATTCTCTGGATCTAAACAGGGCGGCGTCCAAGTTGGGGGTACAAAAACGTCGGATATACGACATAACGGTGAGTCTCCCCGAGTGTATAGTGTTGTGCTGTGTTGTCACGATCATGTGTGTCTGACAATGGTGCCTTTAGAATGTTCTGGAGGGAATAGGATTGCTTGTGAAGCAAGGGAAGAATCACGTCTCGTGGAATGATAACCCACCCGAGGCAGCGGAAGAAGCAATCTCTCAAGTGACTGGGACTGGTGAAGGGGAAGAAATAGGGAGCCCTCCCAAGATAGCGAATACGGCTTCAGTAGCGACAACTGTGGAGTTTGAAGAGATGAAGAAGAAACTTGCGAGACTGCAAGAAGAAGAACGTAGGGTGGATCGATACCTGGGATATCTAAAGGGGCAATCGGAAGTCTTTAATGGAAAGAGACCTCCAACTGGGGAGCATGCTCCATACTTGCCACAAGGAGTAAAGAATTATCCGGAACAAATGTATGTCCGATACCAGGACGTCACCAGTATGCCTGCCTATAGCTCAGATAATGTCATTGGGATTCATTGTCCGACTGGGACATCACTGGAAGTTCCTGATCCACACCAAGGAATGAAAGCTGGGGACAGAAGATATGAAATGTACCTGAGCAGCAAAGATGCCGAGGGCGAAGCCGGAGGAAAGGAAGGTGGTGCCGAACCAATTGGAGTCTACCTTGTTCAACCAAAGGCCGATGCACAGAATAGTGGAAGCATTCGTTCTCGACCTGGAGGCTTTGAAGGATCTGCTGCGTCTCCTGGACGTGGACTACCACCACCAGCTGGGGAACCTGACAAGCATACTTCGAGTTCGCGTGAAGCTCACCGGCCACAATACGGTCCACCACCGGGCCGACCTGGAGAGCATCCTTATGCTGGTTATGGAGGTCCTCCACCGAGGAGACCTGGCGAATGGGGCTATGGCCCAGGAGGTCCAAGACCACCTTATCCTGGCCCCGAACGGGGTCAACGGAAAGGTCCTCCTATGCCTTATGGGCACCCTGGTGCCCAGTACATGCCATATGGTGATCCAAATTGGGGCCCTCCACCACACCAGTCACATGGTTACCTACAGCCTCCACCTGGTTACTATCCACCTCCCCACATACGGCCACCACACGATCCAAGACATGGCGGAGAATCTTCGAAAGATAGAAGAGATCGTCCGGGAAGCAACAAGGCTTCTTCCGATCGTCCGGGAAGTGACTCCATGGCAAGACAATTCCATCCTCCACCTCACGATGATGAACCAAGTCCTCCTGGAGCCAATCCCTCTCCTTTCCGACCGAGGCAACATCACTTTCAACACGAGGTTGGAAGAACTGCATCCGCGGGTGGCGACCACTCGCGTGATCAGTCGTTCCGACCTCCATCGCCAGGTCGTGAGGATTCTCTCATGAACATGCCGTTGCAATCTCCAACTGGAGCCTTTGGATTTGGTACCCCTCCAGGTGCGCCTTCACGTATGGACGTGCGATCTGGTGGGATGCAATTTCCTATACCCAATTTTCCAACGGAGCGGATTGAATTCGGTGATCGGTGGCGACCACCTCTTTCGAAATCATCGGACACTCCTCCGCAAGAGGATTCATCTCATGCTCGTGGGCCACCTCGGCCCCATCGCTAAAGAGAGAAACTTGCTGCTTCAATGTTCAATATTATTAAAGTGTACGTCATACTTTTGTACTAGACTTAAACTAAACAGATGGCAAGTTCTCTTCAATCAAAGTATATGTCATTCTTAGCTTTGGAATACCATTGCTGTACTACAATTGGTTCAAGCACCCGCTCCGAAGGGCCGACTTGTACTTTTTTCCTGCAAGAAAAGTGAGGTGGCTTGCTCCTGGTAGTCGTCCACTGTCGTTCGTTATGAAGGGCGAAGGACGGACCCAGAAAATTCCGTTTGATTTTTTTTTCAGTTCCAACTGATTTGAAAAACAACGAAACGAATCTTACAACTTCGGCCATTCCAACATGCAATTTGCATCTCATGGTAGGGTGATGTTGGATGGAGCACTCCTATTGGGGACGGGGTCGAGAATCAGAGGGAATTCATCCAGTTTTCTGAATAGGTCATTAATCAGACCGAGGCAGTACACTTCTATAGCGGCAAGCAGACCGGGTGGATTCTCAAACTACCGGCAACATGAGTCCTGTCGGAATCGAAATGGTTTATCTTCAAGTTTCAAAAGTGGTTTCAACTATCCTATGGCAGCTTTCTCCACTAGCAACCCACTAGGCAACCCACTTGGCAACCCACTAGGACAGAACAATCCGCTGACAACGGACACGTCAGCTGTAGCTCTCAAGATGAATTCAAGTGGTCTACTTCGAGGAAAGAGTCACCAGTACCATGACTATTCCAGGCACCATGTTTTCAATAAGAAATTGAATGAGGCACTAAATAGAGCTACACGAATCGTTTTGGATCAGAGAAGGCAGCTTTCGGACGGAGATGAAAAGACGGGAAAGGATGATACGTCTTGGATGAAGCCACCCAGGATGCGGGTGCCAAACTATGGTCCTGATGCCGACAAGGCTGTTAAGAATCTTCAGAAAGCGCGGAAGGATCGAGCACGAGCAAAGACTGCTGCCAATGTAAGACGAGCTCTTATTGGAAATGCAGTCATATGTGCAGCAAAGTTTGGTGCCTGGCTTACTTCTGGGAGCAGTGCCATGATGTCCGAATTCGTGCATTCCGTGGTCGACTGCGGCAACCAGTCTTTGCTCTTGATGGGTCTTCGTGACTCAAAGAATACAGCTGATAGGTTGCACCCATATGGATATGGAAAATCTATTTACTTTTGGGCGTTGGTATCCGCACTTGGAACCTTTTTCTTGGGTGCTGGAGTGAGTATGTCTCACGCCGTTGGGGAATTGATGGAACCTTCCTTATCAGATATCAGCAATGAAGTCTGGGCCGTCCTCGCACTCAGTCTAGCTATCGATGGATATGTGCTATCCGAAACTTTCAAAGACGTCCAAGAAACCAAGCCTAACCATGTATCTATGTGGAATCACATCTCGAATCTTCGAGACCCCGCTACAATGGCAGTGCTGTTGGAGGATGGCGCCGCATGTCTTGGTATTCTCATTGCCATCGCTGGTATCGGAACTGCTCATTATACTGGAATGCCTGTCTTTGATGGCATTGCTGGAGTTGGTGTCTCATGCCTTCTCGGCGGTATGGGTCTGGCTCTCGTTCGAGTGAACCATAAATTCTTGCTTGGGCATGGTATCGACAGAGAAATGTCAGATACGATCGAGCAAATCATTCGTAGCCGACGAAGTATTGACAATGTCAATCATATTCAATCGCAGTGAGTGTGCCCTCAGAGTGTGAACACAATTTGAAACTTGAAAGCTTTCACTGACAATTTCTTGCTTTGCTTTGCTTTGCTTTTGTGATTCAGGTGGACTGGCCCAGAAACATTCAGTTTCAAAGCGGAAGTGGATTTTGATGGGACATATCTTGCAGCTCAATTGATGCCTCGTTATCGTGGAGAATTCGAGAAGGCCAGTGAAAACATTGACCAAGAGTTGGAAGTGCTTCTGTGTTGGTATGCGGAAGATGTGATGCGTGCAGTCGAACGTGAAGTCCGTCATATCGAAGCCATGATCCGCCAAAAGTATCCTGGCGCAGAATACATTGAACTAGAACCAATGAGTACCGATGCTGATCGGTTTGCCATTGACGATAGCTTTGAAGAAAAGCTGTTGAATGTGGAACGAGAGGACGTGAAACGACTGATTCGAGTCCTTTACGCACCAACGGAATCATCATCGAAAGGCGATCCCAGTACCCTTGGTTATGGAACTGTGGAAGGAAAAGGCGACGACGCGGTTGTAATCGAGCCTCCCAAAAAGGACAAGTAGGTTGGTCAAAAGTGCTTATAATAAATATGTCAAGTCTAGTACATTTTTGTGAATGCATGGATGATTATTTGCTACAAGTTTCGATCAATACAATCGTTTTCCTTCGTCGTGCCAGATTAATTTGCGGAAAGACCATATTTCTGAACGAATCCAACTGAAACCATACAAAGTCGTCCTGATCAATACTGTAAGTCCACCCAAACATTACATGTATTATTTCTAAAGTATTAATAGCGGCGAAATTCATATTATATATGGAATTACTCTTGTCTTTTTTTATTAACAAAATCTATTTACTTTGGAACACCATTGATGACGTTGAAGAAGTCGTCCTTCAAAGAGGCTCCTCCAATCAATCCACCATCAATATCAGGTTGCTTCAGCAACTCTTCGGCATTTGCTCCCTTCATAGATCCACCGTATTGGATTCGAATAGCCTTGGCGACATCTTCCGAAACATTGTCCTTCATCCACTTACGGATATCGGCATGTGTGGCTTGTGCCATTTCTGGAGTGGCAGTAAGACCAGTACCAATGGCCCAGACAGGCTCGTAGGCAATGGCAACATTGGCCCATTCTTCTGGTTTCAAAAGCTTGGCAAGTGGCTCCAATTGCTTGGCGCAAACTTCCATGGTGACACCAGATTCACGCTCTTCCTTCTTTTCGCCAATGGCGAACATGACCTTAAGGCCCTTGTCGAGAGCGACCTTGCACTTTTCGGCACAAAGTCCTTCTGGCTCTCCGGCCATTCCGAACCCTTCACGACGTTCGGAGTGACCAACAATGACCCACGTGCAGCCAATATCCTTCAACATGTGTGCGCCAATTTCACCCGTGTAGGCGCCGTCCTTGACGTTGCTTCCACAGTCTTGGCCGCCAACCTCAATGTCGTCACGAAGAGACGTCAAGCAGAGAGGAATGTGCAAGTATGGGACGCAAAGGACGACTTCGACATTGTCGGGGATGGGTCCAAGTCCGTTGAACACCTTGATTCGCTCGGCGTTTTCGTCGTAGGTTCCGTTGGACTTCCAGTTTCCTCCAATCAAATATTTACGCTCTCCGACAGTCTTGTTTTCGACGGAGGATCCCTTGGGGCGGCTAGCTTGGAGTGTGGCACTGTTTGTTTGTTTGTTTGTTTTGGATGTTGTTGTAAGTGATGGTATAGCAGTTGGAGAGTGGAGACGACAAGGATATGGTGAGTCGCAGGTCACAGAAATGATTTGATTGAAATGCCGTCATGGATCGGAAGGGTAACACGACGGCTGTATGTGACGACGACAACGAACGGCAACTGAACGAGTTGAACGGTAACCTGCTTAACAGATCCCCGAAACCATCCCAACAGCAGCAAAATAAACCATCAATTATTAATACTTACGACATGTTGGTTGTAGATAAAAAAAGCAAGTAGTAGCTGTGCTGTCAACAATGAGAATTGTGATATCTGAGTTGTGCACCGTTCGTATCTTCTATTGGAGAAGAATCCGTCGTTTGACGCAGTTTTCAGTACGAAAGGAGTTCGCATGCGTGCTGATGACACACGTACGTGTACACTACGTGTAGGTGTATTTTAAAATATTACGTATGGATGAACGAACCAGATGTTTCGCTTCAAAACCAGACGTGTCCGTTTCGTCAAAAGATTTTTATTGGAGGGAAGATTCGATGACGACTTCTCATCAGAACATGACCCCACGAATGATTGATTCCGTCGTCGACAAGCTCAACAAGGCATCATAGGGAGCCTAAAGCGACATGATCAAAACAAACATAAATCGTGGGATGACAGAACATCAGAATCTTGCAATGCATCAATGAATGAATGAAATAATGATGCGGGGGTTGAAAGCCAGGAATGACGAGCGAATTAGTACAAGAAGATACGACGAAATGACAGAAATCGTTAATGACGATGATTCTGTTTCCAATTTTCCACAGAGGACGCCATTAATGGAACACAGGACAGCTATCCATCTTCTATTTGAAGGTACCAACCGGAAAACAAGCTCATTGCATGGGGTGGATTCCCAAAGATTTCTTCAACCAAACAGCCAACGCGGTTGATGACAGTTCTTTTGTCATTTCCGGAAAAATACAAATTGTTGCCCCAGAGAGGGCAGCAAGAATGTATAATAACGCCAATATTCCAGTTCCCGACACAAAATTTACTACCTATTCCGTGAACGACAGAAAAATCGTGTGGAAAATAGCATGAGTCCACAAAGATTCACCACGAGATTCAATGCTTCGTGACACTTGCTGGGACTTCCCAACGACACCGTCCAAACTCGAGATCAAAGAATCATCGTCCACAAAGATTCCGCAAAAAATGAAGTTGCATGAATCTTCCCACCACAAACTCTCAATCTGACGATCCAAGAAAGATACGTATATCTTGGAAACGGACCGTCGTCATAAAATTAAAACTAACGTTGCCTCGTCAACTCAAGGTTTGTTGTCATTTTAATAAAAAAATGAAGTGCATTTGGTTGTTCGCCCTTGCAACCTTTGAGGTCATTGTTGCCCAGCCACAAGTGCAACTTGGATCACGTCCATTCTACTTGATCAATGAAATGTCCGATTCCCAACTAAAGACTGACCTTGGTAAGCTACTTTTAATGATTTTTTACCTCGTTGTTGGAATCAATCAATTCAATTAATCAATCATCTCATACTCATTTCCGTGCCTCCCAGAAAACTGCGCCACCAATACAGAAAAATACGAAGTATCTGACTGGTCCATCGGACACAGAGGTGCTTGTATGCAATTCCCAGAACACACCCTCGAGTCCTACAGTGCTGCCCTCTCTCAAGGTGCCGGTATCGTCGAGTGCGATGTCACATTCACCAAGGATAAAGAACTTGTCTGCCGTCACGCCCAGTGTGATCTACACACCACCACCGATGTTGTCACTCGCCCTGACATGAACGCCAAGTGTACCACTCCGTGGGCTCCTGGTGTCGCCCCCAAGTGCTGTACCAGCGATTTCACTTTGGCAGAGATCCAAACTCTTTGTGCCAAGATGGATGCCTCTGTTGCTGATGCTACCACTGCCGAGGGGTACATTGGAGGTACTGCCGACTGGCGTACTACTCTCTACTCTGGAGAATGTCCCAAGGTTCCCACTCACGCCGAGTCCATTGCCCTTATTGATGCTGCCGACGCATACTTTACTCCCGAGCTCAAGACTCCTGAAGTCGAGATGCCCTTTGATGGTCTTACTCAAGAAATGTACGCCCAAATGATGGTCGATGAGTATGTTGCTGCTGGAGTTCCAGCCGAAAAGGTCTGGGTCCAGTCCTTCCTCTGGGACGATGTCGTCTATTGGATCAACAACGCCTCTGACTTTGGTGCCCAAGCCGTAGCCTTGGAGGATACTTATGAGGCCTATGACTTCAATATGACACAGTTGGATGCTCACTTTAAATCCATTGTCGATGCTGGAGCCAACTACCTTGCTCCTCCAATGTGGATGCTTGTGGACAATGTTGATGGTGCATTCGCCTCCAGCGACTATATCAAGTACGCCAAAGATAAGGATTTCAAGATCATCACCTGGACCTTGGAGCGCTCTGGACCACTATCTTCTGGAGGCGGCTGGTACTTCCAAAGTGTAAACGGTGAAAAGGACGGTGACCAAAGTTTGATCCTTGGTGATGGTCAAGTATTCGAATTCCTTCACGCTTTGAACACGGAAATTGGTATCGTTGGGATGTTCAGTGACTGGCCTGCTACCACCACATTCTATGCCAATTGCATGAATCTGGGCTTGCGTGGAGATACTGATGGAGGTGGTGACAACGAAGAAGGAAGTGGCAATAATGAAGAAAGTGGCAGTGCCGCGAATGGAGTCAGCCACCGAAGCTTCGTCTTCCTTGTCTTTGCCCTTGTTGCTCTCCTATTCACCTAAATGAATGTCATCTGGAATTCCTGATATCTACTTGTAGTATCTTCCTCAGTGTTGTGAAATGTAATAAAATCTGTTTGCCGAGTGAATGAATAAAATGAAGTCCGTTGGATTTGGTAATTTTTGCATATCTCGTACCGTTTGAAAACGATCGATGGGAGCTTGAGTCTAATTGCAGGAGCAGATGACATTCATTCAAACTCTATTGAATTATAAAAAAGTAGCTCATTGCTTGCTCACCCATTCCTCAAGTTCAGCAATCTTGACACTTTCTTGTTCACTAGCCTCCAAATTCTTGATTGCAACTTCTCCGTTTTCAAATTCTTGGCTGCCAATGATAGCACAGTACTTGGCTCCAATGCGATTGGCGTGTTTCATGACCCATTTTGTCTTCTTGGGTTCCAAAATCAAGTCTACCTTTTGTCCAGCAGCCCGCAATTTGCTGGCGACATCCAAGGATGCCTTGTACAAATCTTCGTTCATTGCAAAGACCACAGTGTCCACTCCAGAGGCTTCAAAAGATGGAAGAAGGTCTCGATCCTTCAACAATTCAACAATGACGGCATCTCCAAATCCGAATCCAGCAGCTGGGGTTGGATCGCCACCAAAGGTCTCCAATAGCTTGTCGTATCTGCCTCCACCAGCAATCGCACGCAAGACCCCTTTTCGGTCAAAGGCTTCAAAGACGACCCCAGTGTAGTAGGCAAGACCACGAACAACAGAGGCATCGAAGATGATCCAATCTTCAATGCCATATCCTTCGCATAGTGATATCAATTTTTTGATTTGCTGCACGGCAGGAGATTCTTCGCCCAAGATTTCTTGAATTGCCTCCACCGAATTGACCGTCAAGACTCCAGTCAATCGTTCCACGACAGATCGATCCAATCCAAGTTCTTCCAGATCTCCTTGAATGGCATCCAATGGAACCTTTTCCAATTTGTCCACCAAAACACAAGTAGCCGCAAATTTTTCTTCTGGAATTCCCAACTCGGTCAAAATCTCACCAATCACCATTCGCGAGTTGACCTTGATGCCCACATCCTCACTCGTCAATCCAACTTTTTTGAAAAATGTCACCATGGCACTCAGCAATTCTGCGTCCGCCTCTTCACCGGCAACTCCCCAGACGTCCATATTCCATTGGAAATGTTCTCTTCGACGTCCCCGCGTCATGCGCTCGTACCGCCAGCATTGCGGAATGGAGAACCATTTGAGTGGGAGTGGCAAACCGCCCTTTTTGGCCATGACCATCCGGGCCAAACTGGGTGTCATTTCCGGTCTCAAGGCGACCGCTCGATCACCCTTGTCGACAAAGTTGTACAATTGTTGTGTGACTTCTTCTCCAGCCTTGCGGGTGTAGAGTGCTTCGGACTCTAGAACGGGAGCATCGTATTCCGAAAATCCATAACCAGCTGCAACGGATCGCCATTGATCAAAGAGCCAGGTTCTGAGACGCATTTCTTCGGGATAAAAGTCGCGGGTTCCCTTGGGTGGGTTGGTGTCCATTTTGACTTTGGGTTGTTTTGGTTGACTGCTGGTGTCAGCTGAAGTCTTGGCCAAAACGTCCTTGTCTTGGACCGCGTTGGAAACCCGACCACCACCACCACCACTTGCAGCAAGGGCACTACTTTGCGAATAAGATGCTACTACACGCATATTGTTGGATGAAAAGGCGACGGCGGTTCGTTTGCCGATTTGAGATAACGTCAGAAAGAGCATCGTGATGGATGTTAGCTGCATAGTAGTAGTATAGTAGTAATAGCAGTAGTATTTGTCTTTTTGTTGCCTTGTTACTGATCTTGATCTTTTATTCAAGATGTGAGTCTGATTGAGAGAGTTGAGGTTTTACTCTTGCTCAATGCACACGGTAGAAGAATCCAAAAAGGTGGATGACGGTGATGTTTTTCTGAAGTTAGTTGAGTTGGTTTCGACGTGTTCCTCTATCATGCTCTGTCAGTCGATCCAAAATCTGCTTCCATCCGTATAGAAGTACAGACTATCATTATCACATACGTACGTCATGCAGGCTCTCAAAGACGCTTCGCATCGGCGGCTCAAGGCCAGATGGTCAGAAACGGCATTTTGTGTTCTGGTTGGTCAAATGGAGAAGGACGACGACGAAACAAAATCTTTCTTCGACCGACGGTTGTGTGAGAAAAAGCGTAAAACGACGACGACCAAGTCATTTTGTTTCGTGGGAACTTGAAAAACTTCACACCTTCACACCTTCACACCTTCACACATACTCTTGATCATCATCATCTACTACAATACAACCAACAGTACAGTATTGAACAATTAAACATGTCGGATCTTACTCAAACTGATGCTTGGAAGGCTCTTGCCACCCACTATGCTGGAATCAAGGACACACACATGAAGGAACTCTTTGCCAAAGATTCCGACCGTTTCAACAAATTCTCCACCGAGTTTGAAGATATTCTACTCGACTTTTCCAAGAATCGCATCACGGAAGAAACCATGGATTTGTTGTACAAGCTTGCCGAGCAACAAGATGTCAAGGGATTGGCCAAGAAGATGTTTTCCGGTGAAAAGATCAACAACACGGAAGGACGTGCCGTTCTTCACGTCGCCTTGAGAAACCAATCCAACACTCCCATCATGGTCGACGGCAAAGACGTCATGCCTGATGTCAATGACACTTTGGCTCGCATCAAGGCCTTTACTGAAAAGGTCCGCGGTGGAGAATGGAAGGGTGCCACTGGAAAGAGCATCACTGCCATTGTCAATATTGGAATTGGCGGATCCGATCTTGGACCCGTCATGGTCTGTGAGGCCTTGAAGCCTTACTCCAAGCGTGACCTGGAGATGCATTTTTGCTCCAATGTCGATGGAACCCATATTGCCGAAATCCTCAAGAAATGTGACCCTGAAACCACTCTCTTCTTGATTGCCTCCAAGACTTTTACAACTCAAGAAACCATGACCAACGCTGGAACTGCCAAGAAGTGGGTCTTGGATGCCTTCAAGGGTGATGCTTCTGCCATTGCCAAGCACTTTGCTGCTTTGTCTACCAACGCCAAGTCTGTTTCTGAATTCGGTATCGACACCAACAACATGTTTGGATTCTGGGATTGGGTCGGAGGTCGTTATTCTTTGTGGTCGGCAATCGGTACCCCCATTGCTCTCTCCATTGGCTTTGACAACTGGATGGAAATGCACGCTGGTGCTCACGCCATGGATCAACACTTTTTGACCGCGGAACCAAAGGATAACGTGCCATTGACCTTGGCTTTGATTGGACTTTGGTACAATAACTTTTTCGAAGCCGAAACCTTGGCCATTTTGCCATATGATCAATACATGAACCGATTCGCCGCCTACTTCCAACAAGGAGATATGGAATCCAACGGAAAGTACGTCAACCGAGAGAGTGCCAAGATCAGCTACCAAACTGGACCCATCATTTGGGGAGAACCAGGAACCAACGGACAACACGCATTCTACCAATTGATCCACCAAGGTATGTATTATATATCCTATTGTATGCATTCGTCAACCTATTATTGCCATGCCGATTGTATTATATTATTTTGTTTTACCAATATGATGCTCACATATTCCAATCTTTGTAGGTACCAAACTGATCCCATGTGATTTCTTGGCACCCGTCGACTCCCACAATGTCTTGCCAAAGGATATCTCGGCACCTGTTGATCACCACCCAATCCTTCTTTCCAACTTTTTTGCACAAACTGAAGCCATGGCCTTTGGTAAGGACGCTGCTACCGTCAAGGCTGAATTGGAAAAGGCTGGCAATGATGCTGCCACCGTTGAGACATTGGTCCCGCACAAGGTTTTTGAGGGTAACCGACCATCCAACTCCTTCATGTTCAAGAAGATGACTCCTCGTGTCTTGGGATCCTTGATTGCCATGTACGAAATGAAGATTTTTGCCCAAGGTGCCATCTGGAATATCAACAGTTTCGATCAATGGGGTGTTGAACTTGGAAAGCAATTGGCCAAGGCCATTCTCCCTGAACTTACTGGCGCTGGTGATGTCACGACTCACGACAGTTCTACCAACGGACTTATCAACTACTACAAGAAGCAAAGAAGTGTATAAATTTGTTGTATTGAGATTTGTTGGAGAAGGAATGGACTAATCTTGCTGTCCATTTGTGCTACATATCACACCATTTGATACCATCGCCAGCTAACTTCTTATTTTCCTACGTCAAAGCAATAAGTGAACATTTTATTCGTGCTAGTCGATTTTTCTCAAAAAATCATCGAAAAATCCAACTACAACAACATGTTGACACCCTCTAATGTCGTCCTTCACCGTTGGCTCTTATTCGTATCCTTGCTCCTCATAGTAGTAGTAATCACTTCTGCAGATTCGCCGAGAAATTCGGATGTGACAAGACGGGCAATCCTAGACATCATTCATGACATCACTTGTTGGAAGCAGGAATATGAAACATGTGGCAATGATGCAGAACGACCCTTTGTGACGCTGACTTTTGCACAGAGTTTGGACGGGAAAATCGCGCTCTATCTCGATGACTCTTGTACTCGGACGTCTTCAAATTTTCCTATTAGTGGGAAAGAATCGCTGTTGATGACGCATGCTCTGAGATCCATTCATGATGCCATCCTGGTGGGAGGGAAAACACTGTCGATTGACAATCCCAGGTTATCGAATCGGCTTTGGGAATGTGATGGCGATGATGATAGTGATGATTCAATACACCACCAACCTAGACCAATCGTTCTGGATACGCACTTGAGACACCTTGATAGACTTGGGCATTCTCGACGAGCACAAGATTTGATTGTCTGTTGCTCGCAAGAAGCAGCTGAACGGCACTCGGGTGATAAGGTATCTGATATCGTGCTGCTGCCGGTGTCACTAGATGGCCAAGGTAGGGTCGATATACATTCAGTCTTGATCAAGCTGCGAGAAGAGTTTGGAATTCAAAGTGTTTTGGTGGAAGGGGGATCCGCAATTCTTTCGGCGTTTTGGGCAAAATCGTTATGTGACTGTCTTTGTGTGACAGTGTCACCAAAGCTTCTAGGGCAAAGGGGGGTGCCGAGTATAATCAGCTCTGTGGCATCGAATCACAACTTGAATCGACCACGATGGTTTCAGCTCGGTTCAGATTGTGTTCTACTAAGCGACTGGACGAAAAGCTAGCATGTATTTTGCATTTGTGTATTTACTAGATCTTTGAATTGTGCACTTGATGTTTTTTAAATACTGCTCGATATTATTTAGTGAGATAATATGGTGTGAAATTGCTTCATTTTAACGAAGGCCGATGGACCCCATGACATGAAAAAGACAAATTTATTACTTTCGGAGAGATCCAGTACTCTTTTTCAACAAGGCCTTCCCCTTCTTTCTGTCTCTCCAGTCTGCAAAGCTGCCAGCAAAATCGTCGTCGCCCTTCTTGGGAGAGGAGGAAGATTTCTTCGGCGACTTTTCTGGTGAGTCGGTTGGTTTTTTCTCTTCTTCCTTAGACTTTTCGTCGCTACTACTGGACGACTCCTTTTCGCTTGGCTTTGGTTCACTTGGCTTCGATTTCTTGGATTTTGGTTCTTCGCCGGGGCTGCTTTTTTCCTTGGGTTCTTTTGGTTCCTTAGGCGACTTGGGCTCTTTGGATTCCTTAGGCTTGCTTGATTCTTTACCTTTAGCTGGTTCTTTGGTTTTCTCCTTATCTTTCTTCTCCTTGGTTTTCTCCTTCTTTTCTTTCTTGTCTTTCTTTTCCTTCTTTTCTTCATCACTGGAACCAGAGCCAGCGGCAGATTCTTCGGCTGCTGGAGCGGGCATCAAATGAATTTGGTCAAGAGGAATTTCAAACTCACTAACAGTGAGAACCTCATTCAACCAAGCAGACAAGTGCCTTGGGTCTTTGGAGCGAGGGCGTCTGACAAGAAGCTCTGTCCAGAGCTTTCGGCGCTTAGCACTGATGCTTCGTAGTCCTTGAGAGCCTTCCCCTTCAGTGGCTCCGACGGGGGGAGCATCTTCAGCACCATCTGCATCAGTGATCACTTCAGTGGCCTTGTATTCATCACTTGGCTTCTTGCGCTTCTTGTCGTTCGAGTCCAAGAACTGGCTGGTAGCAGTGGACGTTAGCAGATCGAGAGCCTGAGGTGGCTTTGGCTTGTCTGCTTCCTTTGAGACTGGCAAGCATTGCAGTGGTGCCGCAGCCATTGGCTCGTCTGCATCGACGCCCTTCTTGTTGCTAGCACCAGTGGAGTCACTTTGATTTCCATCATCCTCTGGGACCTTGCCATCCTTTAGCTTGGACATTCCATGGTCGTGCCGGCGGCAAAAGTTTCGTTTAGCAACAGGAGCCATACAATAGGCACAGTAGCGAAACTTGACACCTCCATTGCGGCAGGCGAAGTAGGAGCACACCAAGTCTTCCCCGTGCTTGGCATCTTCGGAAATCACAAAGTAGGCAGTCTGACGTAAGGTGGGTAAAGTGTTAGAGTGAGTTAGTTTGCTTGCGATTCAAGCTGCGCAAAGTGCATCATAGCGAGTGCATTGTACATACCTTGAAGTTGTGATCCATGGGCATTCCACGAGCTCGACAGGGGACAATGACTGTACCAGGTGTCTTTCGGAGGTCTTCCTTTGACTTCTCGGTTGGCACAGGTGCTGGAGGGGCAACGGAAGGCACTCTCTCGACATCAGAAGAAGTGCTTCTGATGCTGTCTTGACTGAGCTCAGCAGCTGAGGGTGCTCCCTCTGGGCGAGCACCAGATCCTCCCCCGAGATTGGCAAGAGCGTTCAGCTGCTGCCGACGTCTCTCGACTTCTTCAAACCGATTGAGTTCGAACTGTTGCAGGCGGTCCATGCCGCCACCCATGCTGCCGCCCATGCTGCCACCCATGCCTTGACCTCCGCCAACACCGAGCTCGCGCAAGGCTGCAGCACGGGCATAGAGAGCTTCTTGCTCTTGCATTCCCATACCTCCCATACCGGCAAGTGCCGACAGCTGGTGTTGCTGTTGAAAGGATTGTTGCTGCTGGAGTGCAGCCAGAGCATTGCCAAGCTGATGCTGACGTTGTTGCTGCATGAGAGCTTCAGCCCGCAAGGCAGATGCTCGCTGAAGGATCTGCTCTTCAATCGCGGAATCGGTTAGTCCGAGCCGCCCAGCTCCTCCCATTCCTTGCAAGCCACCCATGAATCCACCACCGCCTTGTCCGGCGGCGTTCAACAGATAGGCGAGTTGAGCTTCCTGCTGGGCTTGGCTTGAGGCATCGCCTCCTTGTTGTCCGTTCATCTTACAGTGATTGATTGATTCAAACAGCAACCGTGGTGGCACTGGAGTGTGTGTGTGTGTGGGGGGGGGGGATGTGTGTTTGTGATTTTTAGAAAGTTGAAAGTTCGGGCACTGAGTGTCGGTTGAATGCAAAACATGAAAAAAAAACTCCGACACGTACATTGTGTGTACAATGTGTACTGCTAGGGACCTGGAAATCGTGGAGGCACTGATCATGCCAAAGTAGGAAATTCTACTTAAGGAAGCTAGAGACATACGTATGCTTCTGCGATCGTAAAAATCTTGATTTTGATCTTTGTGGTGCAGTCTGTGAGTGCTGTCGCGCTGATTGTGGAGTTTGTCACAGAAGAACCTTGACATTCAGGCCAGCTGCACGGAATTACATAACAAAAATGTCTGGTCAGAATAGCCAACGACAAACAAGAATTCGAAACAAAACTTTGCGGGTTGGCCGGTGTGGAAGCAGGCGGCATCCTTCTTGAAGACAACCCGAGATCGCAGATTTGTGAAAAGAAGATTGACTGATCGAGTGAGGCAGTCCCTCATCACTCGAGGCAAGAAGTAGTAATTTCCAATGATCTAATTTGGCATTCAAAGATTTGCAAGTTTGATTTCAGAGAGATACTTTGCCTACTACAAGCATTCTCTAGCAACATACTCCATGGTGTGTTTGAGGCTCACTTGTCAAAGTTCGCGTCTCGCTTTAGGTCCGAAGGTTTGGGAATTTCGTGCTTCGCCTCAAAGTGATTGGGCACGATTCCAGAATTATCATTTGGACCACGAAAAAGAACAAAGGCCTTCGGGCGAACATGAAACGAGTCAATAAGTATTTGAAAACTTACAATATGCTGCGTACGCAAAGGCTTAAATGCGTTCACAACCGTGTCTTTGACGAACGAATCAATAATCACTGGTGACCAATTGGAAGTCCTAAGTGCCTTTTTGGCCATTATGTAACAACCCAGAAAGCGGAAGATTTTCGCCTTTTTCGATTTGTTTTCGCATATTTTTTTGATATTTTTTTATAATTGTTTTAGAGAACAGAACGCGTTTCTAATTATCAACAACGAACAGAACAAATTCTGGCTCTGGTCAAGGAGAAACGTCATCACTTTTCACAAAGTTCAATGTTCAAGGAGTCTGAGCCGAAGTACACGTACTGGTACCTGGTCTGTACCCGTAGGCAACAAGAACAGTGGTGAGCGCCAATTCATTACAGTATTCCCTACTGTGCCGTACAAGTATGGCGGATATGATCCCAGAGTATTTGATTCCTAACCCGATCCTGATGACCAGTCTATCGTAATAACAGGCACCAGGGTAGCTACGGTTGTAGAGGAAGCAACACAATCAATCATCACATGTACCGGTATGTTGTAATACGGTACTAACTTTTTTATACACGCATTGTGCTCGGAAGGCCACAAAACTTCTAGACAAAGATTGTTATGATCGTGGGATCACTCTGGGTTCGGATTGTTATTGGCAACGAATTTCAAAGTTCCAGCAAGAGACACAAAATTCGACACAATAAATACTGGAGCGTCAACCGCCAAGTTCGCGATCAAACTGGAAACTACCCGGTGGCACCAGCCAGTGGAGTACCGGTACAAGTAACGCGTTATTTGGAGCTAACATAGTCTGTCGAATGAATCAAATGTCCATGCATCTCTTGGTCCATGTACGGGTGTACGAGTACGCTAGAAGTGAAGAGATGCCAATGATGACGATGATTGACCCAAAACCAATAGTATCAAAATTTACAGTAACACTATCAGGTATGGCTCTATCATAAGCCTACTAACGAATCATCTATTTTGGTTTGCATCCTCTATTATTTAGAGTCCACTATCTATTATAATATGTTTTATCATTGTTTCCTTGGAACTAGGACTACCAGTCAGCAATTGCGATTAAATAGTAGTAGTTTTATACTTTTAATATTGAATCGTCAATGCGGATGATTTTCCATGTTACAAGCAAATGCGGTATCTTGGATGGCTAGTCCCGAAGGCAATCTCCAAGAATCTGTGGCCCTGCGTCATGATGGTATCATTTCATCGATCACTGTCCTAGAGTGGTTGTTGAATCGGTGACCCCCATATATTTTGGGAAAGGATCTATTGTAGCCGCTTCACCCTCGAGAACCGACACCACCTTTTTGTTGCAAGTAGATTATAATATCTAGTAGGATTGGATATTATACTACCAGTAATATTATAGTTACTATTACGCCGCCACAATCCGTATTCGTTGAAAGTCGTCCACTGTATGGCTCTGTGTAACATCGTTTGGATTGTACTGTTTCAATGTTCCCTTGGCCGCCACTTGTTTCAAGCGTTTGGCAAACAATCGTGCCGCATGGCACTGATTCCTGGTCGTCTCGTCGTCCGAACCAATTAAGCTGGCTTCCAGTTGCGTCAAGACTCGTTTGGCCTCTCCAAACCGCCCCGCATAAATCAGATTGTAGGCTTCGTTCACGGTGCATTGTCGGACCATTCCAATATGACCCAACTTGTATGCCAACGCTCGTTGTTGTCTCGCAAGGACTAGAGAAATGGAAAGGTGCTTGCAAAAAAAGTAGCCGCCACCCAGTGTGCTTAAAACGGCACTCAAAGTCTGCAGCTTGAGCATTCTGTGTTCTGTTCGGAGGACCACGGACAAAAAGGTTGCATCAGGACTTTGGTTGCTAGTTGGAGGGACAAGCACCAGGGTGAAGGACGGCAGAGAGCGGGAGAGTAATCGTCGAAAACGAAATCCTGGATGAGGATTGTCCTCTTGTTGCGATGATTGCGATGATTGGACGACGTTCTTGTCGGATTCTCCTTTTTTATCGTCATCATCCTGCTCTCCTTTTTCTATCGACGTCGTTTCATCACTTGATGATAGTATTTTACTTCTTGTTGTTTTGGAGGATAGTTGCAGCAATCGCAAGAGTTTGGCCACAGTTTTGGGTGACGATCGCAGTAATATGGGCGCCAACTCGTGCCAAACAATTCCAGCTTTTGTCACCGTCAAGAAAAGTGCATCGGAAGGCGGTATGGAAGAGACGTTATCGGGTATCAGAAAGGTTATTTGGTTTTTCGTCATTGTCTTGTGTGTAAATAATGTGTGGTTGATTGGTTCTTGCTTCGAGGTCTGTCTTTGTGGTTTCATTCTATCAGCATGTCTCATTTCTCATGTTCGATGAAACTCTACTACAAACGTCTGTCCGCTCGTGCGTACGGCTACATTGAACACATTATTACCACAGTTCACGACTGACTGACTGGCAAACGTAACGACCGCCGATCGGAAACTAGCGACAACCATCTGTCAACTTGTCAACCTGTCAATAACAGCAGTAGCCCCAAGAAACACCAACAATGAGCGCCGTGGTCACCCATTTAGATATATCACAGCTACCTTCGTTGAAAGATGGCATGTCAGCAGAAGAAGAAGCCACCAAACGACGAAAGACCTGTCGGTTCATCGAAGAGGCCGGTCGCGTGTTAAAGTTGCCGCGGGTTGCCATTTCCACGGCCATGGTGTTCTTTCACAGATTTTATGCAAAACACTCGTTTGATCAACACGATCGATTTGAAGTTGCCGTTGCTGCCATTGTGCTGGCTGCCAAAACAGAGGAGTCTCCCAAGAAGCTCAATGCGGTGATTGTTCAATGTCACGACTTGAAAACCAGAGGCATGCAAGCTGGAAGGGTCAAGGGGTCCAAGCCTGTACCTCCTCCGCCATCATCATTAGATCCAAAAGGAGAGGAATTCTCGAGACTAAAGGAACGGATATTACTCATGGAGCGTGTCATTCTACACACTATTGGCTTTGAATTGAGCATTGACCATCCCTACAAGTTTTTTGTCGATCAAATCAAAAAGTTGACTCAAACGCGTCAACTGGTCTACAAACAACCTCCAGAAAATTTGAATCCAACACAGACATACCAAAAGATGATGAACGAGCTAGTCCAATACAGTATGAGTTTTGCCAACGACTCGATGCACACCTCGCTTTGTCTCCAATTCTCGCCCCAACAAATTGCTACTGCCTGCGTCTACTTGGCGGGTCAATTCGCCAAGGTGGATGCTCCGGAAAATTCGTCATGGTCCAAGGTACTGGGAGAACCGGATATTGAATCCTTGGCCAGTATCTGTGTTCAGATTTTGGAATTGATTGATCCACGAAAGACGGGAGGAGACTTGGATAATTTCAAAAAGATTCGGACTCAATTGGAAGTCTTGAAACGAGCCAACAAGGGAAAGATGAGTAGTGGTATGGGTCCTCCTCCTCCTCCACCACCGCCGCCATCGTCCGAACCCACTGCCAAACGACCCAAAACGGGATGAGCTACTCTTTGTAGTGTAATACAGTTTTTGCTATGCCTGTTCCAATTAAAAAAGAACCACAACACAACAACAAATATCTCTTTTCTCTTTTTCATACATGAATAATATTATTATACAACCTTGCATTTCTATCAGAAGCCATGAGTACCTAATTTAAACATTTTTCTGTTGCTTTCCATTGGCAAGATAGGCTTCCAAAAGTGTACTGGTGGACAGATTGAATCCCTGTACAGTTGCGCCAGTTCGTCTCGAAGCTGCCAATTGGACACGGACATGTTTTGCCAACAATTTACCCAGTTCCAATCCGAACTGGTCAAAACTGTTGATACCCCACAGAAATCCTTGGACAGCAGTTCGGTGCTCGTACAGTGCCAACAGTTGACCGACGCTAAAGGCATCCAGTCGAGTCATTAGTATACTACTCGATGGACGGTTTCCAGTAAAGACCATGTGCTCTCGAAGGCCTTCTTCGACGCCTTCTTGCATCAAATCCACAAAGGTCTTGCCATAGGCCAAGGCATCGGGCTGGGCAAAGAAATTAGACATTAGTTCGTCGTGGCTAGGAACGTTCTCTCCTGGTAAATCGAGCGGACGCTGGGATTCCATAAAGCCGATAAAGTCTGCTGGAACCACTCGACCTTGATGCATCAATTGAAAGAATGGGTGGTGACTGTTGGTGCCAGGTGCTCCAAAATTGACCTCCCCAGAAGAATGATGGAGCTCTACTCCATCCAAGGCGACTCGCTTTCCATTGCTCTCCATATCGACCAACTGGACGTGAGCAGGGAATTTTCGAAGGGCGTGTGCATAGGGTAAAATGCCGCGGGAGGAATACCCCATAAAGGTAGAGTTCCAAACACCCAAGAGTCCCAGCAATACTGGAATATTGTCTCGAAGTGGTGCATTGAAAAAGTGCTCATCCATATCGTGAGCACCATCCAGGAATTGCGTCATTATGGATCCAGAATATTGTAACGATAAGGGCAGCAGTCCAGCGGCACTGCATACAGAGTATCGTCCAATGACCCAGTCCCAAATTTTGAATATGTTGTTCCTCGGAATCCCCAATTGTCCCGGGGCAGACTTTGAGAAATTACTATTGATACACGCGACAGCAGCGACATGTTTTGCAATAATTTGACTCTCGGTGTAATTACCAGTCTTCATTAATCGTTGGATCAACCATTTCATTGCCGATCGAGCATTCAAAGTCTCTCCCGAATCAAACTCTTTGGATACAATGACAATCAAAGTTTCTTCTGGGTCCAGATGTCCAGTAGTCTGGAATGTATCCACTGGGTCGACATTGGAAAGAAAATGAATGCTTCGGCCTTCCGCAGCTTCTGCGGCTGTAACGTCAGCACTCAGGGCCTCGGACACAAATTCAATTCCCAAATGCATACCCCCACAGGTCACCACGAGTGTGGTTTTCAATGGTTTGCCAGTGATACCAAGATGCGTTCCACTTCGCACTTGCTCTGAAAAGATTACAACCTGATCTCGTACTGTATGTATCTCTTCCAAGATCTTGTCAGCCAAACCATGTGAACCACCCGAAAAGAGATATCCTTTTGGCATTCGTAACATATGATGAAGGACCGCTTTGTCCTCAGTCGTGTTTATTCTCTCCCCAGTTCGAAAGGCTTCTTGCCGTTCCGCAAAACCAACTGCATCGGCCAAGTCAAACAGCATTTCCATGGTTTCCCCCGTAACTTGTTGCCGGCTGTAATCCAAAATTATTTTTCGAAATCCTTCAGACATATGAACCGCTGTCAATCCAGCGCATCGAGAGCTATCATTGCACAAGTTTCGGAGATGCAGCTTGTCGTCGTACTGGAACTCAGCTGCCGCGCTCTGTAGTGCGTCATATTGTGGCACCTCGGTGCATTTCAAGATATGAAACCCTGACATGGTAGGAACGATTCGATTATTTTGTTGTTCTCAATCAACTTTGAAATTATGTGTCCATTGAAAATCCGGGTGTTTTGGATTCTGTTCATCAACGGGCTGGGGAAAGTGTTTGTGACGGTACGTGTAAAAATATTTTAAAGTACTCAAAAGTTTACCCACAACATAGGTAGGCAAGCTTCTGTAGCTTCAGGCTGCGTATTGTATTTTATGATTTTACAGTATTGGCGTCTCTTTGTCTGTATCACTCATAGACTGCAGCGCGTTGGACCACTGATCGTCGACTTCGTCTTGCTGAATGATGAGGGTATGGTGATGATGAATGATCAACCATGTGTTGTTGATACATTACGGGTTGTTGAGGATAGAAATGGACCTCATCTTCTTCCTCTATGATTCCTTTGCTCTCTTCCAACATTTGCAGTGATGCGGCTATCCTCCTGTAGCATCTATCAATCTCCAAGTCCATTGAGTCTGCTGATGACTCGCCCTCAGATGCAACACTTTCTGTCGGAGCCACTAGATGGCTTCCTCTCTTGTCATAGTTCTGTGGTGCACTCTTTTCTACGAAGTTGTTGATAGAGCGCCTCGAATGACTTTGTCGCTCCAACGCTTCCCGTCTCTCCATTTCCTGGCTTTCCTTTTCTTGTCTCTCTTTTCTCTCCGTCATTTCTTGAACTCTGGCTACATGTAACCGCTCCTCTCGAGTGGGTGTCCTCCTTTCTATGGGGTCGCTGGTTGGTTCTCTAGCTTGTTTCGCTTCTTTTTCTCGATTAGTCTTTCGTCGATCGATGAATATACCCCTTTCTTCTTGATCTTTCCTTTCTTTCGATTCCTCGATTTGAGCTTCGAGATAAATCTCCTCCTGTTCCAGCAGCCCATCAATAGCTTCACGAAACAAGCTAGCTGTTGATGGTGAATCAAAAGTGTTGAAATGCCAAGTCTCAACCTCGGCAACATCTTTTTCGCATCCTGGGTATGACAACTCAAGCTCGTCAAGAGTTTTGAGGCGCCAGTGTATTCGTTTTCCTTCATGTTTGTTTTGCATTTCTTTCATTTGATGGAACAGCTTAGGAAATGTGGTGAATGGCTCACTACAGTGAGCTTGGACTGCATTCTGATATGCATCCTCCCAACCTGGATATGTGAAGTCGCAGTCATCAAGGGCAGCAAGATTGGCATGAGACCGGTCTCCCTCGTACAGCGCATGCTTGTTGACTAGACCTTGCATCCTTTCTTCAAACTTTTCTTGTGTCTCGTCATTCACAGGGTTCTCACGACACCATTCTTCGATTCTTCTCTTGTCTCCAAGGCATCCAGGATAATCAATATCCAAATCATCAAGGATCTCTATTCTTAGCATTATGTAGTAATTGTCGAATTCTCTCTGTTTCTCCATTATTTCCATAAAGAGTCTCTCAAACACTCGGGTTGTTCCGATTTGAAAAGCCTCGGCAGCTTCCTCATAGTCATTCTCCCATCCGGGATAGCTCAGTTCTGTGTCGGCAAGTTCACGAAGCCGATGAGAACCAACCGACATGGTGCAATCCTAGTGATGTTGCTGTTGGAAATAAAAATATTCGCGTGATGGGGGGGGGGGGTGACTGGAACATCCAACTGATGGTGGGTTTTCGTTTGATTGCCTCCATCGCCGAAGGCGCATTAAACTGGTCGGCGGGCGTGCACGATAATACGCGTGTCAAATGTACTGAGAGAGTGCTGTCTGTCATCCATCCGCCATTCAAATCGAAGCTGGCAACAACCAAAACACAATCAACGACACATCGTCATCAACCTTTTGCTTCATCAAATTCTCCATTAGTCCAACCATGAACTTCAACAGTCTTCTATCACCATTCTGTGCGCGATTATCCCGGCCCAATCCCCTCCATGAGTCCATACAGCAACGTTTCATGTCCAAATACCTTTCCAAAGCCGCCGCCAAAAGACTGCCACTGAATGCCAAGAGAGCTGGAAAAGGTTACTACAAGGGAAAAGGAGGAACTAAGGAAGGAAGACTAACGAGCAAGGGGAGATTTATTGTGGATCACGACAAGCGATTGGAATTGATTGTGCCCGATCTAGAAGGTTTCAAGGTGAGTACACTGTTTTATGAGTTGTGTTGATAATTTCTAGATGTTTCCGGCGTAATGCTGATGTTGATTTTTTTGTCTTGAGCAGCTGAAACCATATATTGCATCAACAGCTTCCAAATTTGAACCCGAAATTCGAAGAAGACCGGGCCAAACGGCCTAAGATAGAGACTATATGACTACTATTGGGTTTTTAAGCTTTTAGTGTGTTCTTTGAGATACATTTTCACCTTGCATTATGTTTGGCGTCCTGTCGTGGTTCTTATTGCCCAAACGAAGCTGAGACCAATTGCTCCAATAATTGCAGATTGGACTGCGTAGCCCTTGAGTACAGGCGATTTACTTGACAGTGAGCATACTATCAAGGAATCCCTGATCAACCATCACTTATCGTGTGCTGTTGTTTGCAACGGCTTCAGTTTCCCACCATGCAAATCTTTAGCTATTTGGTTTCGCTTATCAGATAGATGATAGTTTAATCCCCTTGCTTCGCGACCCATGCATTGGTAGAGTTCTTGCCTCATCAACCAAGATGAAACGAACAAATCATGAGCACTACAGTAGTACGTTTCCGTCTGTGCTACATCGGTACTTCCCTCCAAAAACATCAAATCTCCACAAAACGAATGAACCTCTCTCTCCTGCTCCTTGCTTCCATTGCTTTGCTGCAAATCAACAACACTTTAGCCTTTTCCTCACACCGCAGCATGGGTAAACGACAAAAGAAGCGAACGCATTCAGAAATTGACCCTCAGCCTGATGATGAGAATGATCTCACCTACGTTGAATTCTATTCGGGTATCGGAGGATGGACAATGGCTTTCGAAGAAGCGCTCGGGCGGCTTGAGAACCAAGAAGAGCCTCCACTGAAGCCAAAACGAATTACAGCCCTGGATCATTCTGACTTGTGTATGCGAGTCTTTGAGCATAATTTTAGAACTAAAAGAAAGTCGTTTCAGATTCAGATCCAAGGTCTAACGAAAAAGCAAGTCGAAACCTGGAAATCCAAGTTTTGGTTCATGTCACCACCCTGCCGTAAGTCCTGGTCAAACAATCTACGTCCTTGAACATAAGGAAGGAACTTGATTTCACATTCATCTTCCCGCCCAATACATTTAGAACCCCATACAAGGCAACACTCGAATCAAGAGAAGGATCTTTCTGACTCGAGATCCACCAGCTTTCTTCATCTTTGCACTCTCCTCTCAGAAATGGAGGAGTCTACCTTGCCTCAAATGATTTGTTGCGAGAATGTGGTCGGATTTGAAACATCAAATAGCTTTGAACAGTGGCGTAAAGCATTGGCAGAACGAAATTATCATGTCGGTCACTTTCATTTGACTCCCACCCAAGTCCAGCTACCCAACGATCGACCACGGTACTTTTCCGTTGCTGTCCAAGCAAACTCTCTTTCTTCATCCAAAGACGCCTCTTTGTATCTCAGTTATCTGCAACACGAAGATCTAAGTAAAGAAGAAGAAACGATAAAGATCCAATCTTCGATTCCGGAGCTTGGCGTGAATGTGGCATCCGAGGAAGCCGAGACTGCTGACGCTGCGACGATATCCACATTTCTCGACACTGCTGACAATTCAGATCTCCGAATCCCCGAAAAATTGCTCAATAGCGATGCCGCTTGGTGTTTTGATATTGTCTCACCAAACAATCGACGTTCAAGGTGAGTCACCAGTACTATTGATTGATTCTACCATTTCTGTGCCTTTCGAAACATCATCATCTCACCCTTCAATTCTTACCTTCAGCTGTTTTACACACTCATATGGTGGCTATGTACGAGGAACGGGGAGTATTCTATACAATTGCGCCGATTCTGAAGGAAAGAAGCTGATCAAACCAGAAGAAAGAGAGTTTCAGAAAGATTGGATGAAAGACTTTGACAAGACAAAGCTTCGGTACTTTTCGGGAATGGAGCTAGCTCGTCTGTTTGGTTTCAGCGAAAGATTTTCGTTTCCTTCCAGCTGCACTCCCAAACAACAGAGGAAATTGATTGGAAACTCGTTGAATGTTCGAATTGCATCCAAGATTGTAGAGTTGGGTTTGCGATGCATGCAACTTGATGGGAAGAGCAAACGACCAAAGAGCTAAGAGTAATGATCGAGTGAGCCAGTGACAAAACGTCTTCTATAGGAATATGATATGATTCATTCAATCATCAATGGCAATTGATTGATTGTCTACAGCTTGGCGCATCCACGCTTTTCAAATTCTTGTTTGATTTGTTCAGAATTGCAAACCGCAGGGAAAAAGTGGACTTGTCCCGGAACTGCTTCTCCCGATTGTATCTTTTCTTCCTTATTGGCAAATTCTCCTGGGCCATCATTCCAGAATTGTGAATCTGTTTGAGTCTCTTTGAAATAGACCAAAATGGGACCGACAGGACTGCTACCAATGGCAGGAAAGAAGTCGTAATTGACAATGGAATCGCAGGCCCATACATTGGCGCCGCCCACCACGACATTTTCCCCGGAACCTTCCATTTCTCCTGTCAGAATATTCTTGACATTGACCAGCTCCAATTCGTTATTTTCGTTGAATACGAATCGAATTCGGAAACTTTGGACCAAAAAGAGCAATCCCAACAAAGTCACGAGGGGACCCAAGGTTAGTTGAATATAAGGAATTTGGTCCAAAAGCAATCCTCCGGCCAAGAAAGCACCGGCCACTCGAAAGTCGTTAGCAATGGTAACTGGCTCAAATTTTGGTGCCGCTACAGCCTTGGCAGCTTCCTTGGGTTGCAGAATGTCACTCAAGAAGGAAAATGGATTGTTGTCGTTGGCGTAAAGACGAGTGCCGGAAGGTGATGGTGATGATGATGATGATGATTGACGAACTCCAGCCGCAGTGGTGGTTCTTCCAACAGTTGGTGAAGTGAATGCCAAACATGCATTTGAGCTCACTGCCAACACGATCAAGATACTTTGAGTGGTCTTCATTGTGTGATTGATTTTGTGGTTCTGGGACGAGAAGTTGGTTGAGTGTTGGCGGAAGACAGATACGCTTCCTGATCCTCCAACAAAAATGGATTCTGTTGGCGGTTGTTTTTGGATTGTGTTGACGTCAGTCAGTCGTTAAGTCGAATAGGTCGATTTTGAATTTTGGCGAGGACTACGACTAGACTACTCGTACACGTACCGGTACGTGTACCAATACTGACGACTTCCGATGATATTTTGGTCGATCGGATGTGCGCGTGATGGGTTCGCATCTGATCAGTGGGCACGTGAGTACCCATAACCTATTGAGATTGCAAATCAAAACTCAAGAGCCGATCCGCGTTGTGGGTGCTGTGGAGGACCCATTCTCATTCGTAAAGTGACTCGTTTGTAGACACGATACGATTAGAGAAACGAGAGCCACTGATTGGATCAGACATTTTACAAATCATAAAGAGGGAAACACTCCACATTGTTAAAAGAGAATGAAATTATGGATGGTTGCTTTGTTAATGCTAGCCTTAGGCGCGAATGGGTTTCAAGTTCAAGTACGGTATCTAGCGGGTTCGAGAAGGACTACAAGAAGAGCAAGCACATCAGCACCACACGAATCTTCGCTACTCATTCGTCAGATGCTCATGAACAATGATTCCTTCAACTCTAGTTCATATTCCTCTCAGCACCAGCAGTCCACCAAGCACTACTTTCAAAGCATCAAGGCAAGCGGAGAAGTTGCCAAGTCATCCGACGATGGATCTCATCCCACCCATTCAAGTTCCACTGGCCTTAGAATGGCACATGGAGCCATTTGCCCCGAGACCATTGCCATTTTCGAAAAGAACTCCAACCCAGCCATTCGTCGCTTTGTGGATACTTACCACAAGCGTGGTCCACTCGCCTGCGAAGACTTGCTATCCGATCCCGAAGTCCTTCCTCATCTCACCAAGGCCATGAGAGATATTCATGCTTAAATTGAGAGTGAGTGAAACAAACGAAAACAAGAGCTACGCATGTCACTGGAAACCACGAGAGAGGCGCATCTCTTTTCGTGCCCAGTGAGGAAACATGATCTTTGCAATCCAAACTACTCTCCTGTCAGGATTTGGTTGCCGCTTACAACATCAAACTCTTCTTGGATAAATGAGGATGCAATCAATCATCCATCCAAGACAGCCTATATTTATATGGACGGAAGACATTATCCCTTCTATATGCTACAGACAAGAAAAAGCAAGCTGCTACAAGCTACTACCTTACTACTACTACTTACGAACTGAATTCGTTCGCTCAACCTCGGCTATCGCTACAGTCCGAGGAGGAAGCGAATGAATCCATCCAACCAAACACAAAAACAAGCAAAAAGCAACTACATATTGCAAGACTACCTACAATTCAGCTATATGCATTGAGAATATCAATATCAATCAGACCATAGGACTAGACCTAAAAAAAAAAAGTAAATAATACTACACGCCATGCAAAACGATCAAACATCAAGACTGTGTAGATAGTAGTTTTTATCATAGTGTGATGCGCAAAGAATACAAAACTGCACTCTCTATACTTAGGTTTGTATTTATTCCAACCTCGGCTCATTTTCAAAATGCGTTGAATGAGGCAATCGGTATCTGAATCGATGGATCCATTGGTGTCGTTTTTTGCCAATGCAACTGAAATCTAAAGCTGGGCAGCACTCGTTGAACGAAATACTTGGTGAGTTTCTTTCTGATATATTGTTTCATTCTCGTGGCTGCTGTTGAGCGCCACAGTGATCTCAATGATCAAAGGGAGGCTCCTGCGCTACATGTATGCTTGTTGCTTCCAGCACCCACTATAGCTCACACCCACATGTACTACATTAAATCCCCGAATATGGAATGCCATTACTACCTCTGGGTGCTATCCCCGAAGCCGGTAAGGTACGTTCCAAGATTAGCTTGGAAAAATCTTGGTGGGATGCCAAGTGAGTTTCCAAAAAGTCCACCTTTAGATAGGGTGCCAATTTCAGGGCCAATAAGTGTTTGCACAAGGTCACATCTTTTGTTGACTTCGAGGATTTGCTAACCTTTTCGAGAAAGGAACGACAGGAACAATAATCCACTCCATTATTAGCTTGGGTAAAGCAGAGATAGGACGATGAATCTTCGCCCAAAGCCCGCCCTTTACTGCTGCTGTGGACAACATGCACGCTACGGGTGAGTCCACACGTGCGAGGGCTGGAAATTTTCACAATGCTGGGAATGGCGGCAGTCGAGGAATCCAACAATGCCAAGGCAGCCATCAGAGTATTGTTGCCGTACAAGAATTCGGTCACGTTGAGAATTTCGTCTTGAAGGATTTTCGTCTTGTTGGATGCACCTCCTGCTGCTGGTGTGTCCTCCTCGAAAGATGATGGATCCAAGGTGTCAAGGTAAGAATTCAGTTGGAATTGTGGGTTTTCGAGGGTGACTGGTGGGGGATTGGGAGCTATCCAGCTACTTTCAGGCATCGTTCTGGGGTATTTTCTTTGATAGAACGAAGGCAGCAATGTTATGAAGACCGGACAATGCCACCTGAAATTGAAAATGGAATGAAATAGTTTTACGCGCCATTTTTGACTCCTCCGACACGAACTGAAAAATCATTGATCAAAGAATGAAAGAGACACAAACAACAAAACCATAACACGAACACAAAAACCTTGACAACAACTGGTCGTCAATCCATTCTTGTAATCCACCTATCCCACCTTCGTCACAATTACCGACATAAATTTACTATGAAGTAGAGAGTGGAGAAAGTCAGCAATCAGTATGAGAAAAGCGGTCAAACTGACGACAGTCTTGGCTCTTTTGGTCGTGTTGACCGTTGCATGGTCCTGGACTGCCATTTCCCTGACTCGCAAGACGGACAGCAATGTACCATTACAGGAATTGCCCCTTGCCAATGGATCAAACATACAATCAAGAGCAGCCCTGTATGCGAATAGAACCATGATATTTGTTCACATTGGAAAGACGGGAGGAGAAACCATCAAGTGGAGACTGCAAGTCATTTGTGACCTTCGGGGGAGCAAACGAAAGAAAGCCCGGTGCAAGGATCAGTTTTCCTTGGGCGAGTCACTCTTGTCTCGTCGAGTCATTGGTTATACACATTGTGGAAGTCGGAGGCCTCGGAAAAGCATGGAATTGGCCACTTCCTTTTTGTTTAGCATTCGGGATCCAATCGTAAGTTCACTGTCAATATTATTATTGTGGATGTGGTGTTGGATCACCAGACCTATGGAAACCAACGCAGTCTCATACTCACTCTCCAACAACAATTGTGATTGTTTATCTACGTATTTACTTGCTACAGGATCGCTTGGTCAGTTGGTTCCAGTACATGCATCCTTTGAATTGCTGGCCCGAACGACCAAGCGGAGCCTGCAACCTAAAACGGGACACGACCACTACTTGGGGTGTGGATTTTTTTCAAACCTGCTTTCCGACCATGGATCGACTACTAGATGTCTTGCAGCAGCAACATTCCTCGTCGTCATCAATGCTATTGTCGTCGTTGACTGGCAGTACCGATAAGGAGGCCGCTGACTGTGCGACAATGGTCATTCGTGCACTGGAGGGCAATGGACCCCGAGTTCAGTCCAATCACTTGTATTTCAACTATTTTTACAACTATAATCGAACCATCTTGGAATATCCGGAAAGAGATGTCTGGGTGGTTCGACAAGAATCTCTCTGGCCGGACCTCAAACAAATTGAAACCTTGTTGGGAGGAGACGGGAGCCGCAAGTTTGAACACGAGGGTCCCATCATTACACATGCCAGTGAAAAGTTTCTCTACAAGGTCCAAGCTGCCAAATTGAATGCAGCTCATTTACCAGCTGTCTGCTGTGTTATGCGAGATGAAATCTTGGTGTATGCCTACTTGTTGCACCATGCGGTCAATTTGGAACCAACTCAAAAACAAACCTCCATGAAAAATCTCCTGGTCAAGTGTGGTACAGATTCCCTGCACACACTGTCCAACACTTGTGGATGGAGGAAGCCTAAAGGTAACAATGATGGAAATGTTGTTCGACGACTTGAGGAGCTTTGGCCGATGTTGGATGTCAAGTTTTGAATGAGTCTTCTGTGCATCTTGAATGAATCAATCAACCAATTGGCTGCTGTTATGAACCATCTTGCGACAGTCGCACTGTCCAAGGATATCCGTGAAAGCCGGAGGGAACAAAAACCTCGTAGCCGTCGTCATCGTGCAGCAAATTTGCTACAATATTGCGACTATCCCATTGGAGCACTACTACAATGGTGATTATTCTCGTGCCAAGCAAGACTTCAAAGATGACATTCAATGGCGTATGATCCAGAAAAGCAAGACGCATCGAAACGATGTCCGCAATATTGAGACGTCGTTGAGAAACCCTGCTTTCTGGAAAGCGAAGAGGAGTCCTGACGCTAGAACGAAATTGCATGGCACTTTCATTCTCTTCTGACGACTTTACAGCATTGCAATTTTATTTTGCTTAATTCATTTCCCTCTAAACAATGAAAAGATACATATACTGTGCACACAGATTCATTCTTTCATCTCTTTCGATCTAGTCCATTGAAACGGGGTGTCGCTCTGCACCGGTTGACGAGACCAGTGTTATCTGTCTGTCATGAATGACGCCCTCAAGCTTCTTTACTCTCGACCTCAAGACGGCATTCGAAGTTTCCAATTCATTCATGGCTGCTTTTACGCTGTTCAAATTCATTGGTGTTCGTGTCGAATCCAACAATGCTTGAGCCAACGCTTCCATGTCGTCGTCGTCAAATTGTTCGCCAGTTGCCTTGTCGACAACATGGAAAGTATCTGTAATCGCAGTCTTCTCAGTGTCATCGGTCTTATCTTTTCGCTTTGCCTGAATCTCGACAATGGAGCAGCCACCTGCTGATAGTGCAGCTGTCATGGATGCCAATAAACCATCAACATCAGGCCCATGAACCGTCAATACCGTCGCATCATTTCGAATGGCGTTCGAAGCTTCCACTTCAAACTCAAATTGCTGTTCCTCGTTGAATGCTTGCAACTTTAAAGTCGAAGATCGACCAGTATCGATAAAGAGTAGATTGACCAGCCCCAATATGCATCCCAAAACGATCCCTGCGAGATTTCCCATCAATCGAGCTTGCCCAACAATCGGCAGTGCTCTCTGTGCTGCCGTTAAATTGGCGGGTGACAAACCTGCCATTTTGGCCATTCTTTCCACTGTTCCTCCAAACAAGACACCAGAAGCGTCCGAAACGATTTGTCCAAATGCAGCAGCAGTCTGAAACAGAAAGAGAGAAAGAAAGAGACATTGTGAGTAAACACCACAACACTGTTCGATGGATGAAAGAATGAATGAATGAATGAATGAATCTAAAAATACATACCAATGTGCTGAGACCAAAAGTGACTCCTAGGGTACAATCAATTGCGTTACCCGCTTGCAGCATGACAGTCTGATCTGTGAATCCAAATCCAATCATTGGGACTGCAGCATTTCGAAAGACCCGCCACAGTTGCGTGTTTGTTGGACGGTCTGCCGTCTGATGCATAGTTCCAGCCGAAGCGGTCGACTTTATTCGCTTCGTCGTAGAGCGTTCAATGCATCGCCGTGAAGAAGCCCTTTGGGTCAGCAAGCGTCGAGATGATAGCATAATGATATAATACTTGGGGGGTATCTATGGAACAAAAAGATGGTGCAAACCACTACCGCCGGTAGAAATGAGGATACGTATGGAATTTCCGAAACATCGCCGGAACTTGAGCGAATTACGTGTCCTTTTCCAGTCGGAGGAGGGACTGACAGACGAATCCTTTAGTCGAAGGAATCAATCCCATCAATTCAATCTCAAACCCATCCATCAACTAAAGTTTGGATTGTTTCTTTTGAGAAGCAGCCGCTGCAAGCTCCTCCTTTCTCATATCATGGGCCTTTCGAAAGGCTGGTCGTGATCTGCAAAGTTTGAAATAGTCCACAACTTCTCCATCGTCCTTCCACTTGTCGTCCCATCCAATTTCTCGACTCCATTCCAAACAATGGACATAGGAAATATCAGCCGCAGTAAAGTTGCTTCCGAGCAAATATGACCCATCGGTTTCTTTCAGTTGCTGTGTCAACTGCCTATTTGTCTTGTGGAACCATTTTCGTGCGTGGGCAACGGCATCTGGAATAAAGGTGAAGAAGTCACCCATTGCTTCATGTTTTCGATGAATCCACAGTCCTTGAGCATCCATTTCAGTTGTAACCACTGATACAGTCTGCTCGTAAAGCCCCCTTTCGTTTGTACCGACTAGAGGGACCAAGGTGGGGTTCGCATTACGGTATTTGTCTCCCAGAAATGTGTTGATGGCGCAGCTTTCGAACATTGAAAATCCATCTTCTTCTACCAAGATTGGAACCTTCCCTAGCGGGTTGTATTTTAACACGTTTTCAGTTTGTGGGTGTGCCGACTATACAATAAGGTGGTTGGTGGTGAGGGAAGAGTTATCATTTTTGCTCAAAGTCTACTGGTGTAGATATCAACAACAACAATATCTCCTCTTATCAGCATCATGATGATTACGGAAACATTCTTCTTACCTCATACTGATACGGAACACCAAGTTCCTCAAGCATCCATAAGCAGCGAAACGAGCGATAATACGCAGCCCCAAGAAGCTTCGGTCCGACTTTGGTGGTCATCTTGTTGACAATTTTCAACTTGGTTGTATGTGTCGTGTTTGTTTCCTTGCTTCTCGTTTGTTGATGCTTGCAATGGATCTTCGACTCATACGAGTCCATCGCAATCGCCTATTTTGTCTCATGCGACATATCGTAAAAACCGTTGCACTCGCAAATTGGCGATCGATTGACGACTGCCTACCTGGTACGATCTGTTGGAAGAGAGAGCGTCTTCTGGAACTGCACCGAGACTCATGCACTGCAAGAAGCGTTAGTGCAACCAAGCTTCCTGTAATCTTTAGCAGCAACAATACACTATGGGCAAGCAGCGGGCTTTCAACGCCCTCACAGCATGTGGGGGTATTCTGGGTGAATCCTACTTTTCCGAATTTGGAGATGACGACGTATCGAAAACCAGCGCTCCAGCACTCTCATGGCGAGGTGATCCTTTGCAGACTCACAGTGATTGGACGATTGTAGTTGTTACAAGTGAATTTGACTCCCGAACCTATCATGTTCACAAGAGCATTCTGAGTGCTGGACCGAGAAGTAGCAAGTACTTTGCCAATTTGTTCCTCGAACAAGGACATCACTACAAACAGTCCCAGACAACAAGAATTGAACTTGATGAACAAGATGCCGATTCATTCCCACTGTTTCTTGACTTTATGTACAATATTCAACCCGACAACGATGACGATTCTCTCAGCTTGATTGTGGGCGAAGATTTCACAACCTCAAATGCTGTGTCCTTGCGTCATCTTGCCCGTGTTTTTGACTGCGAAGGTTTGATGTTAGGAGTCAATAAGTTTATTCAGAAGGATCTTTCCCTGAAAACTGGCCCAGTCTACTTGACCCAAGCTTTCTTGTACCAAGACGAGCGATTGGTGGAATCGGCTAAACGGCTGTGCACCGACAATTTCAAAGCCATTGACAAAAGAGCAATCGTGAAACTTCCTTTACCATTGTTTCGATCGATTATTCACTGCGTCGCGGAACACTTCCAGCTTACGGCTATCACATACAATCAAGGAGACAGTACCATGTTAAGCTATCAAGTGAGCGATGTAGTATGCCAGTTCTTTGAGCGGAATCCAGAACATGTTTCGATAGAGTTACTTTTGGAGCTAACGTCAGAGGATATCATGCCTCAGATAGCTTCTGAGCCTGCAATTGGTTTCACTGCTCTTGCGCGAGAGCTTGATTGTTCGAAGCTTGATGCTGAGTCCGAGGAATGGAAAGGTATGTTTGCCCTATGCAAAAGATGCGCAGAAGCCGTTGTATCGGAGTATGGATGGAAGGATTTCAATGTTGCCTCAGCGCTAGATGAATTTGTGTATGGACCTTGCGCCAGCGCAGAAGGCTCAAAGATGGACTCATTGCTATTTGCCACATCCTTTGCTGCTGCCTTAGAGAAGGCGCAGATTGATCTAAGAACGATGAATCAAGGGACTGATAGAGTCAAAGAACAAGTAGGCGGCTTGCGGAAAGACAATGACGATTTGTTGTCGAAGAAGAAAGGTCTGAAACAGGACGTGGACAAATACAGGCGAGAGTTAGACTACACCAAAGAGGAGTTGATAATGCTGAAACAAGAACTCAAATCTCTCCAGAAAAAACACAGGATGTCATTACGTGAATTGTCCTAAGTGGGTTGGGGTTACGATGTATTATGTAAAGTAATGAAATTTCAATTGAAAGCTACAGTAGCCGAAGAATACCGGTACGGGAAAAATGGTAGTAATTTGGAGGACTCAAGTAGTCTCAATCTAGAATTCGGATGTTGGATCTTATCAACGTCAAACTTCCACTCTCACCTAACCTACGGTACAGTACCAATCTCGCAATCTGACGAACATTGTTTCTAATCAACTCAAGATGTTTCGACCATCAGCATCACTCGTTTTGTTGGCATGGGCAACTTCATGTGCGGCACAGGGGGTCAAGAACTATGGTGGCAGCTCATCGCAACGTTCCATTGGATCACAACTCGTCCCCATGATCAGCCGTACTGATCCACCGTTCACCATTGAGAATATGACCTGTGACTTCTTCACCCAACCTTTGAATCACTTTGTACCTAGAGGTCGCTCGCCTAGTTACGAACAACGTTATTGTGTTTTTGATGATTTCGCTACCGATAACAGCACATCGCCAATTCTCTTTTACGTTGGCAATGAGTCACCAATAGAAAATTACATCAATCACACTGGATTGATGTGGGAGCTTGCTCCTAAGCTCAAAGCTCGTGTAGTATTTGCTGAGCATCGGTACGAAGGAAAGTCACTACCAAACGTAACATCGGATTGCCTGTCCTACGCATCCATCATTCAGGCGCTAGCTGACTATGCAAAGATCTTGGATGAACTCATAAATCCACACAATAAAGCTCCCGTATTTGTATTTGGAGGGTCGTATGGAGGCATGCTAGCCGGCTGGTTTCGCATGAAATACCCTCATTTGACCGCTGGTGCAATTGCTGCCTCCGCTCCAAGCGCCGGGTTTCCACTACCCGCAAATGACAAAATCGATTGGGCAAATCGAGTTTTGGCCGCAGGCCTGGGCAAACAGTATCCACCAGATGATCCCACGAAACAAGAGCCTAATGAGTGTCCTAACAATCTCTTGGCGGCATTCCCTCTGATCTCATGGTTGGCCGAAACAAAGGATGGAAGAGACTTTCTTTCAAAGACATTTAGTCTATGCGACCCATTGAGGGACGACGGATCGTCTTTGTTGACATGGGCCCAAGCAGTTTGGTTCGATCTCGCTGAGGGGTCATTTCCTTACGCTTCTTCTTACATTCCCTTTGGACTACTTCACAAAGTTGTTTCGCTACCACCTTGGCCAACTCAGGACGCGTGTTGGAAGTCAAGTTATTTGCACAAAGACTGGGGTGTGCAGTTCTCTGGAAACCGTTCCGATGTCCGCTACGGGGTTGCCTATGGAGACAGCGGCCTTGCTTTGGACGTAGACTGGGACAAAGTTACATCCAAGTCGCCAGCATCATTGTCATCCATCACGAATTCGCCCCAAGTCATTGGTTTACTGACCAGTGTCCGGGACGCGGTTTCAATATGGTACAACATCACCAAAGATGTCAAGTGTTACGATGTATCGCAAGCTGCTCCAAATCTCGAAGTGTCCCACAGCGAAACGATGGAATTTCGTAAGCTGCGAGAGCCGTCTGACCCGGGAAAGATCTGCCAAGACGCAATTCACGAAATGGGAAGTTGGGGTCCATTATGGTATGTCACAATGGCTGTTACTTCAACTGATCACCAACCACTTTGATGACTCATCCTTTTCTTTCTCCAATAGCTGCAATGATGAACTCAATCTCCCCATGACCTTCGCACGTGGGCTCGGTGCAGACTTCTTTTGGCCTCCTTCTCATCCACGATCTGTAAAAACATACAAGGACATGGCGAAGAGTCTCAAATTGGCTCCATGCGATGATCCCGACGGTATTTATGGTTTTTCCAAAGAACCATATGATCTTTGGTCCACAATGTTGGAAGCGCAGTATGGCACTGGAGTGAATATGGATGGGCACTCTAACATCATTTTCTCCAATGGTCTTTTGGATCCTTGGTCGGCTGGGGGTGTGTATGCTGAGCATCCTTGGAAGGACCCTCCGTACACTGGGCCTGTCGTCCAGGAAATCACAGATACCGATGTGATTGCTCTCATCATAGAGCATGGTGGCCACCACACAGATCTGATGTATAGTAGCGAGGTGGATCCAGCTAGTGTCACCAAGTCTAGAGAAATACAGCACAAGTACATTTCAAAGTGGATCAAATCATTCTATGAAAAAGCAAAAGGGACAAGTGTGTAATTTTTCGTTATATAGCCTAAGAGTATGATAATATATTGTATGTATTCGATTAGTTGACCACAAAAGTGCGTCTTTGGGTGCTGTTTTAACAAGCGCTGTAGTCAAAGGATCGAAGCTGTAACCGAGACTGGTGATGCAACCCTTCCATTGTCTTCATTGTCATTCGCAGATTCTGCCGCAGACTCTACTTCACTATTTCGAAAAAGATCAGATAGGCGTTCGTAGCACTCCCTGATTCTTGGATTATGAATGTCATAATCATGGTGTCTAGATTGCGACAACTTGAGAGAGAAAGGGGTTTCTTCATTGTGAAGAACTCGACCTCTTGAGAAGAGAAGAGCTGCATAAGCAGTCTCCGATGTCCTATAACTGGCAAAGAACGAGTCCAACAAAGACAATTCCGCCAGGTATAATGAAAGTCGCTGTACCCTGGAGTCACAAGGTGGCATTGCTGACATGAAGTGGGCGATAAAGATCTGTTCTGTTGGAGGGTGAACTTGCCATTGCAATGCGTCCAGGATTTCGTATTCCATGGACTCCATTTCCTGTTTGGTGAATGGAGATCCAGTGAGGAGAAGAAGGGTCTCCAATGTTGTAGTTGCAGCCCCATCCCCATCGCTTGCTCGAATAGCGCGAAATTCGAATAGCTTGATGGCAATGTAGAGAGACGTAAGCGTAAGTAGTTGAAGGGTTCTGCGATCAATTCCATTGGGCCTTGAATCTTCAAGACAGAATCGGTCGAGGTAATTTATGGCAATTGCCACAATCTCTCGATCGAGGTCAAGATGGTCCACGACTGTGTCGGTGAGTCAAAGAAAATGTGATGTGAGTACGAGTTATATGAAACGATTTCGATGAAATGATCGATGACGCTGCTTACCTTTGAATGCCCATTGGATCATTTTCACTCTCCATTTCGGATGGATGCCCCTAACTTCCTCGTTAGTATCCGTCTCAGTGTCAGAACGTTGCTGTAATCGCCGCCTTTTCGCACCAATGCGGATGCTAAATTGCCGTTGGCCGTTTGCATTTGAAGACTCTTCTTCTTCAACATCTGGACTCAAATGAGAAGGCAGACTGGACATTGTAGCATAGTCTGTCAGCTCCTTCTTTACCAGAGCACGGAGCTTGTCCAACATGTTGGTTTTGTCAGTCATTTCAAAGCAGTTGTCCAAGCTTATTCCTTCTATTGAGCATTGGATCTTTTGAAGTTTTTGGGCGTTGATGCGAGGAGCCCACTTTTGCGTATCTTCGCAGAATTGGATCAAATGGAATTTTCCCTGCCCAATTCACGCCATCAAAGAAAATTTGGACATGGCGACACTTAACGTAATTTAAAATTCTCGGAGTGAAAGTTCAGTGATATTTATTCTACGACCCACAAACTCCTCCTCTTCGCTTTGCTAAACGGCTGCTAGAAAAAATGAGTGGGAAAAACGTCATTTTTCCTATATCAACGGTTTAAATTTTGTTGCGACATGTCTTACACATAGCCTCCGCGTCAGATTTTGCTATCCACAAGGATCTTTTTGCCGGTGTTCGTGGACCAGAACCTGTCTCTCGTTCGTGTAGCAGGTACCGGTACGTACCACGTACTCCAACTGCCGTTTCGTTAACAGATGCGAGGAAATGCTACTGTAATTCTACGGTTCTTCCAGTTGGGGTCGACATGAAATCACTTTATTAAAAAACACATGAAGTCCATACTGCCGTTTTTTAAAATACCGGTAGGAGTAGCAGGGAAATATAAAAGCCTGTCTAAGAACCATTTACAGTAGCGGTATTGCGGTGCATGTATTTTATACCTTGTACCGGGGTATTAATACTGTTACGGTGTGTGCATTGAATCAATCAGCTGCAACTAATCTAAAATCAACCCTGTCAGTACCATGTAGCTATATACCGTTGACGGTGGATACCTTACTGTACAGTAGTCATTTGGGACAACTGGAAAGTTCTTTCTGGGAGTGGTTTCCAGCGATCCCAAATGTTGCCGGTGACAAAGGATAATAGGCACGTGTACGGCGCCGATGTCTAGTCGTCTTCAATGCATTCGCATTCCGACCACGGTACCGGTACCTGGTCCCAAATGCTGCTGTTGACAAAGAAATAGGTACGTGTACGGCTCCCGTAGACATGTCCAAGACGCTGGCAAGTCGTCTACAATGCATTTGCATTGCGACCACGGTACCTGCTACCAGTATTGGTATCGTGGATACCAGTACATGTACTGGCACTGTCAGTGCATCGTATCAATGACAAATCGTCTACTCAAAAATGTCAATAGCTTTTCTGGTGGGGTAGTCATAACAGCTCTCCCACTGGAGGCGCACTTGATCCCAAAGGCCGATGGTACTGGCTATAGATGATAGATGTGTCTAAGATTCTTACAGTAGCTAGCTGGCTAATGGTCTGAAAGAAGGCATTCCGCGATCTAGTCCTCTTTCAAAGGTCTTCCATGCAGCGCAACCGGATCAGATATTTTCTTCGAATAGACACCAAACGGTTGTACACCCCCCTTTTTCTTTTGCTTTCGCCTCTGGTGTACTTCGAATTCATGTGTTCGGATCACGAATAGGATCATTTCGATAAAGAGCATGATTACTCCACTGACAACACCAACAATGACACGCTTAATGTCAGTCCCCCCTGGTGTTCTTGAAGAGGCGTTATCTCCCCACAGGTAATCAAAAATTCCACCAGCAAAGAAATACATGAAACATCCGAACGATAAAGGAGCAATGATCATATTCAGTCCCACCGAAGCAGCATATGTCATTGATTTTGCGGTGATGTCATCTTCGTTCCTCTTCGATTGCAAGTTACTTGTGAGTTTGCTGTACTTGGTTTCTTCCCTCCTTAATTTCAGACGATCAATCCGTAGCCTGTATCTTCTCTGCTCGTCAGTTTCTTCTTGTGGTTGTGGTGGAGGTGTAAAATACAATGAGCTTCCTCGTAGTCCGTTCTCCAATTGGTCGCCGTCTTCCACCAACAGTTCCAAAGCCCTCAGTATTTCAAAAGGAACATATTTTACTCTTGTCTGCTTTGGATTTCCGTGTTTGCGAACCAATCGCATTGCTTTCTCCTTTTCTGATTGCAGTTCGTGGATTGACGATGACGCATTTCCTTCCGTTGTACTTGTTGCCGTCAGTGAAGTATTCTCATAGCAATCGCTCCATAGTTGCTTCAGTTTACTCGTTATACATACGCCTTCAAGGTTCTTCTTGTAAGGACCAATGCTATGTTGGACTGCCATTCTTAGTTGATTGATCTTGATGTCAGCAAGTCGGTGGGAACGTGATGAGGGTTTTCTCTTGCATTTGGTTTCGGTTGACGGAAGCACGCATCTCAGTCGGGATTGAATTTGGAGAAGCGAAGCGATGAAGACATCAGCTGCCCTTTTAGCGCCGCCAAAAAAATCTGCTCAGGGAACCATAAATGAAAATGCTACGAGTTACCATTTCGCGTACTGTAGACTCGAAAAATATTGTGACAGTTTCGAGATCGTACGCGTGGACATTGTCGGTATTCGTTCCTACTAAATAATTCAAATCTGGAATCTTTTGAATTTTTAATTAGGCATGACCACGTGCAGATTCCTGTGATCCTCTGAACCTCCTTTTTGAAGGGAGGAAGTTGCTGAGGCGGTGGTGGAGAAGAAAGGTGGTACCATACGACTGTTCCACGATCCGAATGTCGGCAGTAGCAGCTAATAAGAAAGAAGTAGAGTAAGGTTGAAAGAAAATTAATTGTGCAGTTAGTAATAGGCACATCTATACCATATGCTCCCCATCGTGGTAATTTGATGCTCATGCCATGGCAATGCTTTGTGTTTGAAAAGTGTATTGTAAAAAGTAGGCATTGCCAGTGTGATGTAGTTACAGCCTCTTGTAGAGGAGGCGCTCTGTTTTTGAAGTAGCTTGAATTCTGAGTTTGTCGTAATCCCAGAACCTAGCTCATGGGGGTCATTACGGAAACAGGAGATGTAGTGCGTATCGCATCACTTTCTGCCTTTCTTGGTGTTCTGTCTCCTTCCTCGGCGGCTGCTGGCACGTGTCCATTAGCCTGCATAAAGATCAAATGTAGACGGTCTCTGCATTCACGAACCTTCGATGTATCGTAATCAAAGAGTGACCTTGGGACCGGTCCCATCAAATTGGGATAGTATTCATCATGGATTGGTGCTTTGTCTTTATCGTTTGGTGATCTGCGTTGCAGTGCGTTCATGATTGATGCAATAGCAACTTCAGAGGACTTGTAGTCAACAAAGTAGTAATCCATGATGGACAACTCCACCATGAATTGAGACACATCAAGGAGTTCTGTATCTTCAATGCCAATCAAGTAGAGGAAGTGTTTCACAAAAGCCTGTGGACTCGGAGGATGGACATGCCACTGCAAGCGTTGCAATATATCATTTTCCATCTCTTCCATTTCCGTGAGGGTGAAGAATCCTCGGCTAAGCTGTAGGATCGAATCCATGGTTGATTTGGATCCTGGGATCAGTAGGTGCTTGTACACATTCAGCTTGATGGAGAGGTAGAGACAAGTCATAGCCAAAAGCTGAAACTTGTTCTTATCCACAGTGAATGGATAGTCTGCAAGATAGCGATCCAAGTGGTTCATTGCGATCGAAACCACTTCCCGTTGGAGTTGAAAATGATCCACAACTAGAAGTGCCGCAAAGGAGCGAAGTTAGAGTTATGAAAGATTTGGAGAAGATGTCAGAAGCCTTCCTCCATCATATCTCACCTTGATATGCCCATTCGCAGATCTTCTCTCTCCAGTGCTTGTTGATCACAGAGGTCGGTGGTCCCCGGCATCGTTCTCCCTGTGCATTAACTTCGGTGTATTCACCATCTGCTCCCTTGCGCTTCTTTGGACTGGGAGGAGAAGATGCGTCGCTGTCCATTGGTTCTCCCGCCGAGGCCAGTTCCTCATTAGCTAAATGACGCAACCGGCCAAGGTAGTCTAGTGTTCTGTAAGACACATCCTCTTGTGTTAACAGAACGTTCAATCTCTCAACTGCATCTACCATGATTGATGCAAAATTCGATTTTCGACTTGAAGCCGGCAATTTTATGAACCAAGCATTGGACAACACCACAAGCCACACGAAGCAGTTGTACAGCACTTTTGACATACGATAATCTGACGTATCGATTTGTACTAGAAGCCGACAACCTATTGACGACCACACCGTCTCTACGTAGATTCCGTACTAGATTGTACGAGTATCCTCAGGCCGCATACTTTTGCGCGTTAACTGTCGAGGTTGAATCAGATGAAAAACGCCTCGCTACGTCACAATTAACACCTTAACTAAAAAAGTTGCTGGCATAACGAGAAACATCGAGTTTACTAACTATATTAATCTGTATCGTCCTCTTTCGCATAAACGCTTCCGCACAGATTTAGGATCTTTATGTGAGGAGAACTTGGGGGAACCTTGATCAGTGACGGTAGAAATCATCATAGAAAATTGTGGCGGGAAAACTGGGCGAAACGAAAAATAAATCGAACTGCGTTAAATACGGATCCGACATCGAGATATTTTCCTCGAGATTTTGGGAGTCGAACAACGAGTGCCGTGATTTTCACTGGCAGATTAGACAAACAGACGGAACCGCAACCGGAATCACGGGCTCAAACAATCCAAAATGTATGGCGGAAATGGCGATTTCAAAAACAAAACCAACCAATCAACTAAAAGATCCAAAGAATTTCCTTGCGGAGAATGTCCCATTTTTTATTAATGTCTGTCGTTCAAACCTCCTCCAAACTTCGCGCCCAAAAAAATGCTCCCGCGGAGGGCAAGGATCCTTCGAACAACCACCCTTGCGAATGTTCATCTGCAAGGATAACACAAACTCTTTCAAAGCTTCATCCAAAAACAACAATGCTGCATATAGCAGTTGACAATATGGAATAAGTTACACCTCAAATTAATATTAAATTACCCTGGTGCCATACAGTACCGTACTGTACCGGTAGTCCTGTAGCAAACGGTTGGTAGTTTCGTCGTAACCGAAAATACGGGTAGTACTGGTACTGTACATGGAGTTACGTACAAATGTGGGGCCAAAAAATAGCGCGCCATATTGAATACCGAGGCCGCGAGCAAAATCATCTCGTTGGAAAAAAATGCAATCGGTCCACCTGAGCTCATCCCTCAAAACCAATAATACAAAACCAAACTCCCAATGAACCGTAAAAGACAATTCGTCCGTACCTGCAAAAAGCATGGATTGAACGTTCAACCAGCAGCCTTGCAATCCATGATAGAAGAAGTGAATAACGAGGAATCCTTGTTGCAAAGCTTGAAATGGATCAATCAAAATCTTCCTACCGGCAAACCAAAGATTGTGTCGCCAGAACTGTGGAAGCAGGCTTTTGAGGCTTGCATTGCACCACCGCCTACCTGCAAGAAAAGCACTGCTATTGAAAGAAAGTCACGTCCTTCGGCGGGGTTGGACAATAAATTGGTGGAATATGTTTCGGCGTTTGAAATGCCAAGATTAATGTACGACTCCTTGCGTCAACAATTTTACTTTTCCGACAAGAAGAGACCTCCTCTCTTTGGAACGGCGCAAGACAAGGTCGACATGATGACACAGCGTTATATGCTCATTCATCAACGTGTCGTCCGTCAAATGAACACACCTCTCACAACGATTGATTTGTTGCTGGGGTCCACCGGCTCGAGATCGCGCAAGACCCAGGTTCTCTTGGGAATGCTCCACTATCACCCCGAAGGCCTCGAATTGGAAGACCTGACAGGGACTATTGTCTTGAAGGGTCTTGATCAAGCTAACATTCAAAAGAGCGGCTTTTACTCGGAAGGGACCATTGTCATGGTAAATGGACAGCATGACAGTGGTTACTTTTTTGTGGAGCGAATGGGCTTTCCCATGTTGGAACCCAAAGCTGAAACAGCTCCATATTTGCCTCCCAGAAAGAGGTTTGTTGGCAGAGATAGCGATCAGCCATTGATCATTTACAGCATGTCCAACATTGAATTGGATGATTCCGAAAAGCGCAAGACCTTGGAAGAGTTGATTGATCAGATTGCGGACGAACCAAGGGAAGCCCTTTTGGTCTTGTTTGGAAATTTTTCCACCACATCATTGTCTCTTTCGGGTGCATTGGACGAGCTGGCAAGCATGCTCGAAGAAATGCCGCCAAATATTTCTGTGGTGGTTCTACCAGGTCCAAAAGATACTCCATCGCAATGCTGGCCTTTACCAGCCATGAAATCACATTCGTTGTCTCGTCTTCCTCGAGTCCAACTTGCCAGCAATCCGTGCAAGATTCGCTATGCGGATAAGGAATTGGTGTTGGTCCGCAAGGATTTAATTCGAGACCATCTCCACAGTCAAGTCTTGAACATTTCTGGCTCCACGAGCAGTCTGGCATCACGAGTTTTCAACACCACGTTAAGTCAGGGACATATTATGCCGCAGACGCCAATTTATTGGAACTATGATCACGCAATGCATTTGTACCCGTTGCCAGAATTGATTCTTATGGCATTGGATAATGGTGAGGAACCTGTCAAGTTTTCAAGAGACGGTTGCCACATTGTCAGCCCTGGCGAGCAATGGGCCAAGGTTTCCATGTCAAGAAATGGACAGGCACATGTGCAGTTCTCTCAAGACAAGCTTGACGAATCATCGGACGAGGACCTCTAGAGCTCAATTCTGGAATTAGTAGCTAATAAATATTAAGCAGATGGGGAACAGATAGAAAAGTAAAGAGATTGTGGTACAGTAACCCATAGTCTTTCGAATTATATTAACTCTACGTCTTCGAGCGAATAGAGAGACACATCATCATCGTCCTTGCCTAATGCCCGAATGGGATCGTCCAAGTAGAGAGGAGCTTTGGGCATTTCGACAATCACCCTTCGTAGTGCTCGTCTTTGCACCAACCCAAAACTCAAGCAAGTGGTAATGGCCAAAGCCATGAGAATAAAGCCAAAGACAGTAGCAGCGGAAGCCGCAATTCCCAACCCAGATGTTTCTTCAATGACCAGAACAGGTTGCCCAATAAACTCACAATGCGGTCCTCTGTACCCATTGGGACATTGACATGCCGGAAAACTGTATCAATTACGCATTGGTGAGAAAGGTCAGAATGCAAATGGGGCTCTCAGTCACCTTCAAACACACTTACGTTCGTCCGTTCTCCTCAATTTCAACACAAATTGCGTCATTGACACAGTAGATAGACGAAGCTGCTCCATCGTACATTTGAAATGCCGCATCCGCCGTAGTGCAAACTGTCATCTTGTGATGTTGACAGAATTCTCCTACGTCATTCTGGTCTTCTCGATATTCCTCATCGCATTCACAGGTCCAATCTTTGCTTCCTGCCTCCTGAACGCATTTGGAGCCGTGTACACAGATATGTTGTCCATTGCCGCAGTCCTCGTACTTGTATTCGCATTTCGGACCAGTCCATCCATCGGGACAAACACAACGGTCTTCGACTCCCAAAGCCTCGTCGGACGAGTCGATGACACTTCGGACACATGTGCCACCGTTGAGACACATATCGACGCCACAGTTTTCGGCTTCAGAGGTTGCTTGCTCATAACTTGCAAACTCACAGGATGCCCCACGCCAGTCTTCAGTACAGTCACAGGAGAACGAACTAAACGCAGAGAGGAACTGGATGTGAGTTATTCTTTCATCACGCTAACATCATCTGGTACTTGTGGCCGACTTACCCATTGCCATTGTCAACGCATGCTGCCCCATTCAAACATGTTTTTGAATCGTCGCAACGAACTGACAATTCTTTATCGCACGAGCTTCCCATGAACCGTCTGTCGGGGTCATTGGTTTGAGAACAGTCGCAATATGCCTCGCCTTGATCTGTTTGGATACATGGCGACCCATTGAAGCAAACTTTATCGCCACAATTCACACCCGAATCTAGTTCGCAAAGGCTACCGTGAAAGCGATCACTGCATTCGCAAAAGTTATCTTCATTATCATCCACCTTGCAGACACCGCCATTTTTGCATGAGATGCCCTGGCTATGATCACAGGCAACTTCTTTTGAGTGTTCATTTTGGCAATACTTTCCAGTGTAGTAATTGTCCCCGTCACTAGCTGCACTGCAATTGCACTCATACTGCTGATTTCCAAAATCATCTTGACCGGTAGGCACACAAGGAGCGCCGTGATAGCAATTGTGCAAATCCGAAGCATCCCCACAACTTTCAAAAGCTACGCCACAGGTCAATCCAGTGAATCCTTTGTCACAAGCACAATGATAGTTGTCTTGGCTCAGATTATCATTATGAAATGGAAGATCACTGCCATCAACTTCTTTTGGGTGGTCATCGAAAGAAGCCCTTCCGGCAACGCATTTTGATTCATTTATGCATCTCAAAGAACATTCAGCATCTCCGCGTGCAACAGCCATGACTACGGACAGTATCAGCAATATAGATGTGCTGGAAACATTTGGTTTGATCTGACGTTGGCGACGCCGTAGGTTCCGTTGATTTTGATGATGATGGTGCATCTCGATGTAAGGATCCTTTCTTATTAGTGAAACTCCGCCCAACTTGGTGAAGAGTTCCATTGACACTGCAGAGGTTCGAAAAAAATTCAAATTTTTCCGAGTATTCGAAGTAATCCAAAATTTAAACGGCTACTGCGCGCGCATGCGAGGATGCCAATGATCGGCCGTTTTAAATACCCACCTACGAAAATCGGTCCCACCAGTACTGACTCCGATCCCGCCGGTATCCCGCGAAGCCTGCCCGACCCACTGCTTCCAATCCAAAATTTGATTTGCCCTCATTCAAAGAAAACATAATCACCACCATGAAAGTCTCATCCATCCTTTCTACCTGTGTGCTTCTCCTTTCACAAGCAGCAGCAGAGAAATGCGGCAACTTGAACTGTGCTCGTAATGATATCCCATGCGTGGAGGGAGAGGCAGACTTTTCCGTCTTTCCAACCGACATTAATGGTCAAGCATTTCCATTTTTAAGAAATACAATCCAAAGTGGAAGTCACTGCGTCTGTCCCGAAGGAAAGACTGGATTGCGTTGCGCAAGAAGTTATGAGACATGCGAAGGAAACGACCACGTCTGTTTCCATGGAGGAAAATGTATTCCAGGCTTGAACGCAACAGTCGAAGATTCTAAACTATTTTGTGATTGTTCGAATGCCTTTCACAATGGACTTCCATACAGAGGAAAGTTCTGTGAAGTGGAACTCGAAGAGTGTGCCGCCGATTCTGATATTTATTGCGCCAACAATGGTAATTGCAAAGACGACTTTGAATCCAAGTTGCGCCCATGCGATTGTCCATACAAAATGCGAGGAGCACACTGTGAGTTTGACGATGGTCATGTTCCTGAATGCAAGCTTGAGTGCGACAACGGTAAGTCATCTATTTTAGACCCATTTGTTGACCAGGTAATGATATCTAACTTCATCACGCAGGAGGTGTTTGTGCACGAGGTGTCAAGTCGTATGAGAATGCCATGTATGACGACTTTTGGGCCCAACATGACGGAAACTTTCAATACTGTGCTTGTCAAAGAGGCTTTTACGGTACTCGATGCGAGGCACAAGCCACTGATTGTGGCGATGGACAATGTTTCCACGGTGGTAAATGTATTCAAACTCTGAACGGAAGGAACAAGACCATCTTTGCATGTGATTGCGCGGAAGCCACAAAAGATGGACTCAAGTACGCTGGCCAATTCTGCCAAAGTCCTTCCACTCAAACGTGCGAGCAAGGAGAAGACAATGGCAATGGGCAATTGTTCTGCACAAACAACGGTATGTATCCTTTTCATCGCGACGCTGTGCATATCATTGTTGGATCAACACTTACCTTGTTATGATTTCAACCAGGGAAATGCAAATCCAACCCTCACGAAGGGTGTGACTGTGAGGGTGACTATCACGGTGCATCCTGTGAACATCCAGGAAGCGCAGCGATTGATGATGTACCGAAGTGCGCATTGCAGTGTAAAAATGGAGGCTCGTGCCGAATTGGTCAAAAGGATACGTCTCTCTTTTCTCAATTCGGTGCCGACATGGAAAAATATAACCAAACCAATATTGACTTTCAACATTGCGTTTGTCCCGATGGATACTTTGGTGTCCAGTGCGAACATCAATTGGATGTCTGTCCCGGAGGAGAGCACGTCTGTCTACATGGTTCAAAATGTGTAGCCATTAACGAGTCTGATCCAGACACCCTCGAACACAAGTGCGATTGTGAAGACAGTTTCGACTCCATTAATCAGTTCGCCGGAAAGTATTGCCAATTCGAAAGTACCGACATGTGCACGAAGAATGGAAAGCCAGGACTGAGTAATGCAAAGAATGCTTTCTGTGTCAATGGTGGTACGTTTGGTGCTTCTAGAATGCTGGGCGCAAGTGATTTGTTTTGTCATCTCTAACCTTTTGTTTGTGACATCAGGAAAATGCAAATCTACTGTAGATGATGATCAGCAGCGTCACCCTGGTTGCGACTGCCCTGACAAGTACACTGGTGACCACTGCGAATTCATCGTTGGAAGGGAACCTGCCGCATCCCAAACTCTTTCCTCAGTGGGAGGTGAAGAAAAGGCAGACATGGATCTTCTAGCCGCCCTTGCTGTTATTCTCGCGGCATTGATTGTGGCCATTGCCGCCATGCTCTACATGGCCAAGAAAAAGACCAAGGCCGACAAGGCAACTGACGACACGGTCGAAAAGGCAGAGGAAGATCAGGATGTGGTAGTAGAAGAACTTCCCTCCCCAGAAAAGAAGGGTTACGAGGCGCCTGACACCAGCGGCCAACTTCGCACTGTAGAAATCATCTAGAAAACAAGGCACACAGGTATTCAAGCTTTTGTGATTACTAAATTAAATTCATATGTACATTTTACTCTCTCTTATGTTGGTGTACTGTAGGTGTTGTTCTTGGGCTTTTGGATTCAGTGAGTGGTAAGCGTTTTGGAGACCAAACAACGCAATGTGGCCAGATCACTTCGTACAGAATGATATATAGAGCTACTACTAGCTGTGCATCCATTTCTTGTAGTCATGGAAGTTGAATACGCTTGCCTCACAACGCAAGGCAAGCAAGGCTGATCATCGTGTCTTGCAGTACCGGTATAACTAAAACTGGAAGGTGAAATAGAGTCTGTCACTGTCTGTACTTTCATACGTCGGACATCAACATAGAAAAGGGGGCTAGTCTACTATGGGACTGATGCTTCGTATGGTATACGTTGCATCGTAGGTCACTTCACATCTTCATTTGGGGGAGAACACCTCCATCGTACATATTGTAAAAAGTTGATCACGGAAGCCAGCCCCAACGGTCGCTCTAAATAGGGCTAATGACATACTCACTGATACAAGTGTAGTGAAGATCACCTCAACAGCGCATAGAGTCTATTTCTTCAGAATCAACAGAATCAACACCAGTAGAGACTTGGCACCATGTCGATAGCCTCCTCTCCAAATAGAAGGTACAAGCTGAGCTCCCTTCGATACTGGGAGATCAAAATGATGCCTACGGAGAGAAAGGAATACGCGGGTCACTTGATGCCAACCTTCCGCGGGTCAATTGCAAAATTTGGATACAAAGGAAAAAACAGGCGGATCACCATCGAGACTTATACTCCACACGCACCAGAAGAAACAGCGGAACCACGAGAATCTTCTATTGATAATGAGAGATCATTTAATAAGATGATGGCAGGCAGGTCAAGCAAAGCAGGGATTCAAGCCAATATGCTGGGGGAAGAAGATATTATTCTCTTTCGAATGTTCAAGGCGAGGCCAACGAAATCGAAAATGGCTAAGAATACAGTAGACGATGGACAATGGGGTAAGTGTGAGCCAAACAATGAAAGTAGTCGTGGTTTAGTTGCTGCATGATGGACCTGTGTTCTCATATGCGATTTCTGTTTGTTCTTTCAAAAAGACCTCGAATCACTAGCCGATTTTTCATTAGATGTCGATGGTGAAGAGGGAAAAGAATTCCATTGGCATGAAAAATATAGGATGCGACTCTTCTATGTCAATATTGTAAGCTCTGCTGGTAAATCCTGTCGACTGAAACTTGGAGTTGGAAATGATACGAAGATTCGGACAATGACCTTTGATACGGAAGCTGAAAACGAAAGCTTCATGGAAGTATTCCGCGCAATGAAAGACTTGCAAAAGGAAAGAGCGGATAGACTGGCAGCAGAATACAAGGAGAAAAACCCCAACCTGTCAAACAAGGGCAAGGACTCCTCAAGCAAGGGCAAAGAACTCTTGGCTGTTGACGAGGATGAAACAGACTCATCAGACGTATTACGTGCAAACAAAAGTCAAGATGCAAATGATGACGAGATCGATGACGAGGAGTCTATCATTAGGGCTCCTACTACTCCTGCAGGTCCTCCTCCTACGGGCCTAAAGAAACTGAGAGCAAGTGGCTTGAAGTCTGTGAAATCTATGAGACCCAATATGTCATCAGTGCGACTTCCAAAACCAAAGATGCCAAGTATGCCAAATCTGAAAAAAAGATCAAATGCGCTTCAATTACTCGAAGAAAGTGGCGAGACTATTGATCTGTTAATAGAGGTTGTGTCGGCATGCAATCTTCCCGCTGCTGATAAGCACAAATCTGATCCCTATGTGCGGATATTCGATGGCGACACTGTTGTCCACAAGACGAAGCACATTTTGAAAACGTAAGCGTTTCCTCTATCGTCTCTACATTATGCCGATTCCAATATGCTTTTCCTAACACAACTCTCGCAAACTTGATCTGTACAGCTTGAATCCAGTATGGACACTGTCACAAAATTGCTTCTTCCTATATCGGCCAGCAGCCGAAGTCTTTTTCGAATCACCTGAACTTGTTTTCGAAATCCGTGATTGGGATGCAATTGGAAAGGACACAACGCTTGGGACAGTCAGTGTCAACAAGCAAGATATCATCAAGGGGGACGGAGGGAGAAAGGAATACAAGATTATCTTGAATAGCGAGTTTGCGAAACCGAACGATGATCCAGTGAGTACATGATGCACTTTTCGGAGACCCTTTCGTTGCCACTATAATCAGCTCATGCTCTTGCAAAATATAGATACTACTTGCCCTTCGATTCCGCCAGGCGACTGATAAGGACATTGAATTCATGAAGGCTTACGCGATGAACAGAAAGAAGAACAACAAAGCGGTATTCGCTGACGAAACCTGTGTGCCGCCGAAAGTTCACAGAGAAGTTAACAAGCTGAAAGTGTTGAAGAAAGGTAAATGATCCGATTTTATTTCCAAGCCATTCCTTCTCCCAGAATATTGACTAAAACTTTTGTTTGCATTCCACCAACTTCAGAGAAACACGGAACGACAAAGGTTAGTATGATATTGTTTAGACCATCAGTTGACTTCAATGAATTGAGCTCACCCCAGTCCGCTTACAGTTTTTGGTGAAGCCAGGACCAGACCCCGACCCTGATCGTGCAGACAAAACGAAGTGGATGAACTACTTTGAAATCGAGTCGGAGGTTGTGGAACCATCAAGAGAATGGATAGAAGCTGGCTCTGGATCGCTGGGGAAACTTTATGTCGAAGTGTTGCATTGCGACGACCTGCCAAATCTTGATTTTAGTATTACAGGAAGAAATAAAACCGATCCGTTTGTCTGCCTTGTATTTGAGGACGCGATCGGCCATACGGACGTGTTGAATGACCTTCTGTCACCGAGGTGGATGCCGTGGACACAGCGTGCGTTTGTTTTCAATATATTACATCCAAATTCACAGGTGCGTCAGATGGTCGTATTCTATTGTCTTAGTTTGCTTTTGACTCACCAAGTTGTACTGCCATTCGCTCAGCTTTTTATCGGAGTGTTTGACTTCGATACCGCAGATCCAAACCATGATGTCGTGGGCCGTGCAACATGTAACATTACCAATTTTCACCCCGACACAATTTACACAGTGAAGTATAAACTTCATTCTGTAATCAACTTCGAAAGGAAGGTTCGGGGGACAATCACGCTGCGCATAAGGGTTGAATGGAACAATCCGAGAAAGGCCTTGCTCTCTGGTTATTCTCTCTCGCGGGAACCGGAGTACATCTCCGTGGCGAAGAAGGCATTCTTCCGGACTGTATCTTTTACGCTAACTGAAGAGGTATGGTTGGTTCGGCGCTTCGAAGGCACGAATGTAGACTGGCTCTCTCACTCCTGCTGTTTTGTTTGTACTATAGCCTAGCCCGTACAAGTTAAGCTTGAACACGATGTCTTCTTACATCAACGAGTTGTGGACATATTGGGAATTCACGCATATCATCGAGTACTTTATGTGCCTCCTTCTGTGGAAGTCGCATTTTCGTCTGCGGCTATATTTACCAGTTCTGAAGGAAAAAGTAATTTATCTTCCACTCAGGTCGATGATGGCCTTCGCATGGGGGATAGCTCTGACACGTAATTTTGAGCTATTCCCTTCCTTTCTTGCTTTCACTGTGGCGTCGGTACTGATCGCAACACTAGATGGCCAAATTACTCGGCCATCGCCATGGGAACGACCTCGGGGTATCGTTGACTTCCTCGGGGTTCTTCTCTTTAACAAGACTTCGCGGTATCCACGTGTTACCGAGTTCGACGGCCGTGAGCAGATCACGGAATTCGAAGCTCTCGAAAAAGCTATTAAAAAGTCGCAAGAGGAAGTCTTGGCCGCATACTACGAAGAATCTAACAATTTCTACGCTCAGGCTCAAGAAACAAGCTTTGGTGCTGCTGATGTGAGCATTGCAACTCAGACAAAAGGGGTAGGCGATATTCTGATGGGTCCTTTCGTTCCCACTTTGCTTCCGGTACAGCTATGGTTGCATTGGTTTTGCAGGAAATTCCGAATCATAAAGGGAGTTGTCTTGTGGCGGGATAGCTATACGGCTTTTTGGATTGTTGCCACCAGCATTACAACATCATTTGTTTTTGCATTTCTGCCGTGGTCTTTCATTCTGAGAAATCTGTTCAAAATCTGTGTTTGGTTATTCCTTGGACCGTGGATGAAGCTTGCAGATATCTTTTACTTCAAGTACAAGTCCCGTTATGAGAAAACTCCAGAGGAGATTGAGGAAGATCTGAAGGTCGAGTTGCAAAATCTGAGTAACCAATGGTCTGGCTTTTCCAAAGATCGTAAGATTATCTTTGAAAAAGCTGCAAAAGACAAAGATATGAAGACTTATTTGTTTGGTGGGGTAAGTTATTGGTCATTCTCACCGCTATTGTTCATCAACTGTCGTTCACATTTGTGTCGTTTGCAATGAAAGTACGTGATGCCTGTTCCGATTCTGAAGGAGGAATTTGAATACGACGACCCCCTTCTTGGTTCCACGGCCGAGCCTATAGATTCTGATTATGGTGAAGCTTTTTGCGATGTAAATGTCACCACTCGGAAGTATGGACAGCAATTGTTTGGAAATATGATTCCTATCCGAGAGAAAGATATGATGTTGCAAAGGCAAAGCGAAGCACAGGCGGGTCTTGAAGCTTCCGTGAAATCCCTTGGCGCTATCGCTGAGATGGATGAATTGGATGCTGAAAGTGTATGATAGTAGAAGTATGCAAATAATAGAGTATGTATTAATACATAGAAGATAGTAGTTGTAATCAGAGGATTTTAGATCGTGATTTCCAGCGATTGTCTGTACTTCATCCGTCCAAAGACCAAACGTCAGATATCGTCTGCCATAAAAAAAAAACATGAGAAAGTCTTGAAGATTGCAAAGACTTCAGTTCGAGATGGGGCCATCGTTTGTGCTTCGACTACTCTACGCTTTGTTTATAGTAATCGTTGTCTACAACCCAATATGTTCTGGGTTCTCTTCGCCACTGAAGGCAGCGTCAAGATGTAGAATACGTCAACGAAACAACGAGGATGAAGGGAGAATACGTTGTGACAGCATGCGTGAGGAAACGATGGAGTCGTCGCCTCCTCGCACATCGCAGTCTCATGAACCGCAGTCTAGGATATCAACATCTCAGAGTACATATGTGGCCACCGAACCAAAACGTGCCTATTCTTGGCTTGATCGACTGCACCAACTGCAAGACTACAAAGAAACCCATGGCGACACATGCGTGCCCAAAAGATTCCCAAGCAACCCAAGCCTTGGAAACTGGGTAATCAAACAGCGAGTCCAGTATCGCAAATTCTTATCTAATGAGACACCCTGTTCTATGACAGAAGAAAAGGTGGCCATCTTGAACCAGATTGGCTTTTGTTGGGATGGAACAGCAAATGCGCTCAAAAGTCGCCTGCAAGACCAAGAGGACAAGTGGTGGAGTCGATTGGAAGAGTTTCGAAATCTACGTGCATCGAATCCAAAGAAGCTTCCTGCTTCCATGGATCGTTGGTTGACGCAGCAACGATGGTTGATGCAGCAACGAGCCGAATGTGCTGCTGTGGATGAAATAAAGTTGGAAGCCCTCAATGCGATAGATCCAAATTGGTGGATGTCGGCACGGGAACTCCAGTGGGAAGAAAGGTACCAAGAGTTGCTCGCGTACAAGAAAGAATATGGAGATTGCTGTGTACCAATCAACTATGCCAAAAACAAAAAGCTTGGCACTTGGGTAAGCAACTGCCGCAAGCAATACAAGCTGCGTAAAGATGGAGAAAAAAGCAACATGACTAAAGCACGCATCGACAAGCTAGATGGAATCGGTTTCATCTGGGATCGATGGGAACATGAATTTGAACAAAAGGTGAAACTAGGAGATTCGTTTTGAGTCAGTTCTTCTTGGAACATGCGAGTTCTCGAAGAATAGCGGCTGGAGAACAAAAACAAATTGTACACATGCGCACAACCGCGTCCACTGCTGTGAAGTATTATAATCCCAAGCAAATCAAAAGATAAGTCGTCTGGAATATGGCCGTATCATACAATAGAATCATCGTGCAGCTACAAATGGTTGGGCGAAGCCAGAAATTTTATCCCACACGGTGGTTCGCTTCAAGAGTTGCAGCGTCACTTTGGTTCTGTGCCGTTCCACCGTAGAAGGGATAACCAAGAAGTTGGCTGGTTGCTCCCTTGACATCTGGCTCGACGCGGTCAAGACGCTCGGACTCTTGGTGTTCGAGTTTTTGGATTCGCAAGAACTCTTCGTTGGTCTTGTTGGCGACTTGCACGTAGACAGTGATTTCCTCTAGTAGTTTCTTGCACCACTCTTGTACTTCTTGAATCTTGTTTTCTAGAATGATTCCTGCTTCACGACTAATGTCATCGGCTGGAGAAGCTGCTTCCTTGGCGTCATTTGCACTAGCATTAGCATTGGTCTTGCGGCCGTTACCACCATTCGGGTGGCAACTGTTGGAAGTGTTGACACCGCGAGAACTGTTTTCCTTTCCTCCGGCAGAATTGTTGGTAGAAGAAGCAAAACCGATAGTGTCCTCTTGCATTGCCTCTGGCTGCAATGTGGCTCCATCTGGACTGTTCTCGTAGAACTCGGTAGTATCGCCACGGCCGTTTTGGTCGTCAAACGAAGAAGCGTCCATTCCCTGCGAAACTTCGGACTTGCCATCCATTTTGCCTCCATTATAGCCTGTTGATTGGCCTTCTTTTCCACCTTGTTTGTTGTTTTCATGCTCGACAGCCGCAATAATATCTTCGTAGGACATGCCGTTCTCGTCCATGGCGGTGAAATCCAAATCGTCAGACATTGCAGTTCTAGTTTTTCCTGGATTTGGCATGGCAATGAAACGAATGATGAAGTGAGTATCTTGCTTCCTACAAAAGGTAGATCTGTGCCGATTCAATTGGATTTCTCTTTCGTACCTTCAAAGCAAGTAATACAAAGAAACAACAGTTTCGACGGTGTGATGTTTCTTTGGTTTTGACATTCCACAGCTAGCATAGCATTAGCATTTGGCACGAACAACGATTGACTCATTGGACTCAAAACGACGAAAATTGATAAAAGATATTATATAGCATACTACTGGTATCTTCTACTGTAGGGGCGTCAGATCACTATTCTACTTGTCATTTTACCAACACTTCTCAATTCAACAAGCAAATTCATAATCAACGCTTCTCACTTCAATATATGGCATATTCACAGGCCCTTTGTGGTACGTGTACCTCTGCGTTTGCTACTCTGCTTTTTGGTTGGACGGATCAGCATCAGCTGGTGGTGCTGGTCGTGGTTGACCATCTCCACCTTCACTAGCTGGCTGTTGGACTTCCTCGCCTTCCTCCACCTCTACAACTTCTTCCTCCATTATTTCTTCCTCCATGACAACATGCTCTCCATTTTCATCTTCTATCACCAGTATCTCTTCTTCTTCAATCATCTCCTCCCCCTCCTCCTTTCCAATTTCTTCACCTTCAATCGCGTCGTCGTCCACAGCCTGTTGTTGTTCTTCTTGTTGTTGTTCTTGATTCAATGATTCGACGCCTTTTTGGGTTTCTTTGGTCTCCATAGATAGTGCCATTTCTGGGTCCGCTTGACCATGCGTGGATATCACTAGAGGATGAGAGGTTGATTCTCGGTCATGAGGTCCAGATTTCCAACCGGTTTTGATCAAACATCCATCGTTGCGCTGTCCTGGTGAAGCAGGGATATTGGAAACGAGACAGGCCAATATAGCATACAATATCATGGCTCCAAAAGAAATGTAGGCACCCGCTTCGAACTGACATTCATTTACCGATTCTGGCTCAAGGCTGACATAACAAGAACAATGTGTTGTCAGAGTCGTCGTGGGTTTTACAAGGGGAAATACACAGCAACAACAACAACAAGTAAACCTCGTATACAAACAGCAGCGTGACTCACCAAAACTGCGTGTCTGCAAATACTAGAAAGGTACAAGCTTGCACTGCAGCCGTCAAAAGGAACAGGGAACTCATGAGAACAAAGCCGCCATACAAACGACAGCAAAGGAATTCCAATACGATTTGTATCCACGCCAAAAACCCTAGAAGTGGGGCACAGATGGCCGCAACCTGTGCCACTTGAAAGACATCAGACTGACCCACAAGCTTCCAGTCGTTGAATCGCTCGCAGGAATCCCCAACAAGCGCGGTGGAGGTCGTCGCTTCGGAATATCCAAATAGACCCACAGAGGCTTCCGGCAAATCCTGAAATGGGCCTTCCAATCCTTCCCATACTTGACCATCGAGTGTCGTGTAAGTGAAGAATCGACAGCTAATCGTAGTCAACAGAGATCCACCAATCGCTACGGACGACAAGAAAAGGACATTGCACCTTTAAAAGTGTCATTATGAGAAGTGTCAGTGATGATGAGGATGCTGATCATGGCGAGATTGATTGATTCATCACACCATCCACTATCACTGCACTCCTGTACAGTGCATACTGCGTCGTGGCATACCTTGTACATATTGCAAAGATGGCTCCACAGCCCATGCTTGATGGAACTACGAGATACGATATTGACTTGAGACTACTAGTACTACGAGTACCAGGTACCGTCCTATCTGTGTTTTGACAAAATGAGAACGACGTGTCACACGTGTCATCGGTCAGTCAATCGAATCAATCAATCAAAGAAAGATACCTCACTCTCATCGTGCATCCGTCGTACGTTGGTCCTATTTCCGGAGAAGAATTCAAATCTTCCGTTCTGCTTGTTTTCGTACGGAGTCTTTTTCGACGTGGTGGTCATCTGTTTTTCATCGGCCACTGAATTCTCGAATTCTCCTCTTCCGACGCCCATCACTTTTCCCTTGCCGTCAAGGTAAAGTATCAATCGATTTTACCAACACCATGGCTACTGATACCAAGAGTGAAAATGCCTTTGCCAAGGCTTTCCAACCCTTTGCTTGTGGAGGAGCTGCTGCCACATTTGCCAGTATCGTTATTCACCCCATGGATTTGGCAAAGGTACGTCGTCCAAAGATTCTCCTTTTTTTGCTGTCATTTGGAAGCATCTTTTCTTACCTTCACCCCTTCACCTAATCTCAATATACTCTCATCAATGCAACAACTTTAAAAAAATTCTTAGGTTCGTATGCAACTCTATGGACAATTGAACCCTGGAAAGCCATCCCCTGGCTTTACCACAATCTTGGGAAATATGATCAAATCCGACGGAGTCGGCAGTATCTACACTGGAGTAGACGCTGCCATTGGACGTCAGCTTGTCTATGGAACTGCTAGAATTGGATTGCATAGAAAGTTTTCAGATCGACTAGTTGAAATCAACGACGGAAACCCAATTAGTTTTGTTCAAAAGGCCCTGAGTGGAATGGCCAGTGGAAGTATTGCTGTTTGCATTGGTACTCCATTTGATATTGCTCTTGTTCGTCTGCAAGCTGATGGTATGGCAAAGCCAGAAGATAGACGGAACTACAAAAATGTCTTCGATGCTCTTATTAGAACGTCCTCCGAAGAGGGAGTCGGTGCATTGTACAAGGGACTTGCGCCAAACATTTTGCGTGGAATGTCAATGAACGTCGGTATGATGGCTTGTTACGATCAAGCAAAGGAAGTAGTTGCAAAATTGTTGAATGATCCCATGACCAATGGACCTTCGCTGCCCACTCGAATTGGTGCTTCTGCTACCGCTGGATTCACCGCCGCACTCTTCTCTCTGCCCTTTGATTTGATCAAGAGTCGATTGATGGCCCAAAAACCCGATCCGTTGACGGGTGAGCTTCCTTACAAGGGAATTGCTGATTGCGCCGTTAAAATCTTGAGAGGTGAAGGTCCTCTTGGATTCTTCTCTGGATTCTCCGCATATTACGGTCGCTGTGCTCCTCATGCCATGATCATTTTGCTCTCGATTGAGTCCATCACAAATGCTTACAAGACCGCATTCGGCTTGCAGTAAGCATCTAACACTTCCATCTGATGAAGAACCTGGGGATTTATGTCAAACCTCCATTGGTTTGTGTTTCGGACACTGTTTTGTTCATTCATGCATTTGCTGTAAATAGGACTTCCTCTTTGATTATGTGATGCTGCTTGTTCCCTTCCCTCCTGCCTGTGCTACCGTATGACATCTAGTATCTATAGGGAAAAGCTTTTATGTTTGTAACTTTGTCTACACAGTCCTAGATGATGACTTTTTCATGCCGTTGAGGAATACGAATATCCATTTTTCCTTGGGGTTGGAGACTTTCTTCTATGGCTGTACGGCAGGTAAAGTTACAGTTGACATGCAGTTTCATCGAAAGGATCCAAGTGAAACTTCCGCATCAGAGTCGAGCGTGTCGAATCAAACCCAACTTCGGCTTTGCTTTTCTCCGGGTTTCTTCTCATTTTTTTTGAATTTGAAACGGACACGCACACGACATACCGTGCCTTTGTAACGGTTCACGAAAACTGCAGACAAGGAAAAACTTCAAGAATTTCCTTCCCTGTGTCAAAAGATCGACCATGGCAACCTTGTCGCAAAACACGGCCATAGAGTCCGCCTTGGCAACTCTACAGCCCCTGAAAGATTTGTCTCGCAATTGGGATGTTGATATCGCTTCATGGTGAGGAATGCTTTGTGTGAATTTCGTTTTGCAAACTAGCTAACTGATGGATTATGGATGATGGATGATTGATTGATTGATGGTATTGCTCCTTCTAAGCTCATTCAAATTCCCTTTGCTTCATTTAGCCTAGAAGAGTACCTTCATGATATTGGTGCAGGCCATTTGATTCGGCACATGGAGGAAGGCGAGGATGAGCCACATATTACAGAAGAGAATATTCCCAACTTTGCTCATGCGGCTTTGATCCTTCAGAATTCGTCATCCGTGTATATGAGAAAGGTGGATTATCTTCACAAGCTTGTCTACAAGGCTCTTGAAGAGTTCTGCCGCAATAATGCATCCATCAACAAGGAGTCGTCGCGTCGCAAGAGCACTGATTCTGACGTTCAGCTCTTTCTTGACTTTGATCCCCACACAGAATTCCTACTATTGGATGACGTTGTTCCGGAAGATTTGACCAACACTGAAATCAATCTAAAGTCAGACGACACAGAATCAAGAGCGCTTACATCGTCCACTCCGAATCAGTCGGATGTCAGCGCTCGCAATCGAACAAGACTATCATTAGGTGGATTGTCTGTGACCAGGCTTGAAAGAAGCATCACTGGGGGATTCACATCCTCAGCACAACAAAGAGCCCTCATGGGGACCATCAATAATGGAAGTCTACGTCTATTCAATGGTTTGTGTGATGTTGGAGATGATGGTGTCCTCTTGATGCCTGGTTCCGCACTTCCGAACGCGGTGGACGATTCCAGTATGCCGCATGATTCCGAGCAGACACGAAGAAGTTTGTTTGGAGAGGCAGCAACTGACGAAGCTGCCTGTTTTGCTCCCCAACAAGATGCTGAAATAGATGATGACGATCACAGTAATGATGGTCCTGGATTTGAGATGGATTTTGGTGGTAGCGAGGACGAACGAGATGCCAATCATGGAACTGGAGAGACCGAGGTCGGTGTTGTAGCGTTACAACAGCAGCGACGACAAGTAACTTTTGCGGAACCTTCAAAAACCAAGCCACGAGTTGATCCATGGGCGCTTCTTGATCCTCATTCCGATGGAAATAGAAAGCCAAAACCACTGCGCCGTGGAAGGACCATCAAGCTTCCAAGGGAGGTAGACACTCTACCTTCGGAATGTGTGACTGGGGCTAGGACTCGGACGATGCCACATCGACGCAGAACTCGTCTGCATGAAGATTATAGCGCTACAAAATCATTGGCCGCAGAAACTTTTCGATCATTCCTCAGCGACGATGGTGCACCACCAAAGATTCCATTCAATGGTCTTGTGTTCAAAGAATTCACCTATATCGCCAAACAAAACGCGAAAGAAAGAAGCCAGCAACGCCGTGCAGAACGAAAGAAACAAGCTGCAGAACTTGCGGCTCAACCTCAGGATGCTGGCGAAGCGAATTATGAAAGTGACGATGACTACGGCGACGGTTACGACTTTGGTGGAGATGATGATGACTATGACGCTGGGGACAATAATGGGGGCAATACAGGTATGGCATCCTTGGATGATGCTTACGACAATAATCAAAACAACCACGATGGTACGTCCACTGTTCATTTTCCTTTTCTATCTTTTATTCATTTCTCACGAAATGATATTATTGCAGACGATGATGTATCCTACACGGGAAAATCATTTGAAGAGCTATGCCGCGCTCACATTCAAGCATTTGCTAAGGGTGCTGAAAAGTATGCACTGAGCACAAAACTAATTGACCGAGTTGACAAGTGGCAAGCGAAGCTCGCACCAATTCTAGAGGATGAGGAGCGTAGATCAGCCTTCGATATTCATATGTATTCGAAACAGTTGATTGAGTCTGCCGAAGAAGGACTCCGGAAAGAACGAGTCAAACGGAAGAGTGATGGGTCGACTCAGGCTGTCACAAAGAATGTCAGCTTTGGTACTGTGACCGAGAACTGCACAAACAGTGATGTGTGCCGAATGTTCTTGGCTTCCCTCAGTTTGGCAAACAGTGGGAACCTCAGAATCGATGAGACTGCAGAATCTTACAGCTTCGATCTGATGTCCAACTTGGTAGAACTTCCAATGGAGACTTTCCAAGCTCCTAGCTTAAAGGGGGTATAAAGCAGTGCTTGGAGGAAAGACGAAAGTCATTCCTTCTGATTTTTGTAGCGTTTTGTAGCGCAATTGGGACGCACTTATTACACTACGTATAATAAGAAATAGAGGGAGCTGGTTTATTATTCTATGTTTACTTGAAGAATAAGCTTTTCGTTGATGCCGTTGCATGTTGCCATAGATCATAAGATGCTTCCAAGAGAGGAACAGCAGTCCCCGCGTGTTCTTTCATTTTTTCTGCCGTTTCGGACGCCTTGGCTTTGGCAGGAACGGATGTTGCAACAGTCGCAAAATCCTCAAATAGCTGGGCAACTGCCGAGCAAGCAATTTCGGAGCTTACAGATTCTCGTGGTGGATCGGGCAGCTGTAGCAATGCTGGCAAAAGTGAAGAAATGCTGGCAACTGCGAATTCGCCCGATTTCGGATCGTAGAATCCAGTAAAGGAATGCTCGCCGTCGTCATCCATGTAGTTGCCGGTTATTTCTGAAAGCATTTGGAATAACAGAGCAATTGCTGTTGGAAGTGCCACCACTTTGGAATTTACCAGCGCCTTCTTATTCTCTGCGGCAGCGTCCGCCTTGCCAGCAGCTTTAGCCAGGAGGGAATACGCTCTAGTTGCCGTCCGAAGCTGAAAGACGTTGCCATCGTAGGCATTCTTCTTGCCTTTTCGTTCAAATGTATTGGACATGAGCTCCGATACTATACCGCCCGCAACGACACCATAGTTTGGATATTTCTCCCACGGAATTTCCATGAACGAACACATCATGGTAGCCTTGAGCCCCTGAACACCAGTATCCTTTTGCATGATGGGTTCCACAACATCCAATGCCTTATCCGTTAGAGAAGCCCCCGATACCTCGGCAAGATACATGAGGAGAAACAGAGAAAAGTCTTCCAATGAGTTGGTCTTCCATTCCGATGGTTTCGATTTGGACAACCTGATGTTATTAATGGCGACTTGTGGGATTGCGGTCAGTGATATCAGAATAGCATTATCGGCATTCTTTGATAATTGAGCCAGGAGACCAAAGGCCCATCGAAAATCTGCCGTACCCCTCGTGGCATGTGCGGTCAGTTCTTGCATAATTCGCATCAGAGAGTTTGGGTTTTCCAAGGGTGGAATCTTGCTTCGCTTCCATCGACTTTGGGTCTTTGGTTTCGGTGAAAATTGACCAATTGCTTTGATTCCAGGCTCATAGTATGATAGGTTTGTAAGGCAAATGATACAGAGGTATGTCTGTTTCTTCCCTTGCTGAATAACTTTGCACAGGTTTTGAATTAGTTTCTTTGCGACTCGTTCCAGCACCATCACCCGTTTGTTATCGTAAGGAATGGAAAGATTGTTCAATACCAAGCACACAAAATGTAGCTTTTCGGGATTGTCATGTAGAAGGCATTCAGAAAGTGGATTTAAGACATCGTATTTTCCGGAAGCAACCATTGGTTCCCGATTGTCTTTGTGGGCAACATCGCAAAGTTCGTACAGTTTTTGGGCAGCCGCCGTTGCTTCATCTGGCTCCCCTTGTAGCATTTCTTTTGTTAGTTTTGGGATATCCTTCAATTTCGGCGGCTTGGTCTGAAAAAAGCAAGAATTTCGAGCGTCAATCAGAGCAATTCAAATCTAAATCACGCCTGGCATTTGTTGCGTACCTCAACCTTTTTCTTTGAAGATTCCTTATCGATCTTTTCTAGATTGGGAACATCGTTCTCGTCCTTTGATCCACTCAGCGATTTCTTGATGGTATCCCTATGTATTCAATCGAATCCATATCATACTGTGAGATTCAATGACGCATCGATGCATTAGCAATCTTGCATTGGCAATCTTGCAATGGTCTTACATTCTATACGGATTGAACAGCTGTGGACGTCAATTTTCAGGACTGTTGTAGCTAATACTTTCGTTTTCAGCCGAGGAAAGATATTTCAATCCAATATTCGAGGTGCTGGTGTTATTTTAGCAGACGCTATGATGATTGAGTGAATCATCATCGTCGTTGTCATCGACTTTGGATTGTGTTGAAGTCGAAGGAATCGACTGTTTTTACAATTCATTCTCGCATCGAATTCGCGCTTCGATCATCTCTCCTCCATGGTACGAAGAACTCTGTATTACGGTACTTCCCTCCTATTGAAAGGTGAAGTACCAGGTACCTATCGCCACAGTATTCTGCAGGTATTACAAAAACTATCAGAAGCCAACACACGAAGGCACTCAGTGAAGGGATGAAACGGGCAGAAGATGATTTGTCAAGGACGGAGATTCGGCATTGTTTTCTCGCAATCATGGGAGCTTACAAGATGAGGAGGGCCACGACAATAAGAGCATTACTGAATTAACAAAGCCAACAGTCTTTTGACGCCCTACATCACACATCACCCTACTCTTTCAACTTCTCAGGGCGACTTTTGAGTCCAACAAGTCTGGACCACCCACCCATACTGAGAAGACAGTGAAGCTCGTTTCATCCTCCTCCGCCATTCTCCTTCTTGGTCTCGTTTCTCTCACCACGGCCCACAATGCCCACGTTCGAACCGGAAAGATGACCGAAGCGAGAGCTTGCCAAGATATTGAAAACTTTGGTGTTCGAGAAAGATGGGAAGTCATAAGACTGCAGCAAGTAAGTGCTTTCAGCTGAAGCGGCAAATGTGGATATCGTCCAGTGTGATGCTCAAAATTTTTCACTTTTGCTTTTCTAGTTACGATGCAGAAGACTGTGCCGAATGGGGCTATAGGATGAGGTAGAATATGATGATGGGACGTATGAGACTCCCAATAGCGCCTGCCGCGTGTGCGGTGGAGGCTACCATGAGTAAATCCTGCCAGAAAATCGAACCAGAAAAGTCCAAAGAGAGCGTTGGGTGATGTATTTTGAAGTAATAGCTGTTTCACGATGCCTCTGAAGCCAGAGGTCAGGAAATATTCCGAAGCCCGCGATCAGGTCGTTTGGAAATTGATAGCAAATTTACAGATACGGTAGCACGCAACGAATATTGTGTTTTTCTCTATATACTATATTCTTACAGCGTTTTGACTACCTCGTTGAAAATAAAATACCCAGCATTTCACGAACTACACCATTTTAAAAAACTACAGTACCGTTGAAAGGTGAAACCGTGTCACCAAAACGCAATGCTGTTCCTTTCGAGTGCGGAAACCTCCATTATTTGATATTAGCGGCAATTGTCTGGTAGAAGTAGCCATTTCCCTGATTTTCGCAATCTCTTAACAGTACTTCCCTTCTAGTATTGAAAGGTGAACGAACTGCCTACTGACACACTATTCCACGTGTCACAAAACCTATCAAACACAATATCTCTACTTTCGATTTCCAAGCCATGGGAAATGTACTGCTTCCTCAAAATTCATAGTGGAACCACAACAGTAGCTCTCTTTTCAAAAATAACCAAGACGTTGTCAAGGCCTCACTGTACCAGCTGCTTCTCCATGAGTTGACGGAATGCCCCATCTGTCTTCATGAGTGTATCAAAGGATCCCATCTCGGCCACTTCGCCATCCCGAAGAACGGCAATGGAGCCAGCATTGCGAATGGTCGACAAACGATGGGCCACCAAGATAACCGTACGACCTTGACACGCGATGTCAATTGCCTTTTGGACTTCTGCTTCCGAGACTGCATCCAAGGCACTTGTCGCTTCATCGAATACCACAATCGGTGGATTCTTGAGAATGCATCGAGCGACGGCAACTCGTTGTTTCTGACCACCAGAGAGTTGGGTTCCTCTTGGTCCCACGAGTGTTTGGAGACCATCTGGAAACTTGTCAGCAAATTCCAAGACATAGGCCAATCGTGCCGCTTCTCGAACTTCTTCATTAGTGGCATGCGGAGATCCGTAGCGAATGTTGTCTTCAATCGTGGTGGGAAAGAGCAAGGGTTCCTGCACCACAATTCCAACCTTTTGACGAATCTCTTGAGGTTCCATTTCGGTCAATGATTGGCCGCCAATAGTCACACTTCCATCTTGTGGATCATACAATCGTGTCAATAGTGATGTAATGGTAGACTTTCCAGCGCCACTACCACCAACTAGGGCCACAACTTGTCCTGGACTGATGGAAAGGTTGAGTCCCTTCAAAATCAATGACTCCTTCCTCGTTGGATAGGCAAAGGAAACATCCTTGAAGTCAACCGACATGGGGACCATGTCACGTTTTGGTTGACCATGTGACTTGCTCAAGTCACCCCGTTCCATCATTTCAATTCCATCTTGTTTTACTATTATTCCATCCTTGTTGCCAGTGGTGGGAAGGATGTTCTCCAAGGTTTCATTCTCGACAATATCTAGGTTGGGAGATGGAATGGCTGGCTCTCGATCAATAATCTCAAAGACTCGACTGGCCGCGGCAACAGCTTTCATGAGATCAATGTATTGGCTGGAGATGCCACTGACTGCCGCTCCCATCATTACCGAGTACATGACAAAACCTGCCAAGTCGCCTGGAGTCAGCTCTCCCTTTTGCACTTGCACACCACCGTATCCGAGAACACATAGGACCGCCAAATTGAGAATCAGTTGCATCGTACTACCAAATAAGGCACGCAATTTGGCATTGTTGATTCCCTCTGCATGTGCTTCATTGACGGCTTGATGATATTGCTGCGCTTCATGAGATTCGGCCACAAACTGTTGAACGGTACGAATGCAGGTCAGTGCCTGTTCTGCCAAGGAGGTGGCTGAGGCATGCAACTCGCGGACTCGTTTTTGTCGATCTCGCATGCGTCGTCCCACAAAGCGAGCGCAAATGGCAATGGGCGGCAGAATGGCAACCGAAATCAGTGCCAGGGATATCGACGTGTGAAAGAGCATGGCCACAGCTCCAATCGACATGACCATGTTTCGTAATAGTCCCAAGACTTGATCTGTCACAGCCGACTGTACCAAATCGGCATCCGAGGATAATCTTGATATGATATCTCCTTGCTTCATGGAATCAAAGTATTCGGCATCTTGTGATAGAATGCCAACGTAGAGTTTTCGACGCAGGCGAGCCACCATGCGGTGTCCTGCTTGAGCTTGCCACAGTATCCGAAAGAAACCAGCAACACCTGAAATGGTCATGATACCTAACAATATCATCAAAAGTCGAAAGGCGGATGGATCGTCATCGTCTTGTTCGTCTTTCTGATGGATGCTGATATCAATAATTCGTCCACTAAACTTTGGAACCGCGAGGGAAACGGCAGAGCTAAAGGTCATTGTCACGGCCGACATGATCATGAGATAACGTTCCGGTTGCGCCATCTTAAGCAGTCGACTCATGGTTTCCATATTTTGGGCTTTGTTGATGATGGGTTTCTTCTTGCTTGGTTCTTCTTCTTCATCATCGTTGGTGTTATCAACACGTTCATACTTCTGCTTGGTGGAAGGCGCTGTCGAAGAGGAGCGCAACATGACGTTATATTATGAGGCTTCTTATCGTGTGTTTCGTGTTCATCCAAGATGTATGATGACTATGAGGATACAGAAAATACAGAAGAGAGCTGCAATGAACACGGTGGATGCAGGTTCGATGAGGTTCCAGAATTTTTCATATCAGAAACA